ACAATAAATTAATAACATAAAATTAATAACTTAACCCTTATTTAGATAAAATATAAATAAATTAAAATCAATAAATGAATTAAAGGTTAATACAAAATTAAAATTAAGATCATTAGTTTCAATAATAAAAAATAAAGTAAAATTTAAGTAATTCACTTAACAATAGTATCTCGGATAAAATAATATTTTATGCTAAAGTGTTTGATATTGTTGTGATAACAATTCGTCTTAGTCAAATGAATACCACTCGGACTATTATAAAACATAACAAGAGAATATTGTGCTAGACCAATTTCCTTGACTAAACCTCAAAGCCAAATAGCTTCTTTCACATACTTTGTTGCAACAACATATTTTGCTACAATCATAGATAATGTAGCAATAGACTGAAGCATTATTTTTCAATTAATAACACTATTACAGAGAGTGAAGATATAATCAAAAAGAGATATTCTTCGATCAAGATCACTAGTCTAAATCAACAAAACTTACAACATCATTCATTTTAGTTTTACTTTTATCAAATATCAAGCCAATATCAAAATTACCTCTTAGATACTGAAAAATCCATTTCACAGCAGTCCAATCATCCTTACATAGATTATACATATATTAATTGATCATGCTAATAATATATGCTAAACTTGTCTAGTGCACATTATTGCATACATAAGGCTACCAATTGCACTAACATAAGGAATGTGTGACATATGCTCCTTCTCCTTATTTGTTTGAGGGCAAAGATACAAGATAATTTGAAATATGCAGCAAGTGGAGTAGAAATAGATTTACAATTGCTCAAATTAAACTTTTTAAGTATTCTTTCAATATATTTCTTTTTGTGATAAGAATAATTTGTTTGCTTGACAATTCCTGTGAATCTCTATACTAAAAAATTTATTAGTCACACCTAATTTCTTCATATCAAACTCAATACTAAGTTGAATTTCTAATTTCATGATCAAGAACTTATCATGTGATGCAATCAAAATATCAACATAAAGTAACAAGTATAAAAGATTTATTTGTAAATTTTCTAAAATAGGCACATCAAACTGACTTCTAGAATAACCTTGCATATTTATAAAGGAATCAAATCTTTTATACCACTATTGAAGATCTTATTTAAGATCATATAAAGATTTCTTTAATTGATAAACTAAATGCTCCTTATATAGAACAACAAATCCTTTAAAATGCTTCATATAGATTTTTTCTTCTAGCTTTCCATGTAGAAAAATTGTCTTAACATCAAATTGCTCCAATTTTAAGTCAAATAAAACAATAAAAGTAAGCAAAATGTAGATAGAGGTGTAACAAATAACTGGTGAAAAAATATAATTAAAGTCAATACCTTCATTCTAGGTAAAGCCCTTCACAACTAATTGTGTTTTGCATCTCAAATCTTCAATCCCGATAATGTCTTCTTTTCTCTTACAGACTAGTTTTCATCTCAATGACCGCTTGTCTTCATGAAGCTCTAACAAAAATCAAGTATCATTCTTATGAAGATTTAATTTCTTCACTCATAGCTATCAGTCATTTCAAAGAATCAACATAAGAAATAGCTTTAATATAGCTAGTTAGTTCAACAACATCATTTACGTCATGTGTGACAGACAATACATAAATAGTTAAATTATTATCAGTATATCTAACTAGTCTTTTAATATATCTTATCGATCTATCTCGAGAAATAGTAAACTCTTCTTCCTACAGTTGAATAGGAGAATTGATAACGAACATCAATGCTAGACTTATTAGTAAAAGAAAATGAAACATTGATATTAGGAACTACAAACTTAAATTCCAACTCTACCTTGTCACTATTACATTGCAAATTACTTATACTAGCAGGAGAAGTCAATAATGCATCTTTATCAAAAGTCAAATCTATACTAAGGATTAATTTTTGTTAGGATCAGAACATCATAAATGATATCCTTTAGATCCATATGCATAACCAAGAATTACGCACTTAATAGTTTTCAAAATTAATATATCATCATTGACATATGTATATGCAAAACATCCAAAGTCAATAGGATTATTCGACCAAATTTCATTTGGAACTTTGAAATTAAGTAATGTGTGTAGAGAACGATTGACAAAATAACAAGCAATAGATACTACCTCAACCCAAAATTCATGCTGATGTCATAACATAGGATTTAAGAGCATACGAGTCCTTTCAAGTAGAGTCATGTTCATGTGTTCAATAATACCATTTTGTTGGGTTTTACCTAAAATTATTTTACGTCTAACAATACCATGTTCTATACTTAACTCATTAAAGTTACTTTCATAAAGTTCCAAGTCATTGTCTATTCTATGTTTCTTAACCTTTTTACCTATTTGAACTTCAACAAGAGTTTTTCACTCCTTAAAAGTGGAGAATGCCTCATTTTTGTAACTTAGAAAGTAAACCCAAATTGTAAGAAAAAAATCATTAATAATAGTCATCATATAGTGACATACTTCATGAGAGGGAGCTTTAGAAGGATCTCAAATATTAGAATGAATATAATCAAGAACGTCTTTTGTACTATGAGTTAAAATAGAGAAACTAGTTCTTTTATGCTTCCCAAAAATGTAATGCTCACAAAACTCCAACTTACTAATTCTATGTTTACCAAGGCAACCTTTCTTACTTAGTAAATGCATGTCTTTTTCACTTATATGACCTAAGCGCATGTGCTATAATTCGGTAACGTCAAAATTAGACAATGAAGAAGATATTGATGTTAAACTTATCACAATAAAACCTTGCAAGACATACAAGCTACCAATGTGGTTAGCTTTCATCAAAATAAGGGCACATTTTGATACCTTTACAACTTTACCTTCAGTTTAGTACTTGCACTTAAAAGACTTGGGTTCTAAGAGAAATTAAGTTACACTTTCAAGTCAAGAACATAATGAATTTTAGTCAAAGTCTGTATAATATCATCATAAGACTTTATTGGAATTATACCAATTCTAGCAACCTTGCATTGGGCATCATTACCCATCAAGACAACTCCATTATCAACAAGTTCAACAGTGATAAATAAGTCCTTATAAGGATACATTTGAAAAGTACATCCAGAATTAAGAATCCATTTAGTTTTACTCATTTTTCTCAAAATTAATAACATATAATACATTATCATCAGATTCAATCCCAATAGTAATAGCATTGACAGTTTGGTAGGTTTTTTTTTTCTTGCTTTTTTCTTTAAGATAAAACAATAAAAATATCATGCCTCAATTTCTTGCAATAGCAATAAGTTTTGTTGTTATTGTATCCTCTAGATTTGGATGTAGACTTTTTGAAATTGATACTCTTTTTTTCTAGAGTTGTGCTTCTCACAATTAAACATTCACCTTTTTCTTTTAAAATAAACTTTAAGATTAAATTTTTCTTTGATTTTCCATTTAAAATTTTCTTTAAATTTTGAGTAAGAACGACTCTCATTTAAACTCACTAGATAATAAAGTTAATTTTACCATTGAATTTCTCAATGTTGAACTTGCTAATAATCAACATGATAAAATTTTAATTGAATAAGTTCTCTTGATATCTCATGTTAAGGTATATGCGTTGTGCGAAAGTAAGAGATCAAAATCAATTGAAGAATTATAAGTAAAATAAAATGATAACAATATAATTTTACTAAGAAGAGAACATACACAAATCTTCAAAATTATGTGTTCTGAACATTTAAATTTTTGAGAGATTAAAAAAATTATTATTAGTCATTAACTTTTTAAAAAACTATTCATTTTAGTCGTTTACTATTTTAATTTTCTTAATGTCATTTTATATTAAAATAATAATAAAATAAATATTATTTTGCAAAGTTAGAAACTAATAAAAAAATTTAATGTCATAAAGACTAAAATACTTTATCATACAATCTTGCAAACTAATTTAAAGATTCACTTGGTTAAGATGATGCAAAATTAAACAAAACAGAGAGCTAAATCTTGACACTGCTACATGTGCACATAAATAAATCTCCATATATTTACCTTTACCTGTGAAAGAATTAAAAAAAACATCAATACTAATACAATAAATAATATTACCTAAAGAAATAGCTATTAACTATTACGAATTATTTTATTATTAATTTAGTTCAACATATTAATTTTTTAAAATAATTTACCTTTTAATGTGACCCCTCACCCCGAAACAAAAATAAAAATTAGCAACTTCGTCATCCATAAGTTTAATTATCTGTACTCGTTTTTATCTTCTTAAATTAAAATATATCAAATAAACATACATACTCTAAAGTGCTCTTTGATTTTTATAGGACTTACCAGGGCACGACCCATTTGCTATAAATAAGAGAGACATGCCCATGCTGATGCCTTTGGTCCATCGAAGAGTCTACAAGGAAACGTGGGATATAGTTCATGAAATACAAGACCCCCAAAAGTTGTTTATAACAAGCAAAACTTCACCATCAATTACTGAGTTAACATTTGGTCACCTATACTTTGCAAGTAAAGACAACAGTAGCTACGCACTCAATAGAGGATCCTCATTAAAAAGATACCAACTTATCATATTATATATATAAACCCAAAATTTGGACTGTTAGTAATTGCTGATGCAATCTGAGTATCTTCCAGAGTCTAATCAGAAATTTACAACAGAACAATATCTCCAATTAGTAATCTGGTTTGAAGAATAAATTTTGGTAGCAAATCAGCATCGTTGTAGCTGAACAAGTTTCAGGATCATTTTCAGCTGTGATTTTATCGCTGTTGAAATAAAAGATGCAAATATCTACAATGGATCCAAGTTCTCTCATAGATTACACCACTAGCAGGCTTGATCCACTGATTTTCAGCACAATCACATGGACCTTAGTCTGAAGCCATCATATCATATATTCCAGTCCAAGCTGAAGAATGGAGATAACATTTGTTCTGAAAGAAGTGTGTAATGGTGCTGGGAGAATATCAGTTACCTTTCCTAATTGCACAACAGTATTATGATTCATTCGTTATTTAGCCAAAAACTCCTTCTCAACAAGACCGAATGTTAGCTTCAATCGTTCTTGCATATTTTTCACGATGTTCTTTGCAATTCTTTTCTGATGTTTTGAACTTTTTTGCCATTCAATTCCAACCGATACCTGAACCTTACAAGTATTTGCTTTTTGGGGTACGTCATCAATTTGATAGCGAAGGTGCATCTGTAGAACATTATTAGAAGATACAAGTCAATGGTACAGAAGACGAAAATTAACAGGAAGATGAAAATAAGAGGTAACCCTATATAACAAATAGGCCATAGAAAGTCTAGGAGCCAGCTAAATTTGGCTTGCTTACATTGAAATAATCGCCAAGAGGAACTCCATGGAAGTTCATAACCTCTTCCAAAAGCCAACCCTTTCCGTCCAAAAGTGATTTTTGTTGGGTACTTGTTACTTCAACTTTATAATGTGAAATACGCTTCTCATACTTGTAATATACTGCCCTCTCATAAACATCCCTGTTCTCAGATACCCAAGGGGTATAAGAATAATTAACACAACCAGATTTTTCCATGATCCTACGATCCACCTCACCCCCATTGAATAGCTCCATCAAGAAACTGGCCTAAATTAATTAAAAGAAAAGAAACTACAATCAAACTCAAACATTGGTGAAGTTGAATAAAAAACCTGAAGGAACCAATAATTTCCAAAGAGAGAGAGATTACAGGAACTGCAAGAGCACAAGAATAAACTTCAGACAGGCTAACATCACCGACACCAAGGAATGACCCACCCTCTTCACTGGTAAGGCCTTTGGTCTCAGAGTCTTCTTCAACTAACTGGACCTTCTGTTCGGGAGTCAAGGATCTGGCCTTCCATAGAGCCATAATAGTCCTAGATCAGCACCAGAATAGTTTTAGACTTAGTAAAATAGGACATGGTTTTCCTTCCTCGGCCATCAATATATTTTATGACTGGTAATGGAAGAAATGTAAACAACACATAAGCGCAATAAGCAAATTACTTTCTCACTTTATTTTTCTAGCTCCAAGAAATTACAATTGGAAGATATAAATTTAGTTACCAACTAATTACAAATGATAAAAACTTCTGTATGCTTCCAGTATATTACAATCTACAAAAATGGAAGATATAACTCAAAGTTAATCATTTTCATTAGAATATCACGATACAAATCAATAAAAAAAGTTCTGATTGTGAATTGTCAATGCTGACATCCTTAACATAGAGTCACAATAGAAATGCCCTCATGGATTAATCCAAAATGATACAGTTGTTATAGACCCCAAAATACCAGAGTACCAAAACATAAATTAAAAGAACAGAAAATACTTTAGTAAAAGTTGCAGTCTTCCAGACATGCAGAAATGTAAATAGGAGAAACAAGCTTGTACAACATAAGATATAAAATGCTCCTACTCCCTAATCTACCTGTTTGCAACATTGAAAGACACAAAGGACTGGAAATGGAATTTCAGTCTGCCTTTGTCATCTTGTGTTTTTGCACCATGCCTTGCATCCATACCTCTTCCCTGCCGAAGAGTTATGACAATTATTGGACTGCCCATTGATGAAAATGTTGGAGGAATGACCTGAATATCTTCGATATCGTCCCAAAGCAAAAAGAATTTTGTCTTGTGTCCAAACATATTTGCATGAAATCCAATTATTCTAGCTGAAACAAACAGGCGGCCCTACAAACAACCATTGACCACTTGATGAGATAATACAAAAGAAACATGTGTCACTCCAAACCAAAATAGATGTTAAAATGACTTTCAACACCACGTAACAAATCAATCGCACCTGCAGGGGCATCTTTCTTTTCAAATGACAGGTGAAGTCATTGATGAGAAATTCCTCAGGTGGAAGCCCAAAGAGTTTCTGAAAGGCTGAATTTGCTTGAGGAGACCGCACATTAATCTATAATTTTGTAAATAGGTGTTAAGTGTGGAAACAATAAAAAACAAATGCCTGGCAATGGGAGGATCCTTACCTTCTTCCCCACCTCTTTCTCCATTTTACTTATGTAGTGTTTTACAACATTCCCACCTATAGTGTTGTCCAAGAAAATTCTTAAGTGCAACTTAGACTGACATGCTTGAGCCAACTTTCCATCAAGAGAAACCCATATATCAGCAAGATCTGAAATATTTGTTTTAAGGAAGTTGATTTCAGCACGTCCTAGAGATGCAGCCTCATCAAAGGGTCCATCAAAATCATAAACTTCCACATCTAGCACAGAAGGAGGGTCATCCATCGCATCGAATTCAAATATTTCTGCAAAGATACACAATTATCTTGACAAAGAATGATATATCATACAATAATTTAGATCACATGCAATGAAAAACTAGATTTGTGTCAGATCACAGGAGTTAAGATTAATGTAAAATATCATATTTCAAATATATTCACCATTCCATAAAGGATCAGATTTCTTGAACTTGATTGAGCTTGTTCTTGTTCTTCCATTGCAAGTGAATACCACATACGGATCACTGAACCTGCTAGAATCAACCGCAGATAAATTGCTTCCTTCAATTAAGGCCACAGTTAGCATCCATCCATCTCCCTGTGCCTTAATTCCATGATCACTACCTAAATATTACAGAACCAAAAAAAAAAAAAAACAAAACAAAAACACATATAAAATAAGGGAGAACAAATCCATGGTCACCCCCATAAAAAAAAGAAGAAGACGACGACGACATAGATCAGAAGATAAAGAAAAGTCAAATCAATTAAATCAAACAGGTAGTAACTAAATGAAAATTTTCATGTCTCTAGACTACCTACCTTAACACTTATCAGGCTTATATTACTTCCACCATTCAAATAAAAGGATTTAACAATCACAAACGGGAATTCCATTCACTCACACTCACATACCCTGTTACTGTTCTCGTATATATTTTGATAACAGTTCTTTTGGGAAGGTAATGATTCCACAAGACGATTAGGCTTTCATTAAGTCTTCCATACTCAGTAGGTTTGGCATTTCTTTTCTTAGCACATAAGCTGCATCAAGCTTTATTCCTAATGTTTGTGTGATGTATTGCTCAAGACTAATTGTCCTTCTTAAGGTATAACCTGGACATTTTGGAAGGAACCATTTTGTATTTTTTATGAAAAGAAAGACGTTCCAAATTCTTTGGAGCATTTTAGATATATAGGGTTGTTTCCGTCCGTCTTCATTGTTTCAGTTTTGTTGTACAGCTGTGAAAGCTTGTAAGAGACAAGCCTTACTCAATAAATCCACAGCACTGGGTCCGAAGAAAACATGAACTCAGAAGAGACCTCTTTGGGTGTTTATCTCTTTCTTTTAAGAAAGAGAACTCTTTCTTAAATAAGAAATATAAGGCTTTATGGAATTCCTTTCTGTATGCTATAATTATTTATTAGGATAAAGTGCAAACTTGGCAATTTAACCACTGATTTATTGCTTTACATATTTTATGGGAAAAAGTGAAGTTTTCATAATGTGTTTTAGCTCATGGTTTTTTTCAAAAAGCAAGCCTTGACAGACTCGCACACACGATATATAAATTTCTTCTATGCTAAATATACTTTATACTTTCCTCCAATTTGACTTCCCTTTTTTTTCCTGTTTTTCTTAGGAGGATTTGTTGTTCCCCAACTGTGTTTCTTTTCTCTCTTTAGACATTATTCTTTGTCCAATAGAAAAAGAAAAAAGAATTTTCATTTGCTCTGAGTGTTTAAAATCAGATGAGTATTTAAAGTCAAGTGAATTCTCAAATTAAAATATAATTAAAAAAAAATAAAGTCAGTTAAGGGATTACCCTTTCGTGCTCTGGCCTGCATGAAGCACGAGATTAAACCTAGTACTCGTTCACCTTGAAGAACCAAGATAGCACAGACAACAAATTCACCAATTGAATCTGGCAAGTCTAGCCCAACAAACTCAAGCCCTTGAACTGAGCCAGGTACAGCCAAATAAATATGGACAAACACGTACAATGCCATTAAAAATGTTGAGACAAAGGTGAAGTTTGCAAAATACTGCGCTATCAGCTTCCAGTCTGACTGGGGCTCTGCCTGTAATGATGCCAAAGCTTGTTCCTTGCTAGAACCAAGGTCCTTTGAGTCAACAGGCTTCACAGTCTGAGATAACAATATGGCATACTGATCAAAGCTATCCTTCATACCTTGTCGAGCACCATTTTCTATCATTCCTTTCATCATGGTGCTCTGTATAAAATTCATTCGCCATGATATCACCAGACGTGAACACTGTTCTCCTGATGATAATTCTGGTCCTGATGTGATCAGATAAAGTACTTCTACCCTAAAGGTGCTACCATACATAACATCTGGGGTGCTGACACTGGCCAGAACAGCAAAATTCTTCGCATCAGCTTTTAAATATGTCTGGTCCTCGTAGCCTTTGACAGCCTTAATTAATTTAGTGGCAGCTTTGATGTAAGTAAGTGATCTTTTCATGGTCTCCCCGCCATTCTCTAACTTCCAAGGACCACATTGCACGTCTGTAGTACCCTGTACATCTGCCAATGACTTAGGAAAATCAGAAGTGGGTGAAAATAGTAATACATTCAAGTCTTCTGGTGCAATTATATACAATTGATCAATAAGCACCCCTCCCGGTAAATTGCTAGGAACTTCACTTCCTTGATCTGCGGACTGAATTTTTTTCAGAGCTTCTTCAAAAGTTTCATTAGAGGACTGATCCTCATTCTTGATCTCATCAACTTCAACTCTGTTTGTTTCAGATTGGTCCGAGTCAGCGCTTCTATTGGATTGCATTGAAATTGAAGACAAATCATAACCTTTATTAAAAATTTGAGCAATTCGGCCCGCAAATGTTTTTTGTGTACACAATTTATCCTCCTTAGAATTGGAAGATGTAACTTCTTCCCTTACATCCCTTATGGGAGAACATGAGTTTGAACGGCCAGTGGAAGATCTTGAAGGGGAAATAGTAATTGCATCAACATATTTTCTTGAACGTGATAACTGATCACTAATGCCATTTGACTCCACAGATGCATTGTTTTGGGACAGGAATATACTCAAATGAATCTCACCTGTCCACAAAAGGGCAGCAATTGTCACAATTTAAGTTCAATAGCATGATTCATATATGAGCAGAATATTTTCTACAAGGACTTGATCCAAATGGCCCTTCAAACAAGACATAATACAGTTTACACTCTGCGATCAATCGTCTATATTAGTATGAAAGCAATATAAATAGCATGAATTTCACATGAAAAAACAATGGCATACAAACGCTAGGCTATCAGTAAACTATTGGATGAGGTTGAGGAGAGTTTAGTTGAGCAGTACAATATACCACAATCCTTGATCTTGGACTTCTTGTTTTTGGGTTTCAAAGAATACCATGCAGTGCCAAGGGATTTAATTTCCTCATCAAAAACAAGAGAGATAGGCACTTTAAGCCGTGCTACATAGTCATGATTAAAGAATCTGTCTTCATCCATGACAGTGACAACAAGCGATTCTTTAAGGTCATCAACCCAAAAAGTAAACTCTTCATCCCACTTTGGTTTGAAACTCGTCACCACCTTTGTCTTGTACCTTTGCTTTCCCAACTGTACCCGTACGTACAGGTCCCCAAAATCATCGGAATCCGGGGCGGCCAAGTTTTTTGCCTCAATCACACGAACCACAAGCTTCATTATTATATGATTGTAAACACAATCTTGAGACAAAAATGTCTAGTTTTTCTTTATCGCAGCCCCACCCAGGAATATCTTTCTAAAGGGCAATGCAGTGCATGCAGAATGATAAAAATATTTTTATCAAACAATAAAAAAAGAAGAAACAAGTGGATTTGCAAAACCCAGAACCAAATTGATCAAACGGTCGATCAGAAGAAGAAAAACCAACCCAGAAATCTGACAGAAGCATGAATAAATAATATTAATTCTGCCAGAAAATTAAGAAGAAAAGATAATTCAAACTTTAATCATTGTTACAAATGCATAGTTGATGGATTAGGAAAATGGAGAAAAGTGCAGAGAATTTGGGCCATCCCTCATCAGCATGACGAGAAAAAAAATGAGTGAAAGAGAAAACACGGAGTTTAAAGAGCGGACAACGGGAGACACAAACTCTAAAAAGACAGAAAGCAATTGGAGGGTTGAAAATAAAATAAAAAAAAGAATATTCATTAATGGAAAATTTGAATATCAAAATTGGAAAGGGAGGGAGAAGCGAAGTTGTGGGTTCGAGCAATACAACACACACCCACGCTGTCTCTCTCTCTCTCCCTTTCTTGTGTTTTTCTTTCTTTCGAATCTTTGCCATTTTTTGTAGAAGTCACCGCGCTGTTTGACCTTGCAATCATCAAATATACTATGTTATGCTATGCTACGCGCCAACGTTTGATTTTTCTACCTTACTTGAGACTCTTGCGTTTCTTTTGCGGGGGACAGACTTTTAAAGATTCTAGGTTGCTTTAAAAACTACGGGTATTATTAATTATGATATTAATTAAAAAATTAATAAATAGAAAATATGTTAATATATATATTAAAATTATGATCAAATACGTTAATGATATTTTTTATTTTTTAATTCTTAATTAGTGTTCTGAAGATACAAAAAATTCACAATTAACTAGAACAATCCAAAGAATTATATAGACCTTTATGTTATATGCATGATTATGAAAACGAAGCAGTTTCATTTTACGCATGGCTTTGCCATCTTTCTAGTGTGCTCGTGGGGTCCCACTCCCACTCACAAAGGAATCCAACTTTTATGTTCGGACAAAGTTTCCAATTACTCTGTTTAGTACGTTTGGATTTTCATATTAGATTTTTGTTTATTCTAAATTATGATTATCATTTTTTTGTTTTTTAGTAAAAAAAAATTATTTACTTTGCTACGAGCATGAACAAATTTATCCAAGTTGAAATTTGTAAAGTTATGATTTATGATATGTTTAAATAAGTCTAAAAAAGTTTTCATGATATCACCTTTTTTAAAAAAAATACTAACTACTTTTTATTCTTTAAAAATAAAATTATTATATATAAATTTTTAACATATTCTGGATTTAAATTTTTTTTTCTTAGAAAATGCACAAATAAACGTGCCTCATATTTAGGCGAAAGGAATTGAAATACTTGCATAAGGAAGGACCAAAAAATTCATCAAAATTTAACACACGTCCTTTGGGAGACTATCAACAGGTGGAGGATGATTGAATCATAACTTTCAAATTATTATTCGATGTATTTCTAACTAAAAGTTTGCACGTGCAGTATTTTTATTTTCCATTAATAAAGACAAATATCAAAGAAAAATGTGGAGAAAAAAAACTTGAAATATGCAAACAGTGATTACTAAAATCATCCTAATATTTATTTTAGTTTTTAAAATTACAAGTATCGATTATTTTAATTCTTAACATTACAAAATTTCCGCTTAAATTCCTAATTTTATAATACATCATTCGTTTTTGTTTTTTTTTTTTTTACGGTTCAAAACAACAAAAAACAAAGTAAAAAGAAACTTAAATGAATGACTTTTCATAAAATTACAAATTAAAGGTAAACTTTTGAATAGTAAGAAACTAATTTGACACATACAATTTCAAAGATCAAAATAAAAGTTTATTTAATTAACCTGAGTTATGTAGCTTATCTGAAAAATAAATAAATAAATAAATAAAACAGTTAGGTAGCCCTTGATTTAGTACTCCAATATTCTTTGTTTGAACAATGTAAGTTTCATATCATCTGATAACTATATAATTTCTATATAACCATATATCATCGCCAATCTGTAAATTTAATTGGTGCCTAATAGTCCTACACGTTTCGGAAAGAGAGCTTCAGTTGCTTAAGGCAAAAAGATGAAGGATAAAATTGAAAAACGGAAGAAGTTATAAACTATTCACGAGCTGAAAGGTTCAAAAAATCAGGACACATATAAATGAGTGAAATAAAAAAAGGAGTTCGACAAAAACCAAATTGAACAAATTTAATCAACAACAGATAACACTGTATTATGCACCGTCAATGTCAGAAAACTTGTATCTGGAACTGAGCCAACAGAAACGGAATTGAAATCTCAACACAAGCATTAAAATCATTAATTAACAAGGGCACCCATGAAAAACTTCAACAGAATGACAACAAAATACAATCATGACGAAACCGGACCAGAGCATTGCCGTCAAAGGCACCTTAAGGTGTGCCTGAGGAATTGAGGTAAGGCACCAAAAAAGGGTCAGCACATCTTGGCACCTTAGGAGAACCTATCTGGTTGAAGTGAGGCACAACTTTAGCACCGTACTAATTAGTTGTTGGTCTTTGAAACTGCAAATTTTAATATTTAGTGGTTCATCAATGCAATATAGTAAAATGTTTTATTAGTTTCATCTTTTCATGTTAACGTCTTCCTTTAGAAAGGCATCAGCTACTACAAGTAATTAAAACCCCTTGGCCTTGGCACCTTTCTACCTAGTATACACCGTGCTTTTAGCAAATACTGCACGCCAGATTACTGTTGTGCAATTTAGCTTAATAAACTAATTTCAAGGATTTTATACGTCATGATTCTACAACTAATAAGACATCCAATCGTGGTATCCCAATTCCTTATCTAATAATTTAAGATTGCATCTGCAGCTATCAATTTACTATCACGGTGCACATAAAGTTTCAAATTAGGCAATATAGCATTCAACTTATTACAACTTATTTGTATCTATCATTTCCTCATCAGCTTCATATTTCAGACATGTCACCAAAGATATGTCTGTTGTCTACGTATATGCCCAATTGATCGAGAGGCAAAAGGTGCTGATAGCTAAAGTGGGCTGAAAATTATAAAGCATTTTACATGTTAATGAATTAAAAATTTTGTGTATGCGTTACTACATACATGGCGTGGCAGTACTGGGATAATGGCACCGAAAATATAACTGAAATTAATCCAAACTGAAGCAACATTTGACACAAATAAGTTACCACAACATATTCATCGTTTGATTTGACATCGGCTAAATGCTAGAAACTAGTTTTAACTTTAAAGACTTGAGCAAAAACGCAAAACATTATCAAACAGGTGTGAACAAGTTAGCACAGCCTGGATAATGCAAGAAAGATAATAAAAAAGACAACCACTGTAACATAAGATGACAAATACCAAAGCCAAATGACAAAATTAATCAAATATCCTCATCTAAAACTATCAATTCCTGTTAGAAATAATAAGCAGAATAATAGCTCTAGTTATAGCAGAATACAAGCAAGGACAATGATACCAGAACAGAAGGAATGCCGTAATTAAATTTTATACAAGATCATATAACAGCAAAGAGCCGATTATGCAGCTGCTAAGAGCATCACAGGCAAAATGTTCATTACTCCAGAAAACTTCATATTACCAGAAAAGTAGATGCCTTTCAAAGAAGTGGCTACCGCCAAAAAGTTCTCTAATGCGCAAAAACAGTGTCATTTCGTCTAGGTGGTCTGTCAGGAATAGTTCCTGGCTTGAATTTTGAAGCTTCATGCCTTGCCAGCTCCGGTGGAACAGGGCTATTACTTTGAATGAGCATCTGTTTGAGGTCATAAAAGACATCAGTGTCCTGAAGAGTCAGGAATGTCGTGGCCACACCGGTCTTTCCTGCACGACCAGTACGCCCAATACGGTGCGTGTACATTTCAATATTCCCAGGCATATCGTAGTTGATGACATGAGCCACATCAGGTATGTCAATCCCACGTCCAGCAACATCAGTGGCAACAAGAACATTATATCTCTTGGTCCTAAACCCTTCAAGACTAATTTCCCTCTGCTCCTGTGACTTCCCTCCGTGCAAAGTAGTCACGCGATAGCCCTCCTTGTCCAAATTCTTGGCAACCATATCTGCATTCTTCTTAGTGTTAACAAACACAATCGCCGTCTTGTCATTAAGTTCATCAAGCAATCTCTGAAGCTTGTGAAATTTCTCGGATTCCTTCATCATGATCACATGCTGGCTGATCAGGTCAGTTGCCTTTCCAGCAGTTCCTATAGTCACCACAACAGGGTTCCTTAAATATTTCCTAGCAAGCCTCTCCACAGCCGGAGGCATGGTGGCGCTGAACATATAAGTGGTCCGGTAAATCTTCTTCTCATCGAGCTCCTCGTCTTCATTCTCAGGTTTGAGATTGCTGGAAGGCATGGCATCCAGCACGCCCATCACCTGGGGCTCAAACCCCATATCAATCATCCGATCAGCCTCATCAAGAACAACATAATTGCACTGATTAAGAACAGCATAGCGCCGCTCCAAGCAATCAATCAAACGACCAGGAGTGGCAATCACAATCTCACATCCCTGCCTAATCTTAAACCCTTGCTCCTCAATGGACTGTCCACCAACAATGGAAACCACTTTGATGCCCAGATACTGAGCAAACTTAACAGTCTCATCCTCAATCTGCTGCGCGAGCTCGCGAGTGGGGGCCATAACAACCGCATAGGGACCCTCAGCCTCGTTGTCCTCACTCATGGGAGGAAGCCTGGTGATATAACTCAACATTGGAAGAACAAAAGCAGCGGTTTTCCCAGAACCGGTTTCAGCAATGCCAATGACATCACGCTGCTGCAAGCCAAGGGGAATAGCGGCCATCTGAATAGGAGAAGGGGTTTTGTAGCCAGCTTTCTCCACGGCCTTCAACAGCTCGTGACTCAGCTTGCTCTCATTCCAGCTCCGCATGGGTCGAGGGATCTTCGAACCCTTGTAGGAGATGTTGTAGTCCTCTCTGAATATACGCCAATCCCTCTCCGTCATCTCATCAAGCTTCTTCTCGCTCCAATGCCGGTCCACCCTCATGTCAAACGTGTCGTAGAGATCGGCGGCAGCCTCCTTCCGCCGTTGTGCGTCAGCCTCCTCAGGTTTCTCTTCGACGCCGTCCTTCTTACGGATTTGCTCGCGCATCTCCTTCTCGTTTTTGGCGGCGAGCTTCTTCTGCTCGCGGCGGTCCATGCCGGCGCGGAAGCCGCGGCCGAAGAGGAGCTGAGCCTCGTGAGGGTTCTGGTAGAGGGCGTTCATGTCGCGGGATGTGTCCTCGGTGTTCTCCCAATCGAAGGAGAAGCGGAACTTCTCGCTGGGCTTGATGACGCGCTTCTTAGGCTTCTTGGAACCAAGGTACTGCTCCTTTATCGAGTCCAGCTCCTTCTCGCGCTCCCGCTCCGCCAATTTCTCCAACCGAGCACGTTCCCGAGCTCTGCTCTCCTCTTCGCGCTCTCTCTCTCTGTTCCGCCGTTCGGCTTCGCGGTCACGATCGCGTGCCCTGTCACGCTCGCGCTCTCGCTCTCTGTCTCTGTCTCTGTCCCTGTCTCTATCCCTATCTCTGTCTCTGTCTCTATCTCTATCCCTATCCCTATCCCTATCCCTATCCCTATCCCTATCCCTATCTCTGTCTCGGTCGCGGTCGGAGGAGGGTTTGGGATCGGTGGCGGGATCGGAGGGGCGGTAACGGGAAAGGAGCTGTTCCTGGCGGCGCTTCTGCTCGGCGATTTCTTCCTGGCGGCGTTGAAGGGCGAGCTGCTCCCGCTGGGCTTTGGTTAGGAAGACTGGCTTCCCGGTTGGGGCTACGTCGTCGTTTGTGCGTTTCATGGCACCGAATACGAACTAACTGATTAACTAACAAACTAACGTAGTGAGAGAGAGAGAGAGAGAGAGATCGCTTGGCTAATTGCAGGAGGGGAGAAGGAGAAGGGACTCAGATTCCACACACTTCTATCGCTTCCCTGCTCCTCCTCCTTCTATTTCCTTTCCTAACTTCACAACCATTTTTTTTAAGTGTTTGGGAAAGGCCCAATTTCCATAAAAAATAAGAAGGGCCCATAGTTTGGGTCTAATGATTTTATTTTTAAGGGTATTGGGTTCTCTCAATCAAATCGCTGGTAAAAAAATAAGGCGTTTTATCTTCTTTTTTTAATTACAATTCAACTCTGCGTCAATTAATCCAATGCTTAGTTATTATCACTTGTTTCACTTTACTCGTAAATTCATAATTTTTTTCATTTTTCACTATATATTCTCTCCGATAATGTAGATATGGTTTACATGGTATATAGAAAAACATTGACTTACATCAAAATAACCTGCACTTACAAAATATCTACCGCGTATTCAAACATATTCTTACACTTTCTATGGTGGTAATAAGTTTCTCAAGCTCATCAAAGACTCGGAATCTTAAAAGAAAACATTTCCTCCTATTAATACAACAAAAATAAATCAAAACATTTGCAAAGTTAGAAATTAAGAAGTTAAAAAGAGAGACACGGGCTTCATAAGTAAAGCATATTGAAAATCTAAAGACTCACATGACCAAAAAAACTCAAGACCCACGTGACCAAAAAGATAGCTGAAGACTCACATGTATGTCACGTGTAAAATGGTATTGTACTGATGTTCCTATTGGTTGCAGTGCATAAGTTATATTTAATTAGTAACGATGATACTAATGAGTCTTAAAATGAGAGATGGTGAAAGGACCATTGCATGAAGCGGTGCATGTGGGTAGGGTAAGCTACTCGTACCTTTATTCATGCATGGAACTGTGGATATTTTTCTCTTGTACTTTGATTTGCTTTTAGTATTATTCACACATTTGTTCAGCACACACCAATATCTTTCAATGTTTTTCATTGAAGAAGTAAAATGTAAATTAACCACCATCACAAATAGCATATATGTCCTGTAAAGTCCATGAAAGAGCCTCACGACGTAATTAATTAGCTTGTTTAATATTAACAGCAAATTTAGCATACAATGTACTAAAACTTTAAATTTTGTGTTGGTTTCTACAATTGTAGTCAATTTCCTTACGTTTGCTGGATGATTGTTACTTTATTGGACATATAATTAACTTATCCAAGATGTTTGTTAATTTATTTTAGGTTTCAGATTCAAAAAAATCTACTTTATAACGTGATATGAGTTCTCTTCATTAGACGTCATTAAAAGTTCTTTTTTTTTATTTGAATATAGTAATTTTGGATGTAGATGACTAGTAGAATTCACTTATAAATTTGTCTAATATCCACCAAAATTATATTTCGTCGACTCTTCTTATAAATAAATATAGAAACCGAGTAAAAAGGCATATAAAATCTGACTATCACCATCATTGAAACTGTCAAGCAATTTCACATAATGAATAAAACACATTAAAGGATAAAAAAAAAATTGCCCCAAATAAAGGTTTGTTTAATTTGACTAATAATTTAAGTTTTGTTTGACTGGGTGGATAGGGGAGAAGATGAAAGCAACTGTGAAAATGAAGTGTTTGTGTGGGATAGAAGAGCACCAAAGAAGCGTGAAGTCCCTGCTATGCTTTTAATTAGATTGGGACCAAAGTTGGGTTTAATATTATAAAGACAATTCAAAACATATTAATCCTGTTTTTAATCCATATAGTTGAAGGTCACAAACTCCCCTTCATTACCCATGTATGGTTCAATTGACTCTTGACAACGGCATTGGCAATCAAACAAAGCATTGGTAAAATCAAGTCATACTCTAAAATTTATTAATTACTACCATTTTTGGGACGCCTGAATTTCTCAGCTGTTCACATGATATAACTATATATCTTAATATTCTATTATTTTTAATAAAAAATATTATAATATAAATATTTTTATTGTGATTTAAAGACACTCATTAAAAATTTGATAAAATAATGATTATAAAGATATCCTTAAAAACATTTCATTGATGTTTGACGGGGACATGCTTGGTCATATCTTGAAAATAATATTGAATACAGGGGCAAGTATTATGTGCTGTTGAATGATGTTAAATTTGCAGTGGAGAATACAGCAAAGAATTATTGCAACAGCTCTAAATAATTCTATAGTATTCTTCAAATTCATAATTTGATATTTAGGTCAAAAGATTAGTTGTTTTGTACTTGGACTAAAGAATATACGTTTGTTTGCTTGTGATCTTTTTATGTTTGGGAATATGTCACTAAATTAATGTAAAATAATTCAAACTAAATAGCATTGCTGAAGAAAAGAAACCAAACCCAAAGAACCTATTAGCATGTTTCAGCCAAACTCTTGGGATAAAAAGGTCTCTCAGTAATGCATGCAGCACATAAGGTGTGTCATTCTCAGTCTCACATGTAGATAGATATAGGTTTTGAGTGATCCTTGTGTGATTCCTTGTCCCATCAGAGCTAGCATTTACAGGTTGGGCCCTGCTTGGCTTCTATTGCAAAGACAATCAGAATAATCGACTTAATTGCTATGATAATTAATCAATATTACCAAAATTTTGAAGAAAACGAAGGCATTTTCTATCCACAACACATCACATGAACATAATTCCTACATTACAATTAAATTAAGGCCCCTTCTTTTTGCTACATACACAATCAAAGGCAGCATAATGCTCATTGCTATGTGTGCGCTATATGGACCACCTGAACTTAATTATAGCCAGGATGATTCATTAATACACCTCTGTTTTTCATTGGATAATCCAAACATTCTTATCAACCATTGCCTCGGTGCATAGTGTTTTTTTTGTTGTTGTTGTAAATAACACTTTTTTAGTGATTTTACTGTCTGCAAGTAAAAGCAGGCTCCATTTTGGGTAACAAAAATCTTGATGTCGGCTTAAGTCATGGGGAATTTGTGTTTCCATCATATGAGTTAATGCAAACATAATCATAATAACAGCTATTTTCTATGGGAGAACCATTTCACCCTTCCATAAATTTGTTTTTTGTTCTTCAAAAGAGAGAATTAAGACTGCACTATATCTTTTAAGAGCATATATAATCATGTATTTAAAAAAAAAAAGATTGCATTGAGGGAGCTAGTTGAACTAGAAATTCGATAAATTAGGCATCAATAATCACATTCAACCCAAATAATGGATTGATTCCAAAAGTTGTGAATATAAAAATTGAAAACAAAAATAGTGATGATTAACTTCTTTAACTAATTGACTTTATTTTTATTTTATATTTTAATTAAATAGAAGGTCCAATGTCCAACTCTTAAAGTTTCACGTACAAATTGTTATTTAGTATGATAATTTTTATAAAAGTTAATTTCTAATTATTTTTTGCCTTAATTATAAAGAATAAAAAATATCTTTATATGCATTAATTGTTATTTTTTGTTATACTTATTTGTTATGAGACTAATATATTAAATTATTTACCTATTATTTATATAATTAAATATATTTCTTAATTTAATATATAAATTATCAATTTAATTCTCTTTTAAACTACGAATATTTCTAAAGTACAACAAAAATTTATGATATTTAAATATTTTTTATTGATCTTGATAAATTAATTTTTTTAATAAAAAATAACAAATATTATTTTATCTAACATTATTATTAGTCTTTTTTCTATAGTACTTATAATTTAATCATTGTACATTAATTGAAACTTTTACTTAACTTAATTCTTTTCAATTTTATTTTAATATATTACTTATTATAGTATATGCAATTAAAAATATAAATTTAATTATTGTAATTTATTTAATTTAAAATTTATATAATAAACTAATATTTTATCTGCTTATTGATAGGTTCTATTTTTAAAGTACTGTATACATTTTTTAATATTATTTAATGAATTAAATTTTTGAACTGTTCAGAATAAAAAATGAAATAATTTAAATAAATAAAATAAAATAAATGAACGAACGATTGTTTTAACATGTATTTAAAAATCCACAATAACAAAATAATAAATAATATTTCTTAAAAATTTTAATAATTAATATAATTAATACATTAATTTTTAATAAAATTTTATTATATACAAATTGTTATTACATCTGTTCATTAAAAAAAGGATGGAAGAATTATTTGGACAAAGGCATGACAGACAGGTGCAAGAGCTTGAGAACCCTATGAGTGATTTGGACCAAAAGGCAAAAACCAATGAAATAATTGGAACACAAAATTTAAGCTTTACCTTTGACCCCTCTCTCTCTCTCTCTCTCTCTCTCTCTCTGCCTAATAGTCCACAACAGATTGAGTCTCACTCCAATCTATGACTTTCTCTCTCTAACCCAGAAGGCGGGGTAGAAGCTCTTTCTGCACTGTTTTTCTCTCCCTTTTCCCCATTGCTAAAGCAACGTCGCTGAGTTCTCATCCTTCAAATTAGGTACTCTTTTCCCCTCAACAAACTTTCCCTTTTAATCTCTTTGCATTTGGGGTGTGTCCCTTTGCCTTCAAGTTTTACTTTTTCTACCTGGGTCTCTATCCCGTTTCGGATCTGCTTCAGATTTGACTCCAAACCATGCTTCTTTGATCAAGATCCACTTTTCATTCAATTATCCCTTCATCACTTTCATTTAGCTGCTTATGGTAATTTTTCCCATCCAAATAGCCTTACATGTGTTCAAAAATTGCATTATCGAATTTTGTGATACCTTTCTTTTTTTTTGGACCTTCCTCTCCAACCCTCTGTATTCGTTCTGAGATTTTTTTTAATATTTATTTTGGGGGAGGGGTGTTGTGGGAGTTTGGTTTCCTCTTCACTGCCTCTAATCTTTAGGGTAGCGTGTGTTGTGGGGTTTGGGAATTGGGAAGTTATTGCATGTTTTGCTTGTTTACGCATCACTGTTGAGCTTTACTAATATATCTGATCATGGTATGCATGAAGCTCCACAGCTCAAGTGTTGTTCTTTTTAATATACAAGTCACTTGTTTACTAATTGGGTCATAGGTTGTCACTATTCGTTCATGAATAATAGCATATCTGCCCACTCAACAGGAGTTTAGGGCCTCATATGGCTAATTTTATTGTTTTTCACTACAGCTATGTCTGGGTGTATATATTTTTATATATCACTAAGTAGTGTTGTTTTGTAGATTATCGAATTATTTGTCTCGTGTTAAATGTGAATTAGTTGTATGGTGATTGTGTCAACGTTTGTCTTACTTCTTTGTTAATAGACCGGTAGATTGATATCTGTTTGCATATTATTGTTAAACCGAACATGGTTTCCACATCATACTGCAGTTAAATGGCTGACAACTTCTTGATGGTATTGATACCCTTGATAGGTTGTTTCTTATTATTGAAGAACTAAATGGATGATCAGCCGTGGATTTGGTATGTATGATCTAAATTGAAACTGTTTGTCATCTATGATGGACTCGGGAACTAGCGCTATACTTCCCCCAAAACATCATCAGAAGGTGACTGGGATCCAAACTGTAGAAACAAAAAACATTAAGCCTTCAGCACTGCAGGCTCAGAAGACAGATAAACCTGAACTTGTTGGTCCTAAAAGTTCATTGAAGTCTGTGCAAAACACACTGAAGCAAAAAACTGGGGACACTTTTGAAAACAAGTTGGGAATATCGAACCAAAAGGGATCTGCTGATTCGTTGAATGATAAATGTGATTCTGGATCCTCTGGTGCTTCCTTACCTGTTATTGACCAAACATCTGGAGAAGTTCACTCTGATGTTAATGAGAGCAGAAATCAAGAAAAAAAGACTTCAGAATATGGAAGTGTGAAGAGCAGTTTTGTTTCTGCTAAAGTTAGTGACGGGGCTGGCAGTCTTGCAAAGACCAGTGGAAGTGCCAAGATGAGTGACCGGGCTGATTTTGTTGAGAGTGGTAAGAGCAGTATTTGCAGAGGAAGTACAAGCAGTGATTTGAGTGATGAAAGTAGTTGTAGCAGTTTTAGTAGCGCTGTTAACAAGCCCCACAAGGCAAATGATTTGAGATGGGAAGCTATTCAAGCTGTTCGAGCTAGAGATGGGGTATTGGGTTTAGGTCATTTTAGACTACTGAAGAGGTTGGGTTGTGGGGATATTGGCAGTGTGTATCTTTCTGAATTGAGTGGAACTAAATGCTATTTTGCAATGAAGGTAATGGATAAAGGGTCCCTTGCTAGTCGCAAAAAACTACTCCGTGCCCAGACAGAGAGAGAAATACTGCAGTCATTGGACCACCCTTTTCTCCCAACTTTGTATACACATTTTGAGACAGAGAAGTTCTCGTGTTTGGTAATGGAATTCTGCCCTGGTGGAGACTTGCATACTCTTAGGCAGAGGCAGCCAGGGAAGCATTTTCCTGAGCAGGCAGTAAAGTATGTTGAACTTACAATACTTGATTTTGTTTCATTCTTGCTGTTTGTGATATAAGTCACTATTCTTGTGAAAATTGGACCTGATCTGAGCTATAATTCTAGGTGTCTTATTGCTATAGTATAGGTAAAAAACTAGGTTTGAGTCTTAATTACAGTAGGGCATCATACCCTATTTCAGGAGATTGTAATTAAAATCACCTTAATTTTCTTTTTCTATCTCTTTGCAAAATTCCCCTGGGAAGTTGTTTGAATTTCAAATTAGATACTTGGATGGTAGTCATGAGTGAATCTTATTTGTGAATCCTTATAGCTGTGTTGCTCTACTGCATTTCATTAAAACAACTGCTGAATTCTAATGCTCAGATTTTCACCGATGGGTGCACATGTGCATGTTTAACTTGTCATCTGTATCGATTAGAAAAGAAAAGCTTGTCATTTGTTAATCTTCCTCTGGTGCTCTCTATTTTAGTTGCATATGAAGTCAAATAATTTATTACAGACAATGTCAGACTCTGATAACAAGTTTATTTTGCCTGTGATGGAACCTTTATCTCTTCTGAAATGTCCAAACAAAGTAAGTAACATCAACAAGAGCAAAAGACAACCTTTGACACTTTTGATGAATTGAAGTAATTGTGGGAAGTGAATTGCATATCTTCAAGCCGTGAAGCTGGGGTTTAAACCTGAATGCAGTTGTAGAAGCTTGCTTGTGGGAAGATAAATTTAGTGTAAATCTTGATTGTCATTATAATAAAAGAACTGAATCTAACTAATGCTCTGTTTTGTTTCCTGGTCAGGAATAATGTCCGATACTCCTTAGGCACATTGTCATGATTCTTTTCTGGTTTTATCTTTTTAGGGGATTTTACCTGATACAGTCATGATAATGATTTAATTTGATGGTAGCAACTGTTAATTTCGTCTCAACTTGCAGATTTTATGTGGCGGAGGTCCTACTGGCTTTGGAGTACCTTCACATGCTTGGGGTTGTTTACCGTGATCTCAAGCCAGAAAATGTCCTTGTCAGGGAGGATGGACATATTATGCTCTCTGACTTTGATCTTTCCCTACGTTGTGCTGTTAGTCCAACCCTTGTCAAAACCTCATTCACAGATTCTGATCCTTTAAGAAAGAATCCTGTTTACTGTGCCCAGCCTGCATGTATTGAGCCACCTTCCTGCATCCAGCCATCATGTGTTGCTCCTACTACTTGCTTTTCACCTCGGCTCTTTTCTAGCAAATCAAAGAAGGAACGGAAACCCAAAACCGAAATTGGCAACCAAGTGAGTCCATTACCCGAGCTCATTGCTGAGCCTACTGATGCTCGGTCTATGTCATTTGTTGGAACGCATGAATACTTGGCGCCTGAGATCATCAAGGGTGAAGGTCATGGGAGTGCAGTTGATTGGTGGACTTTTGGAATCTTTCTATATGAGCTGTTGTTTGGAAAAACGCCATTCAAGGGATCTGGAAACCGAGCTACATTGTTTAATGTTGTAGGTCAGCCTCTGCGGTTTCCTGAAGCACCTGTTGTGAGTTTTGCTGCAAGGGATCTTATAAGGGGGTTGCTTGTAAAGGAACCTCAGCACAGATTGGCATATAAAAGAGGGGCTACTGAGATTAAACAACATCCCTTTTTTGAGGGTGTGAATTGGGCATTGATCCGGTGTGCTACCCCGCCAGAGATCCCAAAGCCAGTAGAGTTTGAGAAGATACCTTCTCCAGCTTCAGCAGCCAGTGAAAAGGCTGTCCATCATATGACAATACCAAATCAGAAAGGTTCTGATAATTACCTTGAGTTTGATTTCTTCTAGGGACAGACAACATTGATTCCAAAAGGTTTCTGTTAGGGGAGGAACTGTTTTTTTCGATGTCTAAGGAACAGATGATGAGGAATTGTATGTTTGTTTTTATTTTCTGTTGCAGTTTTATATTTGTATGGCATGATTAATGCATGGCTTCTCTGTCATGTCCAAGGTTTAAAAGAAAATTTCCCTACTAACTCACAAATATGCCTTAGGAAACCAGTAGGAAAATGTGGAAAGGCAGAAAGCACTACTCTATAGACTTGAAAATCATTTAGAATGTAAAATGCTTTAGATGATTTATTTTCTGCTTAGCATTGGGCACTTATGCTTTGCAACACCTCCATTCGAGTAGTAACCCTCACCTTGCATGCGATGGGTAATTGCGATCCTGTGTATTCTGCACCAGCTACTGTGTTTATATTTTATGCACATTTGGATCCTCTCCTCACACTTGTCTCATTTTTTGCTTACTTTCAGATTAACGATCTCTTAAACATTTAATTAACATTAGTATATCCTTCCAATATTTGCATTATTAAATAAATTTTGAAGATTAAAAACGATGTTTTTCTATTTTCCATGTTTAAAGATTATTATTATTATTATTTTATGTAAATAACAACAATTTGTATGTTTCCTTTTAAACGTTTTTTTGAAATATTATAATATTATTTTACTTCCTTTTCTAATATCTCTGTATTATTATTATTATTTATTATTTTAATTTTATATTAATAAATTAATTTCATTTAAACAAAGAGTATATTAAAACAAGCCTAACTATACTAAATGCATTAACGATATATTGTTTTTTTATGATATATGAACTTTTTTTATTGGGAGCATTTGATAAGAAGATTTTTTAAAGTTTTTAAAAAAGTACAAGTTAAGAATGTTAAGTTATCGAATTTGATGAGTATTTTCAAGAACCTATCATTTTAAGAATAATTTTTAATTTTGAAAATTATTTGTGTCCAAAAGTTAGAAATATAATATTCTTGTAAAGATATAAAAATATAATTGTATCTTCCAACGTGTCTAAATTTAAGCATAATTTATGCTATATCTCTATTTAGTTAGTTGTTACCAAATACGCAATTTCTATCATTAACTGGTTATCATAATAAAATTTATAACTCTCACCGATCATGTGCATAACTTAGCTTACAGTGTAACTTTATATCATATTATTATATAATTTATCTATGAAATATATATTTCATAAAAAATATAACTATGAAAGAAACATAATTTCTAAGAGTTTAAAAAATGATGGTTAAAAAAATCTGGACCTAAATAACCATAACGAACTCAGTATTAAACGCTTCAGTGGGACCAATCCACGGGCTTCAATTTTCTTTTCCTGTGAAACACTGCCATTGTCTCTGTAACCAATCATCACTTCTCTTCCTTCGCCTATGATTTTGATATCACACTTTTCCTTTGCATCTTTTAGTACCTTGTCCCCTATGCAATTTTGCCTTCTAGACCCATATTTTCTGTTCATCCAAATAATTAAACAATTACAAAACGCTGTTCTTATTATTATTTTAGTGTCACATATGGATCGCTGACTCGTTACCTTGATTTTCCAATCACCAATTTCCTTATATCAAGATTATCGACAAGGTCCACGATGGCTTTAGCAACGTTGTCACCCTCAACAAGCATCATCTCCACCTTAACCTGTATGTTGGTATTAGTGTTACTATCATTTATTAAAATATATATCCCTAAAGAACTCTGCCAGATTACGTTTCCCAAATTAACAAGGATTTCTTTACCTTCGAAACAACGCATAGGTCAACGAACTTTCGAAGGAGCATTTTCCTCTTCCCTCTCTCCTGCGTTAAGTGGATGTTAATATACTCTGCATTTACATGACTCCTCGGAATTCTTCCCACTGTTATCAAACGTTCAAAACATTATTAATACACAGTAAAATGCCAGCAAGATGATAAGAAGTAATTGACATCTCTTTCCTTACATTAAACAACTAAGTTTGAAAGAAATTTAGACCAATAAATTCCCCTTCGATTGAAAAATAAGGAAATTATTTTTAATCTTTGAATATAATTAAGATGTATATTCAAATAAATTAAAATAATATATATATTTTCATTCAACGTGTGTTTTTATTAAAAAATACAAGTATTAAATTTTGGAATAAAAAACAAAACTTGTTTTCATTTTAGAGAAGACAAGTAACCCTATAAGGAGAAAGGGACTTATTTGACTATGCACGTCTACCACTAAGATCACAAGCGGAGGAGAAGACAAAATGGTAGAAATGAACGAAAAGACTTACAGGGACTTGGAATGAGCTTGACTTTAGGGAAAACGTGTAGGAGACAAACGGTGGTAGAGGGTGTCACTGCCTGTTTCAGGGCCCATGAAAGTGCTTCCATGCTCGATTCTCCATCGCTTCCCACTGCCACATGAACAACGTTATCTTCATATTTGGCGTTGTGGATATCAAGATCAAGAGAGAACACAGTGCTCTCGCACTCTTCTCGTATTGTATCCAAAGACAGAGAATCCTTCATCAGATTGATTTCAAACAGCTCCTCTGAATCTTCTCCGTCTCCTATCTCGCTGTTGTTGCTGTTGCTGCGGCTAGGGCTGTAATCTATCACCTGGTTTCTCTTCAACCCCATAAAACTACAATTGCAAATAGTGGACCTTTCGTCATCGGAATCGTAGTGCATGCACTCGTCATCGTGCTCAGTTTCCAATGACCTTGTTGTCATGACGATGTTCGCTTTCTCTTCAACTTGGTTTCTTTTATGGGTTGTGATCGATGGCTATAGTTAATTTGGACAAAAGTATAGAAGGTAGAGAAACAAGAATGAAAGGATCGAGTAGAGTGCAAATTTTTATTTGATATATTAGAATGTATGTTCGTTAATTAATGGTTATGTTGTATATACCATGATTCACTCAACAGTCTAAGTTGACTGGAATATATACACAACTCCTAATGCAAGATATTTAATGCTCCAAATTATTTATAAAAAAGAGTGATTAATTTTGACTTTTCCCTTGTTCCTGCCCAAGAGATACGACATTATCGCTATATAAAAAATCTCTTTTAATTTTCTTGGATTGGAAGAGAAGTGATAGATAGGAATTAAAAAAAGATAGAAAGGAATAAATATAATGTGATATAAACTGTTTTTCTACACCCTAATAGGATGTGTGTATACCTCACAGATAGAGAAAGAAAAGGAAATAAGATGGTAACTAATAAAAATTAAAGAATAGATAAAAAATTAACATATTTAAGACAGAATAGATAATTTTTTATTAAAAATTATAAAATGTTATGTAATTCAATGTATATGTTTATATATTTTTATTAAGAGTATTTATACAATTTATATATGTTTATTATTTAAATTTTTATTGTTAATTTTAATGTTTCAATATTTATAATATTATTATTTTTATATTAAGTTATTTAACATATTATATAATATTAAATATATATAAAACTACTAATAGTTTTAATCTTAATTAAACTAATGAATTATAAATCAATATCTTTACTAACTAGTTTGATGATCAAACTGATTTTAAAAATACTCGTTTTCTTAACAAGTAATGATATTTTATCCAATATCACCACTAAATTAAGTTGTTTATACTTGTTATTATAAATAAAAGCTAGTTGAATAGCAAAAAAAAAAAAAAAAGCTAGTTGCCTATCTAAGTATTTATTTTTAAATAAAATGGATCATATACTGAAATAAAAGTTTTGAAAAAGTGTAAAGTGTCATAAAGATGTCAAATAATTTGTAAGGTTAATTATATGAATTTTTAAAATTACACCGTTAAAAAAGCAAAATTACTCAAATTATTAAAAAAAAACGACAGATCATTATAAAATTATAAAACAAAGAATTAAGCAAATTCATATTTGCAAAAATTAAAGTACCAAAAGCATAGGATTACTATATATATATATATTCTTCATACCGGGCATTTGCCTTTTTCCTGTGACATAATTAGAATATTTAATGCCCTAACAACACCATTTGACCAGTTGATAACCAATTTATAACGAATGTACGTGTGTTTCAACAATAGGTTCACACGTTAGGGCAAATTTAGTACAAATTTACTTTCATTGACTATGAGAAATAATCTTTTTATTTTATTTTTTCTTAAAATAATAGTTATTTTATAATTATAAGGTAGAATTATTTTTTCTTTCAATGTTATCCTTAAAATAGTTATTATCTCAAAATTTATTCTTTATTTTCTCACTCTACTCATTTATTACATAAATAAACTTCAAAATAAGTATAATAGAAAATTTTATAATACTTAAAATCATTAATATGTATATTTTAAATCTTGTAGTGATGATAGAATATATACTATATTAACAAATAATTTTACTATATTATAAACATTAATATGTAATATTCATACTTCATATGCTATAATATGATGTTTTATATTATTAGTATAAATTTATTTTTTTCTCTTTCTCTACCCATTTTAGAGGTGAAAAGAGATGTTATTGTTCCTTTAAATCGTATATCCATGAGTATTTTAAATTTTGTATATTGACAAATTAAGCGAGAATCAAACGAATATGCCTTTTGTGATGAGGTATAACTAGGGCCATACACTTCCGTTGATGTCAAATTACATGCTTAGTTTAATACGAACAATATTTTATGATCGATGCGTTAAGGAGTGATTGCGTACCTCAAAAGATAATTTTACACTAAATTTATTGTTTTTGAGGTAAACGATCCTCTTACATCCTCATTTGGAGGTATGATATAAAAAAGAGGTAAAAAAGAGTATATGTAAGGGATCAAACGTAAACAATGTTCTTAAGGAAATATCATATCTATGCAGATAAAATTCATATTTAACTGGGAAAAAAAGATGCAACCGTTAAGGAAAGCAAAATTGAACAAAACAGTGTTGCCAGCATTTCTCTTGTAATAGAGTCCCATGTTTCTCTTCTTTTGAGTTACGTTTTTGGAGTGAGTTATATTAAGACCACTACATTTTTAATACCTAATGTATGTGGAGATTCTGGAGAATAGCCATTGAAGAGAGATACAAGAAAAAAAAGGAGAACCAAGGTTATACATTAAAAGTTCCACCATTAAGAAATTAAACCTTCCTATTACTTAAGTAATATTGTCCACTTCTGGAGTGTTAATTACGCAGACTAAACACAGCAACATAACGTTGTAATCTTTAGAAGTGAAAAAGTTCCTCTGTTTTCATTAATAAGGAACCTCACTTTGCACTTTATATTACAATAATATTCAACTCTCAATTCTGCCATTCGTTAAACTAAGAAATTAAAAACATTACCAGACTGTATTCTCCATAATGTTGTATGAAAATATAGTAATCATTTAAACTTGGGTTTGAAGCAAATACATGAAATCGAATCTTGTTGATGACCACCTTTTATGGTTATGGAAGTGTCATTAGCAGTGGTAGCCGCCTGTGGAGGGGGTGACATCATCTGCTCATTTACTTCCTTCCCTTCACATATAATTTTCACCTTGCAACTTTGTGGTGCATTCTGCAGTATCTGATTGGCTACGCCATTCCCTTTTCTTGATTTTGATTTTCTGTTCATCCAAATTAAATGTGAGTGCTCAAATATGAAATGCTTATAATATAATGATATTGGCAAGAGTAGTGTACCTTAGATGGAATTTGTTGGCGCCAATCACTAAATTTCTTATTTGAAGAACGGGGATCAGATCGAGGATAGCCTTTGAAACCAAGTCACTCTCAATCAAGATGGTGTCTACCTTTACCTGTAAATATTTTTGTTACTTTTTTTTTATTTCTTGGTTTCTATGGAATTGAATAAGAGCTTGGTTTTTTCCATTGGATTCATAGAATTAGAACCTTGGAAGTAGAACATGATTGGAGGAATTTCTGTAAGAGCTCTCTCCTCTTGCCTCTTTCTTGGGCAATATAACTCTCCACCTGCTCAGCACTCACTTGATTCCTTGGAATCATTCCTATTCCCACTGTCAAAAAAAAGTTGCAAGACACGTTCACATCTTTAGATCCATGAGGAGAGGCTGATCAACAACAAATTACATTTGAATATTTTGTTGGTAAAAAAAACCGGGGCAAATTTTGAAGTAAAGAAACCAAAATGCCAAAGGAAAAGTAAAATGTTGTGAATCAAACTATTCCCCTTTGACGTTTTTGCCACCTTAAATGGCATATCAACCTCTTTTTCCAACTTTTCATCCACTTTCCCTCAAATTCAACCTGATAGGTAGGCCCACCCTATGGCGTTTGACCAACTTGCACCCATCTACCATTGAGATATGAGATAAAGAGAAAGAAAGAAAGAAACGGTGATGGGAGAATTGTTACTATTATTAAAAAAAAGGGATGGCGAAAATGATGTAAATTACATGGATTTGGAATGTGCTTGATCTCAGGGAACACGTGTATGAGATAAATTATAGTAGAGTGTGTAACCAAGTTCTTGAGTGTCCAAGACAAAGCATCCATGCTTGTTTCGCTCTTGCCCACTGCTACATATACACAGTCTTCTTCTTCTTCTTTTTCTTCAATAATGGTGGCTATAGGCTCATCATGGTTGTCCTCTTCCTCTATCTCACTGACGCCCGTGCTTCTGTAGCCGTAGTTGAACATCTGGTTGTTGGGGGAGTATTCCATGTCCATGTACACACCTTCATCAAGAAGGTGCAATTAATGTTGTCTCATTTAACCATGCCCACATATATTAATTAATTAATAATTGAAGGACGCATTAGCTAGTTTTGTTGGTTTAATTAGACTTTAGAGAAGAGAAGGGAAGAGAGGAACATAGTGAATGACATATATATGTATATACATATATATATATACGTGATAAATAATGGAGAGAGAAAGTTTTCTACCTTGTTTAGCTTAGAAACTCAAAAGTGGAAAGACACACACTCCCTTTCTCTCGTGAGCTTCTATAGCTTCTACCTTCTTTTTCTCTTCTGAGACAGAATCGTAGAAGCTTGATCAGTCTCAAACGCCGGTTTGTTTCGGAGGCTCCTAGGAATTAGCCCTTTGAAGGAAGCCTTTGTTTTCCTCCGCCAAAAGAACGATGCCATTTTACCCACACAAACATACGTTCGGTTATTTCTAACTGGAAACTTTCACTTTTGCTTTTCTTTACCGTGCAAAAATATAGTATTTTTAATATATATATATATATATATATATATATATATATATATATATATATATATAATTCTTGTATTTTAAAAAAAATATTAGCTCAATGTGATTATACAAAAATAAATAAATTATAAGTGACACAAAAATTATATACAATAACAACTGAATTAAAACTAATATTTTTTGTCATCACTTTTCTTTATATGAAAGTTTAATATTTCTAAGTGCTTACAGTTAGTCTTCAAGGTTTATATTTTAATTTTAATAAATCGTGATTTAATCTAATGATTAATATATTTTTTTCACTAACGTTTACAACTATTCTTACTTAATAAGTTGTGTATTATTTGGACTAATTATTATGTCATTAACATTTTAATCAAAATTTTTAAAGAAAACTATTTGTTGACACTAACTTTTTTTAGTGTAAAGTAGATCGAGAAAAGATAAAAATGAAAAAAAGAGAGAAAAAATTGCATAATATAAACAAAAAAGAAAGATAGAAAGAAAGTAAAAAATAAAATATTAATATAAAAATATAAAAAAATTGTTAAATGAAATTTATTTTATTTATTATTTTATTGAACAAGCATCTTTAATATATAAAAGTTAGCTGCTTATATATATATATATATATATATATATATATATATGTATATGTATATAAGAATAAGATGATAAAAAATAAATAAAAGTAAATATAATTTTTTTTAAAAAGCACATATATTTTTTTTATCGAAACCAATAATATTTGAGTGAAATTATTGTGAGAGAAAAGTTTTTTCTCTAATTATTTATTAACACAGTTGCATTCTTTAAAATTTATACTTTCTACGTGAATAAAAACTCAATTTTGTTGAAGATCCATCTTTAATATATAAAATTCAGTTGCTCAATTATTTAAATTATTATATTTTAATTAAATGTTTAAAAAATAAGATAAAATAATCATATTTTAAGCAGATTCAAAAGAATATTCTTTTATTCTTTTTGTGACATTAGTCGGTAGGATAAGAAGAATTTCAGTACAACGATCTTAAACATATTTTTAATATACTTTTTATGATCAATTAAATTCTAAAAAATTAAAATAGTTTTTAAAAAATAATTTACATGGCACATGTTTTAATTTTTTAAAATAAACCAATTATATTATAAAAAAGAGTGTACAATTGCATCAAAATTGTGGGCATTCCACGTCAAATAATGAAAAGTCAAAACGTAACACGAGAATGGTTGCATATATTTATGGCCCCATTATTGATTCAAAACTCCCAACCACGCCAATGACGTCTTAGTATCACTCATTTTAATATCAACATGTCACGTTGTTATTTAATCCAAAGTTGGTTACTTTGTCGCAATGCTTTTTCTTGTTTCTGATTTCTCAAATGGATATGCGTCAAAATCCTCTGTTATGTCACTTGGTTTTTCTCTGACGCAGTCGTGATTCCCCGTCGTGGTATCAGCAGGCACTTCTGATATAAAGGTTAGTAGTAACGTGTTTTTCTTCATATAAAAGATTGTTCATTTTTGTCTATTTTTTCAATAATTTGAAAAAATCACAAATACAAAACTAAATGATTCCAAATATGAAGTTTGTAATAATTCCATAAACTTACAATAACATACACTAAAACTACCATAATCTATAAATAAATTTGTAGCAATTACTATCAAGTTCCAAGTATTTTTAATCAACGTGTCACCCAAAATAAGTAATTTTTTTTCAACATCAATTCACGTTGAAAGTAAGCTTTTCATTTGTTTGAACAACTAATAAACTTTTCAATTTTTGGAAGCTTGACCATGACCCAGAAAATTCTCCTCCATTTCGGCTTTTAACCTGCTAATAAGCTTAGAAAAATTGTGCAGAACATCACCAGGAAATGTCATATCTTATAAAATCCTTAATATGCAAAATTTGATAATAAGAAGAACACGACCATGAGTTGGTAGACACACAGCAGTAGTAATCTACACGTACATCGGTGTGTGGGGCAAGAGAAGACACCTAATGTTAGGGAAATGATGGAAATCTATGAGAAGGGGACACGTTAAAAGTTTGCAGTGCTATAAAGTAAATGAATGAAGATATATAATAGTTCACTGATTCACTTCATACAAAAATCCGCGATTGAAATTGATTGTTCCGTGTGAGGTTTTACACGAATGGATGTTTAAATTATGTGTATGTTTTTCTCTATTTTCATATAAAAACTATAAAGTATTCACATAAAGAACTCATTCTCTTTCGCGACAAAAAGAAAGTTTTCCATAAAAATAAAGGCAGTGTTAGATGGTGTAGAGTTATCTTGTAACGTGCTTTTAGTTAAGCTTTTTCTTTTTAGGTGCATGCGTACTATAACCCTTTTCTTTCGGTTTTATTTTGCCCACTTTTTTTTGCGTTTGGTTAATTTGATAATAGAGTGTGATTCTAACTAGTCACTTAATTGTTGGGTGGGGCATGACCATACAATCACTTGATCTTTACTAGCCAACTCATGCCATTGTTGGATGACAAGCAAGCTTCCAATTTGCACACAGTATATTAGAAGACATATAGGAAAACACCTTTTTACTTGTTACATTTCACTTCCCTTTTCCTTTTATCCCATGAAAATGACGTTTCAAGTCAATTTTTTTCTTAACTATAAAGGATAACGTGAGTTACACCTTTTTTTTCCCAATTAAATAAATTTTAAAATATAATTGTAAGAAGAATATTTAAAACAGAGGAGTTATAAAATGCACAATTAATTTTAAAGATTTTAACTAATTAGAGTTTTAAAGTATTAAAAAAAAATTACAAATTACAAGAATGAGAAAATAATAGAATGTTATACCATTCCTAAAATGAGGGTTCTACTTTATTTTATTCTAGAATAGTATGAGCAATCATCAATATCAGAAATAATACTTTCATTAAAAAAAAGTGAATAATAATAAGTCCATAACTAACATTGAAGATTTAGCATTTTATTTTCAGAGTTGAGTTGTTTGACTTATGTTTTATTCAAAAGCTAACAACTCGGAGCTGGCAAAAGTTCACAACATAAAATTAAATTATAAAATAAAAAGAACTGTTGTCCTAAAATGGCAAAGGATGACTAAAAAAATCAGAAATGTTGTTTTTAGTTTTTCTTTTTTTTTTGGGTCAACTTTTGACAACAGTTTTCAGCCACAGATATGATGTGATCCATAAAAAGAAAAGTAAAATAATATGAATATGCAATATAAATGCTAAAAAGTGCTTCAAAATAAGAATAAAAAATGATAAATTGAAGAGAGAATTACAATTATTTACAAAAGCCGAAAGATGCATATTATATTGGGCCCCAACAGAGAGACCATGAGGTCGTTCGTAAGCGCATGAGGATCATTCAAATTTTTATTTCGGAGTCATCTCCGGTAAATATTATTTGAACGCGTGTTAAAAGTTTTTAAATTCAAATTTAAAGATCTAAATATGATTTTAAATTTGTTTAATTTATAATATGATTATTTTTTGCTTTTAAACATTTATTTGAATTAATATAACAAACTATAGTTTTTGAGTTTAAGTTGAAAATTTTATATTAAATTTTGTTACAAACTTATATTTAAGAAAAATAATTTAAACATTAATTACATCACTTTAAATTTAATTCTAAATAAAAAAATAATTTGAATTATGGCATAATAAATTGGACAGGGAAGGCGAAAACAGATGGAGAAGAAAAGTAAAAAAGGAAGAAAATGCAATGAAGATTGATAGTAAATAGTAATAATTAAGAGAAAAAGAATTTAAAAAGAGAGTGGAATTTGTAGGTGGGAAGAACTTGGTCGTAGGCCCGCCTTTGTTGAATCTTCACTTCTCTTTCTTTGTCTGCTTCTACTTATGCAATTCTGCACTTTCTCATTCTCTCTCTCTCATTTGCACTAACTGTGAAAACGAAGCTAAGCAAATTGCACAAACAGTTGAAGACCAACAAATGGGGCTGGGTTCCCAGGATGCCATCAACCAGTTGCAGACATTCATCGACCAGGGTAACCCTCTCTCTTTCTCCTCTATCTTTCATTCCTTTCTTCTTTTTCTCACTTCTTTTCCCTTTCTTCTTTTCAATTTTCAACAATGCTAGTTGAGGAGCCTCTGCGTTCAACGTTTCAGGTTAGCATTTTGCATTTTTGTTTATCTGATTCCATTCTAACGCTACTCAATTTTCTTCAACTCTCTTTCTCTCTCTGTACTCGCCTTTTTGGGGGAACTGCTCTGTACTCCCTTGATCTGTTTCAATTATCGTCTATTGGTTTCGTGTATGGCTTCTGGGATGCCTATGGAACCTTGAAATTCTCTTTTTTTTTTTTTTTTTTTTTTTTGTGTCTGAATGTTTCACTTGTCTTGTTTGACTCGTCGGTTTTTACTTTTTATAGACCTCGGATATCTAAGTTCTAATGTTTCGGGATTTCAATTCTCTATGTTAAACTGTTTGCTGTAATCTTTCTTATGTTTCACGCGTTCGCCTAATTTATAAAGCGATACTAATATTTCTTTCTGTTTCTGGGAATGCTACTAAAGTAAAGATAATTACTCAACTATTTATATGAGGTTTGTTGAAAACTGGGAATCTTCAGTGATCGATTAACAAATACTTAAGTAGAAAAGCTAACAACTCTTCCTGCCCTAAATTTTAAATACCTTGCTTATTTGGATTCCTATTACCTTTTGACATTCTGAATCTATATAACACTTCTCTCTTTCTCTTCTTTGGGATTTATTCACTTTAATCGACAGAATGTTCATCAAGGAAATGTCACTGAAACTTTAATGCGGTTTCTTAAAGCAAGGGAGTGGGATCCTTCCAAGGCCCACAAAATGGTATGTTTCCTTTTGTTGAATGTTTTGCTTGCAAATATTTCTTCACTGTCTGCAACATAATGTATGTCTTTTTTATGTTTCAGTTGGTTGATTGTTTAAAGTGGAGAGTACAAAATGAAATTGACAATATATTATCGGTAAGTTTTTATTTGTATTGCCTTTACATGATTTCCTTAATAGTGTATGGATTTGTCAATCCATACATTTTTTTAAAGTTCAGTTCTTGTCGGTAATTGGGAGACTTGCTCCGTTATAGTCTTGTTGTTTGCTATTTTGAAAGTAATGGCAACAAAATGTGTCTTAATAGTACATTAATGGTAAATTTTGAAGTTGGTAATTTATTACATCAAGTATGTCTTTGTGGTGATTTATTTTCAGAAACCAATTGTTCCTGCTGATTTATACAGAGGTGTGCGTGATTCACAACTCATAGGATTGTCAGGCTACTCAAGAGAGGTGTTCATTCTCAAACATAATATGTTTTCCATTCCATTTCATCTTATTCATGCTTGAAGTGAACATGTTTGTTTTTCAAAAAAACACAACTTCGGCTTTATGGCCATGCACTTTTTTAATTGATATTGAATATTGATTAACATGATATGGCTTAGTTGATCTTTTTTATTTATTTTTTTTCGCTTTTAGTTGTTCCTTTTTTAATTTTAAGCTTCTTGTTCTGCCTTCGTTCCAGGGCCTGCCTGTCTTTGCAATTGGTGTTGGGCTTAGCACATTTGACAAAGCTTCTGTAAGTTTAATTGTTAGAAAAAAGAAAAGGGGGTGTTGCATTTTTGGAGCACAATCTGTTGTCTAAATCTATTCATTTTAAATTCTATTATCTTGTGTCATTTTTTGTGTTTGCATGACTGTAGGTCCATTACTATGTGCAGTCTCACATTCAAATTAATGAATATCGTGACCGTGTTATCTTGGTGAGTATTAATCTTTGGACTCTTTATTAACTAGGTGAACTTTTTGTTCCTTTGTTTTGACCCGTTCATGGCTGCAGCCTTCTACATCAAAGAAGCATGGGCGACCTATAACAACTTGTATAAAGGTTTTAGACATGACTGGTCTGAAGCTATCAGCCCTGAATCAGATTAAGGTACTTTTTAGTTCATACTGCTACTTGATCCCACTGCATTGGCATACCCAGGGATTATTTGTAAATTGAATGTATGGATAGTCCACACTTTAAAGTAAATTTTGAATGGTAAATAGTATTGCTGTATAGGATTGGTATAGTGAACAAGTGCGAGACTGTAGAAATTATCATTAACAGATTGGGATCAGTAACTGTAGCATATCTGAAAGTGGTATTAGACATCCACACAATTGTACTCCCAATATTCCGAGTTTAGGTCGAACTTTTACTGTTATTGGTTCATGAAGACAACCTTAAAGCAGAAAATGGTCAATTCTTCCCCACTGTTTTTGTATATACTATATCATTGACTTGTTCATGCTGATGCAGTTGTTAACTATTATATCATCCATTGATGATCTGAACTACCCTGAGAAGACAAATACTTATTACATTGTAAATGCTCCATACATATTTTCAGCTTGTTGGAAGGTGAGAAATTATTTTTACCAAAAGAAGAATATTAATATTCCATATGACTTGGTTTCCAGTATGATAATTTTATTTAATATAGCAGTTTAAGTTGAGTTAATATTGAGACCTCAGCATGATCTTAAACACTCAACATTAACAGGTCGTGAAGCCACTTTTACAAGAGAGGACAAGAAGAAAAGTGCAGGTGTTGCCAGGTTGTGGACGAGATGAGCTGTTGAATGTAAGTTTTTTGTTCTTTTTTTTTACACCCTCGTTTCTTTGAACAAGACTCAATAGTGCATGCGATGCAACAGGAAATTATGCTATGATGAAGAAAAAAAACTTTTTGCCACTTATCATTATCTCAGTCGTGCAGAACCTATAATCCAGTAGCACCTAATAATTTCACAATGGGAAAGATAATTGTGAAAGTAGTGAATATGTTTTCCTTTAAATGGTAACAATAAATAATGCAATACAAACAGAATAAAAAACACATCAGGAAAGCAAAATTATGCAATCCTACTGCATACCAGATAAGAGAGCCATCTACCAAAGCCATTAGCAGACTGCAAAACAGCAATAAGATGTCATGTGGGCAATTTTTGCCCTAGATAAGAAACAGTGGTTTCATACACTTGCCCTCCTGACACAGTTACACTTCACTGTGCCTTTGAATCTTGATGGAAATTTTTTCAATCTTCCTAGACACTGCTATCAATCACTGGAGACACCAACAGTAGTTGGAAAGTGTAGAAATAAAATAATAAAATATGTTTTGTAGTCCCTTTTAATATGGTTAAATTGTGATTTAAAAATTATCTGTATTAATACTTAATAATAACGTGTCGTATTATATGCTGCCTCAAAATGGTTGTTGCCATGGTGTGTAGATGCATGTCATGTAATCACTAATGGTGACATTTTAAAAAAATTTAAAAATTACAAGAATCAAAACTAACCAAAAAAAAAAAAATGGAGGACAAAAGATGTAATTATATTTACAAAGGACTAAAAACATATTTAAGCCAAATGAAACTACTGCAAATTCCAAAATTGGAATGCATAAGAGAAAATTAGGAAAGAGTGCTTTATTTGTCTGTGGATCTGTAGCACAAGTTTACTGTTATTAATTTGCAACAATTTGTTATAAAACAAAATCAATCTCATTCTAATAAATAATTTTTTATAGGATGATTTTTTCACAAATCTAGTGTTGGAGAGTATTCCGTGCATATTATTCATGCATTATTTTTTTAAAAAAAATTATCCCTATCAAAATATCTTAATGTAGAAAATGTTTTTAAATGAAAATATCAGCCACTTAATAATGAATTTATTCTTGATTAAGTTTCCTAAAATTTGACATGTAATATCTACGTAAATATTAGTTGTGCTTCAATTGATGGATATAATCAAAATCATTTCTTTAATAACAACAATGAAATTGTGTCAGCTCATCACACATATGAATAGAAATACCTTTTGTGGTATAATGGTCCGTGTAGTTTGTCTATAAAAAGTAGTAGAAGTCATTGCTGAAAGTGCATGTATTGATTCTGAAAACAACTTTACTTTTTATTTTATATTCCTTTTATTATGCATATGGTAGTTCTCTTGAAAAATTGAAGGCATATTCTATTGTACCTACCATCTATGTTTACGTTGTCTGAATGAATTTAACAAATTAAATTTGGTGTGCAGATCATGGATTACTCGTCTCTGCCACATTTCTGTAAAAAAGAAGGCTCTGGATCATCCAGACATTCAGAGAGTGGAAGTGAAAATTGCTATTCCTTGGATCATCACTTCCATCAACAGCTCTACAACTACATCAAAGAGCAAGCCAGACTCCGTGAAGCTGTTGAACCCATCAAGCAGGGATCGTTTCATGTAGATTTTCCAGAACCTCCAGATGAGGAAGTAGAAATTGCCAAGACCATAGAGTCAGAGTTACACAAGTTTGAGAACGGCAATTGTGACTAATACTTTTATTTAGGATCTCCAGTTGAGACCTCAAAATATGTAGAGGGGCTCCACATCAGAATTACTTTTATCAGGATTCAGCAAAATTAGTTAGCGTTGGTTATGTATGTTAAGAGAAACTTGGGTAATGAGCTTAATGCGAAACCCAGCTTTTCATCGTGTCACAATGCAAGAGAGAAATGTCAAATATAATATTTTACATCTCGAAGTATGATCTTTTGCATTTTTGGTCTAAATTTTTCTGAATTTTCTTTCTTGATTCAAATATAAGACATTAATCTGTTAATGTTAAAAGCATTGTACTTGAAAATAAGGAGTACGAATTTAATTGTATTATTTGTGGCAAAAAAAGTAATGTCATTTACTTTGTATTTAAATAATATTAATCTCAGTTAATCCAACTCTCTTAATTTCAATGCTAATATTATTTTATTTTCTATTTCTAATACTTGTATACATTTCAAATTATTTTGAAGTAAGGAGATTAAAAAAAATAGTATATTTTTTGTCCAGTAACTGTAATTCAGTGACAATTACTTGAATGCCTGAACCTTGAATCATGTTACTTTCGACTAATGATTATGGTTTTGATTACTACGTGAGCGAGCTAAACACGATATGTTTGCGATATAAGCAGAAGCTGATCATATGCATGTTGAACGGCATAAGGAAAAAACACTTTATTTCTTGTACTTCCAACCTCAAGCTTTGCGTGATTGTGCATAAAGAATAGCTACATATTATGTTTTCCCTGGAATATACAAGAGTCAGAAACTGTCTGTTGAGTTGAGGGTCCTAGGAATAAGAAAAGAATAAGAATGTTGACATTGAGAAGTTGTTTCTTTTCATATTTGTTTTTGAACGATGGAAAAAATGAACAGTTTCCAAGCCTACTGGTAGAGTTCATGGTACATAAGCGATCGTCCGGTGCAAGGAGTCTTCCAAATAAAAGGCTTCTAAATGGTCAATGGTATTAGTCTTGAAGAATTATCTGAGTGCTCCAATGTGCTGGAACAAGCATCAGCAACCACCTCTTGTTCTTGTTTTTGCAACCTCATCAGTTCACTCTCAATTGCCATTATTGCAGAATCTGCCATCTCTGCATTCCATAAAGCCACTTCAGTTGCAGCCCTTGTTTCCTCAATTGCTTTCAGATTAGTTTCCACCTTTCTGTCTATTTCATTTGTTCTTGTGTAGATTTCTTGCAGTTCTGCCACTGCTTCTGCCTCTTTCTTTTGAACCAAATCTTCACACTCTTTCACTTTTCCTCTCAGTGACTCAAACTCTTCATTTGACATTTTGATCTTACCATTGAATCTTGAAGTTGAGACCTTACCAACTTCAGACAAAATCTTCATCTCCTTAATGGCTCTTAGGTTCGCTGCTTTTGCTTCTTTAGCATCCATCAAAACAAGCTCAAGTCTTTTCTCTGCTTCTTCAGCTGCGGCCCGGGATTTTTCAGCTTCTTGCTTCAGTTCTTGAGCCTTGATTTTCATCTCTTCTGCTTCTCTTCTTGCATCTTCTGTCTCCAATTGTAGCTTCTTGATTTTCACACTCTGGTCGTAAAAGATATTAGCTTCGAAATCCTCCACAGTACCTGGCTCAGGTCTTGCCTGTCCCATGCTCTCTTGAATTTCACCAGTGAGGTTAGCACCAAGAACTTTTGCTGCCTGTTCCTTCTCATTCATTTCATCGTGCTCTTTCTTCACTTGCTTCAATTCTGTCCTAAGAGAGAACACCAGTTTTGTAAGGGAATTTTTCTCTTCACCAACTTGCTGCAGTGTCTTTGTGGCTTCTTTAAGCTCTGAAGTTAAAAGCCTCACTGAATCCATCTTAGAAGCATGCACCTTTTTAATCTGCTCTTGAAGAGCTTCAATCTCTGCACCTGTTTCAGCTAGTTTGGCATGTAGGCTTTGAATTAGTGCAGGATCATATTCATTCTTTAAGGACTCCAAATTTTCGAGTGCTTTTTCCTTGGCCGTTTTGTAAAAGCCAAGATGGGTTTCATCTTGTCCCATATCTTGTGCATGTTCTTCTTGGGATTGTTCAGAAGCCAGCTTTAGCTGTTCAACTGATGCTTTCATGGTTGCAATTTCATTTGAGAGTTCACTGATTCTTTCAGAGTTCAATTTTGCTGAACGCTGAGCTTCTCCTACTGCTTGCAATGCAGATAGCTTTGCCTCCAAAACTGCATCAAAATCTTGCCTTATTTTGGTGACTTCTTGTTTGGAAGAATCTAGTTCAGTTATAGTGGTCGTGTACTCTTTTCTTGCATGTTCTAGTTCTTGTTTCCAAGCTTCATATCCTACTGCTTTTATAGACAGTGCCTTTTCAAATCTTTTGGTCTCATTCCTCACCGCTTCAGCTGCTTCCATTGCCGATTGCTTAGATTCTCTCACGTTGGCAAGTTTGGTTGTCAAATTATGAAGGGTCATCTTGGCACTCTCAAGGTCAGAAAGTGCTTTAGCTTTCGTGGCCTCAGCAATATCCATCTGTCTCTTTATCTTGCTTAATTCCTTTTGGGCCAGGATAAGTTGTGTCTCCTTTTCAAATACATTCTGCAAATTTTGGAAAACATGAGAGTCTTTTGACACCACAAACATGAAAACATCCACGAAAAATATGCGTGCCATCTGCCATGCAGATATGCAATCCTAATGACAACTTTATTTTCCCATGACCAGAGAACTCTTTTATGTAATGTAATTGTGTGCCAAATTGCCTAGCAATAGCATCAAGGTTTGTTTCCCAATCCCAGGATTTTTTATTTTTTATTTTTTGAAAAAAAAATTGGAAAAGTTATATTTGAAGCATACCTCTGATGATCTTCTCTTGACAGCAAATCTGTCCCTAGAAACGGCTACTTCACCAAATAAACTAACAGCAGCTTTGACAGATTGGAAAGGTGCTCTTGTATCAATCTCTCCTACCTCTCCCCTCGGAGAATTTGTCTTTCTGATTGTATTCATTTTCCTTTGCTCTAAATTGGAAATATTATCTGCATGATAAATTGCAACGAGAATTCCATGAATTAAACTTATGCAACTCTTGATACGGGTAAACGAAACCGCAGAATATTTAATATTTCAAATGTTACCAGCTCTTTTACATTAACATGTACAACATTATACATTTTCTAAAAACCAAAATCTTAAAAACCAATTTTTCATTCTTCAGAAATTTTGGATTGCACCACATGTGATTGGCACCAACAAAGGGCACATGTCAAACTCAATGAAAATGATCACAAAGCAGCTACCGTATGTTTAATATTTTTTTTGTCACATGCACAGCAAGCAATGTTCTTACGTGAAAAGATGTTGATCAGATAAAGTGATACGATGAATTTCTAATGCAAAGGGGTTGGAACTCAAAAGAACGCTGATGAAACACAGGTTCTTTGAGTCCGACTTTTCTTTACATCAGAAATCTCTGATCCCTTCGAAAAGAACATCACAATTATTATTGGTTAAATCTGCTGGGACGTAGAATTAGTTATGCTATTTTAGCCCAAGGGACAGAGAGATTTGTGGTGGGGCTGACAGTGTATACCAACCAAACAGGGCGGTCATACAAAAAATGACATTTTCTTGTGTGTAATTGAGAATCTCTTAAGCCATATATGCGGAAAAGAAGGAACATTTAGGTATGCCACGCTGGACATGCCATGCTACGCGTAATTTGAAAATATCAACTTATTATCCACCATGTTTGCATGTTGGCTAAATGCTGGCTCTTCTTGTTACATTGTACAATAAGGATCGCCAGATCTAGTTTCGATCGTATCTGTGTTATTAAGACATCATAAGCATAGTTAATATGGTTTGTTCCCTCCAATGTATTAATTAATCCTATGCTGTTATAACCTAACAATTACTGTCAAGGTATATCCAATTAAGAAGAGAATCTCAAGATTGGGTTTAGGTTTTCTTGGATACGAAGATATTCTCTTGTTATACTTTCTTTCTCTTTCTGGCATGTAACCTCACTTTCAAAATATTTTTTAATTTCCTTTCACGTTAGTTTTTAATCTTGGAACCTCCTTTTACTTTAAACTCATAATTCTCATATTTTAACTTTGAATGTTCTTTAATTTTTATATCAATTCTTTTGTCTCAAATCTTAATTACTTATAGTTATTTATTTTTTATTTGAACTTCTTAATAGAAAATATTACATTTTTTCTACTTATATTTTTTTAAAAAATACTTGTATAATACATAAGATGCTAATTAATAAACTTTTAATGTCAACCTATTATATTTTCTACGAGTTAAATATGTTAATTTATTTAAGATTAATAAAAGATAGATTGACAGATTAGCTCACTTAAAATTAAAAAATTAAAAAACTTAAATATTATATTTATAATTTAACCTAATTAACTTAGCGTAAAATTGAACAAAAGCAATAGATTAAGGAGTCAATTCTTATATTAACCTGCTTACCTATTACTGTTTTATTAGAAAGTAACCTAATTGATCAACTTATTTTTTGGTGACGTAAATTCATGCGAAATTAGTTCCTTTAGAAAAATGGGCTGTAAAATATAATTCAACTTATTAATTTTTAGGGAAATATTTCATGAACATTAAAATAAGACAACAAAATGTCGTCTCCTTTAATTTTAGAATGTATTTTTATGTGTAAATATCAAAAAGATAAAAAGAATTATATATAAAAATATTTGTATTTAATATTATACAGTGTTAATGATTTTATATTCAAATAATAAAACTCTATTTTTACTGGTTAAACACCAAACATATTGACTATGTTTGATCCATTTTATCATTTTTCTTTGAGATCCTTTAACTTTTGCATTTATACCACAATTCAATAATCTTTCACCCACAGGAGTGGCATATGCATGTTATCTTGGCCAGTTGATCATAGGACCTTGAAGATTTTGAAGGGATTGCTTAAGGTAACGCTTAAAGCAACGAAGAGTAATAATATGAAATCATGGCTATTGAAACAACACTAGTATTTGCACAATATTGCAATCCATCCTATTCACATCCATGCACACTCACTAATAAGTATCTTATACATTATACATATATTTGTAAATCATAAGTAGTTTGAAACCGTAAATTTCATTATACTTAATATTGATAGAATGAATCTGAGAATTAATCGAAAATTTTAAAATATGATTTGGTTTAATAATCAATTAAAAATTAATAAATTTATAAGACATGTATCTCAAAATGATGACGACATAAAACCTCTATGGGAAGGAGAGTTTTTATGCAGTTTATTCTATTTTCAAGAATGGCTCATATTTATGACAAGATATATATGTTAGTTTTATTTTATATCAATAGCATAACAATTTTGTAAATATCATTATTAATTTAGAATACTCCAGCAACTCTATCGTACTAGATAAGTTCAATATCCTCAGATTGCTTACGAGTTTGTAAACAGCAGTTGTGTTGTCTTCATCATATGTGTATTGATGTGACAAAAACAAATTTAACAATATGTTGAATTGAACACTTGTTAGACGAGCATGTACCTCTAGGATAAAAATTCTAGCTGTTGGTTAAGGTACAACCCTTTCCATGTATATCAAAAAGTACCATAGTTTGGCTTTAAATTATATTTAAGACCCAGTGGCACACCACCTAGTTTGGCTTTAAAACTTCAGGCTCTATTTTAAATTAATCCTTCCCCATTTTCGGTTGTTTTTCTTTTCCGCTGAGTTTTCATCATTTTAACCTTCCATAATATACATAAAATTATCTATAGCAAAAATGAAGATTTACAATCAATTATAAACCCCAAGACATATGCTCACAAAAATCCATATCCTAAACGATTATGGAAGAAATTGGATGGTATGGCACTCCGAATTAATTGGAGAGAATTAAAAAGATATAAGTATTCACTAGTGCCCTTAAGGAATAAAAATTGAAATTTTTTTATTGAAAATTGTGTTATGATACACTGCACTTCATAACCAGCGCCCTTAAAAGTTAAAACACTGGTTAGTATTTGCCAAAGACATAACTGCAAATAGTTGTAAAGCAGTACTAAAGCCACTTCTTCCTTTAACCAAACTTATTATGTATTGTCCTTCAAAAAACAAAAATTGTACAAGTGTTGCAAGGCAGTATGATGTGAGGATATCATTGTCATAATAAAGAACGTCCCACCCTGGTTGGCCTGCAAAACACCAAAATCTTAATGATAATGAAAAAAAAAAATAAAGAGGATATAGCTCCCCCCTCTCACGTGAGTTTGATTTTAGGTGTCTAATTGACAGTTTCTATACTAAAGTTTGCAAACAACGAGCGTAAAAAAATCCAAAGAAAGTATAAACTAAGGTAAATAAAGAATACTTCATATCATATTGATCATATTCCCATTCTAACCATTATTTTTCAAGATATATAGCTAAAGCCTACATGGCTTATTTTCAACATTAAAAGAAGACTGGGACAACCAATATCAACTATAGGGGGTACATGATGTCTAGTTACATTTATTGAGCATTAACTTCAAGGTCCCCCCAATTAGTTCATCAACAACAATAACATTTTAAGCTTCAAAAAAATAAGGTAAACATCCTCAAAATAAGGACCTGATCTCACTTAGTTCAAAGATGATTAGCTATGTTGCAAAGCATTTGAATTGAGCTATGGCTTAACAAATTGAAAAGCTTACATGAGCTCAAGGACAAGAGCAGATGCTCCTCCTCCCCCATTGCAGATGGCACCAACACCATACTTCCCTCTCTTATGTCTCAATACCTGAAATACAACTTGGCTAAGATATCCATAGATCACAAAAATCTGGAAAATAGACTGATATGTAATGACTAACAGCCTCATGGCATACAGGCATACTAACTGGAGAAGTCTAAGAATTTGAGTGCCAAGGGTGAAAGGAAATGATATATAAAGTAACCAAGGTCACAAGTTACCCCTAATAATGTAACTAAGATGCGAGCTCCACTGCAACCCAATGGATGCCCCAATGATACAGCTCCACCATGTACGTTAAGTTTTTCCTGCATTTGATAGGAAGTACATGAATTATCTATTTTTAAGCCATTATACTTGAGCAGAATGGAGGAACAAAACAGCAGAAGCAGCCAGAACAACTGAAAAATGACATGTTATTATGAACAAAAAGAAAGGATTGGAGTCACATGAACACTCACTGGATTAATACCAAGAAGCTTCTGATTTGCAAGAGCCACAACCTGCACAAAAGAAATTAGTAACATGATTAGCATATAAACTTGAATGAGTAAAATACATGCTATATTCCTTACTGAAAAAGCTTCATTTATTTCATAAAAATCAATTTGTGAAGCCTCAAGGCTAGCATTTGATATTGCTTTTGGTATTGCAAGGGCAGGAGCAGTCGTAAATAATTCAGGTGCCTGCAAAAACACTCTTGCTTTAGCTCTAAATGCTCATTAATCAAGATTAAAACAAATTAACATTAATTTGTTATAGCACCTTAGCTGCATCTGCATATCCTTTTATCTTTGCAATTACATGCAATCCAAGCTCCCGTGCCTTCTCTTCACTCACTAGTACCAATGCAGCAGCTCCATCACTAGTCAATTCAACAAAAAAATCCATTATCAACATGAGCATGCAGTTTAGATCCTATGATTATCATACTCTGAATTGCATGGCATAGGTATTAATTTATTAGCAAACTTCTTGCAACAACATACGGGATGCCCACAAAATTCACATGGGCATCAAAGAATACATGTGTTAGTAGTGCACATATACCATGTATGCAAAAACACACATATGAGGAGAGACAGAGAAGGAGTGACCTTATACTAGAAGCATTGCCTGCAGTAACAGAACCCCCAACCTCTTTAAAACTTGGTCTAAGTTTCTTTAATTTTGCAGCATCGAACTGGCAACATGAACACAAAATATATTAAACAAAATGTAGGAGTTTCCACAATATTCCAAATGAAGCAAGTAAATTTCATTTAAGATTTCAGTTCAAGGATTCTACAGTTATGAACTTACACAATGACAAAAGTATATCATACACAACTATTAGCAGTTATTTGAAATATTAGGTCAGTTGGCTTTTGTATTCAACACAAACATGAACCTTGGCAGCCATAGAATGCTAAATGCAGTGGTTGACACTAAACACAATAATAAATGTTAACAACAAAGCACCAAAAAGAAATACAAAAACTTGTGCATATAGAACTGGCTTCAATTTGGTAAAAAATTCTGTAGTTCTATAAGTGAGGCAAAAGCTAAAAAAATGTGTTTAATCCTTGAAAAACTTCTATTTCTTTGGTAATTCCAAACAGTATATTATTTATACACAAACAGACACACACACACACACAATAACAATGTAAACCTAAAATTGATTAGTAAGCACTACACAAGTGAAGGTCCATTTAGATTAATCTATTTACCTTCCCCAAACCTTCATCTTTATCGACAAGTGTGGAAGGCTTCCCGCTTCCATTGGAAACTTCAACCTGCAAGTGCAAAAAGTGTTAATATAAAATCAAATCAACATCAATGTATAAATTATCAACAGTTTAATATAGGCAGGAATCATAACCAAACCGGAACTATCTCCCAAGCAAGATGACCAGCATTTTGTGCAGATATTCCTCTCTCAAAGCTTTGAATGGCATAGGAGTCCTGGAAACAATATTTCAAATCCCAAATTCAACTAAGGATTGAAAGGAGTAAAAAGAAAACATTCTCTGGGCTTTGGTTCCATTGTATTGCCCAAGAAGATGTTCAAGGGGAAGGAGCAATGTCATGTGACAAGCAGGTAAAATTGTAAAATCAAGATTAGGAAATATATCAACACAGAAAGAATCTTGTGTCCAAGAACAATTAAAAAGGAAGGGTAGAGATGGGAAGGAACATGGTCCCTCCCTCACATTGAAAGGCTGCTGGATGCTGATATTGAATTAAGGTAATTGAAGCAGTTACAGGGCAGTCAAGCAATTTACAAGAATAAAGTTCACATTAAAGTTTCAACAGGTCATTTCACCAAGGAACACTACCTGCTCATCTCTTGTTATGAGATGTTGATCTGCACAGAGTTCTGCACAAACCCCCATGCCAAAGTCATTATAGACATCCCAAAGGCCATCTTTGAGCATACCATCAATGATAGTATCATGTCCTAACCGAGATCCCTTCCTGTATAACATATACAGAATATGGTGGCAATCAATATCAATAACTACCCAAACAAAATGCGTTGCACGTCAGATTGTGTTCAATGCTTAAGCACTTATAAACTTCAACTAAGTGGCTATGACATAAACTGTATACTGAAACACCACAAGAAACATGTTTTCAACAAGGCAGCTAAAATAAAGTCCTCCCATTATCCTCAGCAGGATTCGGCAGATCTCAAAAGCATTATCTTTTATTGGAAAGCAAAAGAATTATCAACGATTCACCAAAAGAAAAGCAAACCTTGCTTCTGCAATGTACTTAGGTGCATTTGACATGCTTTCCATACCACCAGCCACAACAACATCATTGAAACCAAATTGTATGGTCTGTGCTGCAAGCATGGTAGCTGAAAAAAAAAAAATGAGGCCATGATTTCACCACACCCCCACTAAAAATGCCACATATTTAAGTGGGAATCCTTCCAATCCAAATAAACAAAACTGATCATACCTTTCATCCCTGATGCACACACCTTGTTAATAGTAGTGCAGATCACAGATGTAGGTATTCCTGCACCTAATGCAGCCTGTCTGGCAGGAGCCTGCCCTAAATTTGCACTAAGAACATTCCCAAAAAACACCTCTTGCACAAGCGATGGATCAACATTTGCTCTCTTGAGAGCAGCTGCAAATTCACAAATCAAGTTAAAACATAAGAGGATCAAGAATTTGCATAAATATTCGTTGACTTATCCTTTTAATTGAAGATGATGAAGGCAATGACCAAGAAAGAAAAATGAGTAAAGGAAAATAGCTTATGATTTACCCTTAATAGCAATTGATCCTAACCCTGTCGCTGAAAGAGATGATAGGGCACCAAGGAAACCACCCATTGGCGTCCGTGCAACACCAACAATACAAACATCTGCAGCCAAAAAATACACATATGAGCTGAGTTATGAGCAGAGAGATTAACAATGCATTGAAAACAGCTTAATTAAGCATACATTCAATATGCTCTTTGTATAGTTTATCATATAAATTTGACCATAAAACAACTTAGAATAAGCTGAAAAGAGTTTATTTTTACGAGCTAAATTGATAAGTTTATCGAAATATGAAGTAAAAGATTATAAACTATTTCCACACATAAGTAACTCAAAAGACTTGACGTGGTTATGCATTATTTTTCCATGAAAGGTGGTTCATTTTGAATTTGTGAAAGCATAAGGAAGCATCAAGATATGATCTGAAAAGAACACGAGAAATAGTAAAAATGAATAAATGATGATTCAAAAGAAGACCTCGGGGTTTTGCAGAAGCAGAGGTGGAAGACATGGAAGATGATGCAGTTACGTAACCAACAGAGTTAGAAGAGGGAGAGATCGAAAACCCAACACCCAGCAACAGACGTGTTTAGCAGCTAACAATAAAGACGAGGTTTTGGGACCCACTTCCCCATCAACTGTTGTCTTCCGTAAGCGCTTTCCTAATCACCTCGGGAAGCGTTTTTCTTTTTGATAAAGATTAATCATTTTTTAATATGAAATTAAAGATATACCATCAAAAATTAATAAATAATATTTTATATTATTGATATATTAAATTTTAAAAATTTATTTTAATAAAAACTACTATGTTTAAATTTTTACTTTTTAAAAATAAATTAAAAATTATCAAAGATTAATTACATGCTCATGAAGGCGTGTCTCCTTAAAATAAAAGAGAGAATAATTTTTACTTTAAGAATATAAAAAATATAAATTGAGTTTTATTATATTATATATATTTTAATATTATTTTATAAAATTTATATTAAATTGACAATGTTATAATATTGGTTCTTTGACAATTTTGAGTAATTTAATTTTTTTTATTGATACAATTATGTTTTTTATCACTTTTTTTTCTAAAACTCTCCAATTTTCATTATTTTTATATAAAGTTTTGATAAATTGAATCCATTAAAATATTTTAAGCTTTCCTTCACTCAAAATTTATAACTAAAATAAATGGATACTTGTATGCAATAAATTGATTAACAAATATTGGCAAGTCACAAGAACTCATGTACTGTTGTTTACAACCTAACATATAAGCAAATTATTTTTTATATGTTATTTGTGCAACTTACAAACTTATTTGAAGTTATATTACTAAGTTTCATCTTAAAAATTTAAAAATGATTAGTGTATAAAGCTAAATTTGATTTTGTGAAAATGTCAAGGCTTCATGATAATAATTTTTTTGGCGTTTATAGCTATTTACAAGGATAATTTAACAGTTTAAGACTTTAAGAATTATAAGGCGATATATATTTTTTATTGTTTTCATATTATTCATCTCATTGAGAATTATGCTTCTAAGTTCTTTGATTATGTATTGATGATAGCTAATGTTTGTACCTTGATGAATTAAAATTAAGAGATCTCTCTTAAACACATTGAGAGAGGGGATTATTATGTAGAGTATCTTGTAAAGAGAAGAGCTAATAAGAAGAATAATGCTTTTGTCGTCTTCCAAGTGATGCCTACTAGGATAAAAGACTTGTTATTTTCTAATCTTTCTTGTACTTTACACACTAGTGTGTAACTTTTTCATTTTTTTCATCTTACCAAAAAAGAACAACTTGATAACGTATATAGCTTAATCGGGTAATGGGAAATAATCAATTTTATTAGAATAAAATAAAAATCAGTACCACCTTAATACTTTGTAAATCATGCAATTTTTATGTTAATTATTAATTTATTTAAAAATAATTTTATTTGTTAAAACTCCAAAACAAATAAGGACATGGTTGATCTCATATAATGAAATAAGAAGTTTATTGTTCCTATTATTATTGCAGGGTGTCATACCATTAATGAAACTTCTCACTCAACATGGTATGTTTCGTGAATGTAAACCGAATTTGTGGCAAAAGTCACGGGAGAGATTAATATATTAGTAGCCGAATATTGCCCCAAAAGATGCAACTTTACTGTAAGAAGGTAAATTTCATTCCACCAAAACACAAATCACCAAAATCTGAAATCTCCAATTAGTGCTCGTTAGAAGGCTAATTTCTTCTAGTTTATTTAAGATATAATACAAGGGAAGACCATCACAACACAACCTATGGACTGAATAAGCCATGAATTCAGAACATTTTCATTTGAAAATGCAGCTTAAGTGGCTTTGAGATCAAGCATCACCAACTAGCTACTAAATCACCATGAAATATGCATCTACGAGGAGTAAATCAATAGAAATATAAAAAAAGTAAAATCGAAGATCTACCCTAAGGAGTAAGGACAATTGCAATTTATGTACCATAATGAGGAATTAGCAGGAAAATTGATCAACTCAACTTGATGATCAATTCTAGTTCCCCAGATTCAACTCCAAGAAGCCTTAACCAAACATTTTGTACCACTTCACCATTAACACAATTGATACTGCTTTCACGGACAAGACAGTTTTCAGTATCAGGTATGACTTTCCTCAATGTTGTCTCACCAGAGGAGACCCTTAAAATATCTCTTAATCTAGCTGCAGATAATAGTGGTTGAAGGTTCAGGAAAGCATTTCCCATCTTGTCATCAGCCTTCAAAAGATCTTTATCAAATACCTCCTATCCAAAAATCAACTAAATTACACAATGTGAAAAAATATGATAATAAAATACACGTAATTGAGTTCCATTGAAGCATAAAATTTTATATAAATTAACTGGTAAAGGCTGAAGAAAATAATGCATAGACCACAAAGAAGCCCATAAGAATCTACGGCAAGATGAAGAAAGTTTTAAGCATAATCGCAGGGAACCAAATTCCCATATATTAAAGTTTACGGTAGCGAAATTCCCGTAGTCTTTAGATTGTTTCAGTCTTATTAAGGGATTTGTGATTTAAGCATAATGACAGGAAACTCACCAAACTCAGAACTCCCAAAGGTTCTGTCAGAGTAAAACTAAGCTCTTCATTCCAAACAGGATTCAAGCAGCAATTAATGACCCTGGTCTTTACTGTCTGATACAATTTAATGAATCATTTCAACATTCTGATGATGAAAAAAAGGGTACATAATGTTGATATGAGAATAGATAAGGCAAAGTTGAAATGTAAATCCAAGCTACCTGATTCCCCAGCTTGAGCACAACATATGGATCACTGCTCTTGAAATCCCTTATCACTAGTTTTTTCCCTTGTACAACAATCACTTTTAGTACCCTCAATTGTTCACCCATTATACTCTTAAAAAAACGTTACTATTATACCAAAAACCAAATAAACAAAGGAAATGAATGGCAGGACTTAGGAGCAAGCGCCAAGTGAAGTGAGATCTTGAAAAATAGAAAGGGGAGAGACCAAAGAAGAAAGCATAAACAACATCAAATCAATTGCTAGCGACACAGAAACGGTGTTGCTGCTGATGTTTAATGTTCATCTGACTCAGCTATCCACATCCTCAAATTTAATGCCAATGGAATATCCTCGTCCACCGACACTTGCAATTAACAATACATAGCCATTTAGTTTGTTTCAGTTGGTGCAACCGACAGTTGGAGGTCATTTCTTACGTTGGACTTTGTTCGCCGTAGGATTGACCGTTGACTAGATCCGGTCTTTCCAACGTGTGCTTCTTCTTGTGCGCGTCTGTCACACCTTACAGCTGACTCTGACAACGCTCATTCTAACATTTTCGAACTTTCAAATCACGTGACAAATCCCATTTCTTATTGCTTTTTTATTATTCAGATATCAGAGTAAGAAAAATTCAACAACGTTGAAGAAAGTTCATAACTAATTGTATTTTATTTTGGGTCCTGTATTCGTAATTTCATACACTGAAGGGCTTGCTTCAAAGTGGTTAATTATCAGACGTGCTCTATTGAATCAAGCCAACAAAAACGTGATTTTTCTACAAACTGCAGATTTTTAAAGTTGCTTAAGGCATTTTAATTCTTATCTTTGTCCTTAAGCAGGTCAATTGAATAATTGGATTTTTTTTATAACTTGTATATTTTGCTCCATTGACTTTAACAGTTAAAGCGCACGCGAAGGAAAAGTGACGTTCAAAAATATTAAATTAGAGAATACATTGCTTAATCTTATCCATTAAATATTATTTTTTTATTAAGGGAGTGAAATTTGTTTTCATTTCCTATAGAGTTTGTTAGTCTTCCTTACTTTTATCCATTAAGTATTATTTTTTATTTACTTTTTTATCCTCTTAAATATCATAATTTTCTTATTTTATCTTTCATGAAAATTTCATTTTTCATTTGTCAAGACATATACACTTAACAACATTGAAACGATTATTTTAAGAACTAAAAATCATTTTAAAGATAAAAGATCAAATTTAAAAAATTGTGATATGCTTAAAAAATTATATCACAATTACCCTTTGTTATTCTAGTAGAAACTGTCAACCATGCATTTAACGGTGGCAAAAATGGAGTGATTATATTACGCACTGTTCTTAAATTGGTGTATTCATATCCCTAATTTTTCCTTGGGGTGTAAAATGACTGTTTACACCAAATCAATAATTATGAACTAAAGGTGCTTTAACCAAAAAAGAACTGAAGGTGCATATGCACCCTCCCTTTTGGCATGCATGACAGAAAGTGGGTAGACAAACATATATATGCTCATAAAAGGTGAACAAAAACTCCAAAAATAGGACTTTGTAAAGTTAAAAAGAATGAACAATTCATCCTCCTTAAAACTTTTAAGTGTTAATATCATCATGTATTTTAAATTAAATTAATAATAAATAATACTGTATTTCCTCATTCTATAAATAAACTCACCATAAAAGAACCTTATCCTATAATAGAACCTACGTAAGAAAATTATTTTTGAGTGATTGAATATAAATTAAGGAGAGGATGATAAGGTTATCTTTCTCAATTTTATATGGTAAAGTACAAATATGCAGTAGTCCTAAAGATACAAAATGCAATTATCCCCACGTATAGCTGTACACATCGTCTATGGCCCTCGTCAATTATATCAACTGCGTTGGAAGGATGATGAACGACACCTACATGAATCATATGCTAAAACCTATCCACTGAACTAAAAGGTCATTTAGAAGTAACGTAGTCCTAAAGAACACACAAGTTTCTGCATTTTTTGCTTTTCCTTCTAAACGTGGGAATGACTACTGTTATTTTACACTCTACAAGGCATGCTAAGCACATTTATTAGTGTGTTAATAACTAAAGATCTCCAATTTGGCAGTCATCTTCTGCATTCATGCTGGCACCTGTACTTGTACCACAGCACCAACTCTGCTACAATCTTGGGAGACATAAGTTACAACAGCTAAACTGCACATCATTATTTCCCAGAGCTTTTCTTCCCCGTCCTGCGCTTCCATTTACTCTGCATCAATCAATACCATATGATGAGCTAAGAACAAGTACTAAAAAGAACGTGAGTGCTGCAAAGGATGAATTATTTACCAGAGGCACATCATCAGAAATCTCAGTAATTGTGTGATCATCATCAGGACTTGATGGCTCTACATGTGATTTCTCCATTTCTCTAGGACTACTCCCCACCTCACTGTTATCTTGATGCCCTTCAGAATCTGATTCTTCTTCTCCATTAACATTTTCCCTCAAAGCTTCACTTGATTCGTCCACTTCCCTCCCTTCTGAACTACTTTGTCGGATACTCTCCCTATCTTCAGAGAGCCTCTCACCATAATCTTGCTTCTCTTCATCCGATTCTTCTGTATAACGAAGACTCTTCTCTTTCTTTAGCCTCTTTCCTTTGGAAACTGATTTTACTTTCTTGCTAGATTTCTTCTTCTCTGTTGTGATGTCATTGGACCCTCCAGCCAGTTCCTCTTCTGAATCACCATGAAAATAAAATTCATTAACAAGAGAGAAAGAAGGATACAAAAATGAAGCACAAGTGTTAACAGAAAAATGAGGAAGTGGCCGCTGCAATTAATTATAGTTGAAGCTACTTTAGGTATAATATTCATTTTCTTAAAGCATATTAGCAAATTTAACATGCAACCCTATCATATCATTTAAGATACATTACCTGAGTACACATCATCAGCTTTAGAGGTCGTGGTCTCTTCAGGACTTGTTACCTCTGAAATCTCTTTGGCATCCTCTTGATGGAAACTACTTTTTGATGCACGTTTTTGTCCACGTTTTATAGACTTGCCGGGAGATTGTTTACCATTAACTCTGTAAGGCAAATTTATACAAATTATAATTATTAGAGCATAAAGCAAAACCACATATGTGCATAATAATCTGAGTCTTCCACTCACATTTTTGTCTTTTTACTTGGTGAGCCACTTGACTCTTTTTGTTTTTTCCCAGAACTACAAAATATGAAAGTAATCAAGAAAATCAGCACAGAAAAGGAGACCACACACTAAATGGGAAACAAGACCATGTTAATAAGCCAGCATAAAGACAATTCAACAATCCCGCTAAAGCACATGACATGTATTCAACTTTTTCATATTATAAATGTTACGACTATTTCATGTTATATATAAAATAAAATATATAATTCAATTAGATAAAAGTAAAAAAAAAAAAAAAACCACGTGAACAGGAAACTTACGCTCCAATTGAAGAGAGTTTTATCTTCTGAAAAAATTTAAAAGAAAATTCATCAGATATTCAGATTTTAATGATAACTGATATCTTCTATTGGAAATAGAAACTGCAGTAATACTTAAGAGAAAGGAAGATCACCAAACAAAAATCAGAGACCTTAGTAAATTTGCGACCCTTATCAATAAGCTCCCAGCGCTCCTTTTCCAAACGAAGTATTTCTACATCTCCATCATCATATAACATCTTCCACATGACGTGACAGAGAAACATTGTATCAGAATTGCAATTAATAGCTACTAGATAGCAGGAAGAAAAACTTTGAACCAAATTCCGATGACAAGTTCAGCATCATTCAGCTTACCACATGCTTTCCTTTCAAAGAGTCATAAGACTTAATAGTGCCTCCATAAAATCTACAGAACAACAAAACACCAACACGAGAACTTAAACTATAAATTCTGTAAAGAGAATAAAAAAAAAAAAGTCATTTTCAAAAACATGCTCAAAATGCTTCCATCACTAGAAAAACTAAATATTTTTCTTGTTCCTCCCTTTGAATAACCAAAATTATTGACATCAATAATTTATTTTGCTTCAGTAACTGATCACCATAGAATTTATCATTTGTACTTACTTCTTATCCATAGGCCACCAAACTTTAATTCTGCATCCAATTAGATCTTCAGTATCAATTTCACCTTCCTTCGTTGAGCACTGTACATGATCAATCAAATCAAATAATATGATACAGTGATTTGCATTGCAGAACATAAATTATCCCAAAGAGAACGCAGGAAGCAAAAGGGGGTCAGGGAGGAGGTGAGCATAAAAGATCCACACATGGCATAGAGATTCTACAAACATAGTAAGATGAAAGCAACTACTACATGGATTACAAAAGCTTGTAAGATACCTTAGCTAACCCTGTAATACTTTTCCTTTTTCCCTTTTTGGTAGACCCTGTGGAGGACTTGTAATTGTTACTCTTATCACTTAGTTTTATACTATCTGGACTCTGCAACAGAAGCAAAATAGAAAAATAAGCATAAGTTTACAGCATTTATCAATTAGATCCTACATTTGTATTGATCAACCTGACAGTAAGATTGTACCTTCATGCCATACTCATCAGGTTTATTCGACTCATTGTCATGATAACTGTCAGAGCCCTTAACTTTTTGTTTTAACGATGATATTAATAAATCTTTCTCACTGCCTTTCACCTTTTTTCTTTGCATGGTTTTGCTATTTGTATCAAGGTTAACTTCAGCATCCAACAGTAATTTGGCTTGAGGGGAGTCTCCACCTTTGTCTGAAACTCTTCGAGATGCCTTTGATATACTAGTTGATAATCTCAATTTTCCATGAGTAGAGGAAGACCGCCTACGTTTAGGCACTGGATAAGGTGTTGTTTCTCTGGCTTTTCTCTTTTTACCTGTTGCATGCTCTGGGTCCTTCAGCACCTTCTTACTCAAAGAATGTTCATGACCATTACTTGGTTCAACATTAGTTGACATCCCCAAGTTGTCCAAGTTAATTTGTCTGACCATATTTAGGATTTCAAAATCATTGTCAGCCTTTTTTGTTTCAGCTGGCACAGACTTACTCTTTTTCACCTTTTTGCCACCAGTTCCCTGAAATTTTATGTTCTTTAACATATTTCGCAGAGGTATTTCATTTCCATCTTTCTCGTCAACCTTTGAAGCTTCATCCTCTGCTGATTGGGATGGAACCTGATATAAAAGAGCAATCACAGAGTTCAGGATTTAAAAACAATGAAGATTTCCATGTGACTTTGTGATTGCATTGAACATACCATTTCCAGTTCAAGAGATTCAAAGTGAGTCAAGACACTTTCATCAACCAACCAGCTTTTCACATCACTTTCCTGCCAGATATTGCAGAGGCACTAATAAGCACTGCTTCTAATTAAAAGTAATCCTAGATCTAATAAATGTTAAAAAATAATAATACTGTTCAGCTGATTCAAGGAAAAGAAGACTTCATTAACTGAGATTTAATTTTGGGTTACTAAGAGTAGACTAGTGTGACACAATTTTACTTGTAGGGACACAGTATCTCTAAACTGTGACAATAATCAAGAATAAACCCAACATCATGGCCTGCTCAGGAAAGGGCCTACACAAAACCACCCCAACACATCCATCAAGCAATAGAAAGATGCTTAATTGGAAGGAAACGTTTTTCCTATAACAATGTAACCAAGTGTAAATGGCAGAGCTCAAGCATCATGCAAATTTAATCAATCAAAAGTTAAAATAGCATACGTCAAGTCAAAGTAATGAGTCTATAACTTAAGGTACATATTTAAAATGATTTAATAAAATTCAAATTTAGTATAATAAAGTAGTATAATGTAAGCAACTCAACTGCAATGAAACAGTCTCAGTTGGAAAGCATTTTGTACATTTGAACAAGAATAGTTAGATACTGGAAGGAACTAAAAATGTTGACCCAAAAAAATGAGCATACCACAGTGTCATCCCTTTCCTTCTTCTCTGATGCTTTGTATAGCATTGGAGGAAGAGAAACCAAATGGGCCAATCCTTGTAAATCAACATCCTTCTGCACTAAGCGTTTGATTATTGCCAACCCGAGGTCACATATTGCATGAGAATTCTGGACATATATGGATCACAGATGTAAGATTACGGTCTATTACACTTTGACTTTTGTAATTTTTAAAATATTACCAAAAAGCATTATTCTCAACCTTTGACTTTGATGCGTCAACCATATCTTCAGAATGTTTGATATTCTGAAAGATAGAAGTAATAGCAGATATAATTTCTTTCTCTTTGTCAGTAGTTACTTCTGACTTGGCATCTTCATCTCTTTGCAGTAGCATTGACAGTAGTAAATGCAACTGGCTGAAAATTCAAAACAAAACTTAAACTCAGTAAGAATGAGCATTCCCAACCTTCTATATTTTGAGGTTTGACAACATGTAAATTTGTAGGTATTGGCACAGTTGCATTCCTAATTCTATTTCCATTCAACATCATGTATACATGTATTTGAGAAGTACAACAAATCAGTAAAACAGACACGTAGGCATCAAATCCAAGAAATGAAAAAAGTGTGTGGACAGGGTATATCTACCACACCTTACCCCTAAAAGCCTTTACAGCATATACAAGCACATGTGCAGAATTTAAAACTAAGATTCTAGTGAGTTTTCCATTTTATGTGAAATGACACTGTGCAGCATGGTATATGCATAAAGGCAAACTTTTTTGAAGGCCTCAATTTAATAAGCAAGTGGCATTCTTCATATCTTTCAAATTCAAACTGCAGAGATTCAAATATTAGCATCTCATACATTATGTAATATGTCAAAAAATCATTAAATGTGACAATAACACTTACGAATAACCAAAAAATCATTAAATGCTCCCCTACTTCCCTTTCCCATGTCTCTCTTTTGAATCTTCTCACACCTTTATTTACAAGGAATTTATGAATAATAGAGGAGAAAGATACAGATGTAAGAGGATATGAAATCCTCAAGACTAAAAGACATCGCAGAGGAAAAAAACAAAGATCAAGAAATATGTGCAACACAGAATTGCAATCTCTCAGTAGGTTTATCAAAGACACTTCTCTAGAAAGAATTTTACCTAAACACTGAGAAAAGGCTAGAAAAATTACTCAATCCCAAATGAACTCAAAACAGGACTACTATCCTGATAAGATTATAGCATTCCGTTGCATGCGCTTTTAAAAGAGTATGTAAATATGCATCAAGCATACAGATGTTGTATGAGAATAAAATGGTACCGGTATATATTGTCATATGCTCCAACATCCTTGCACTCAGCAACATTGGGACATGAATTGTGAGCAAGTGCATGAACTAGGTGTGGAAGAATGTATTCAGGATAAGTGGTCAAGGAATTTGTATCTGATTGCACAGAAAGTTGTCGTGCCTTCAACTGGTGGTGCATTTGAATAATGTCAGCTAGGTTCTGTTTATCCTGCATCAACAGACAGGGGTCACCACAAAAACACAAAATTGAAGTTAAAGCAAAGTAAAAATACAATTGCAAAAAGACAATGAGTAAACAACTTACCTCTGCAAACTCTTCAGGCTTGGACCCAAATATGTTGAATAAAAAGGCACATGCATATTTGGCATCCAAAAGGCGGTCTTTAATATATTGATGAATTTTACTCAAGAAAATTTTCTTAGCTTGAGGGAAGCTAATCTACAAAACTCAAAAGAAGACCATGAGAAGCAGTTATTCCCACATTGAAATGAAAATTTTAACAAATTTCTCCCTTTACATATGAAGAGAAGTAATCTTTTGTCTTGAGAATAATGCAATGGAAAAACTATAAATGCTCAAGAATAAAGTAAACAGAAGACAGCCCACCTCGGATGCCCTTAAAGTTAAGTGGAAAAGATCAATGGTTATCTTATGATCCCAAAGCCTTGACAAACGAAGAACTGCCTTTGCAGAAGCAAGCTTCAAATGAGCCTTATCAACTGAACTGCAAGAAAACATAAACAAGTGCAAGTATTTAAACCCACAATCCAATTTTAAATTAATCAAAAAATATAAACTCTGAAGCTGATATACTTTGACTTTAGGTCCTCTGATATTTCACCACAAGATAAAATATTCCTAAGGATATTCAGAAGACTGTCAATATCTGGACGAACATGAGCATCTTTGACTGGCAAGTAGCTCTTTACTAATGTTTTAATGCCATATATCTGCAGCAAAGAAAAAGAACAGGGGACATAGAGGAATAGAGAGAATAAAAGGTCAAAAAAATAAAATAAAATTTACAAGCATTTTCTATTGTATCAAACTCAGAACAAAAAGTGCAACCTAAAGTATCTTAAACAAACAGTAGAGACTATTCTTCCTACCGACCTTCAACATGCAAAGATCGCTTCTATCATCCCAAGATGTTCTTGTGTGATCGTCTTTCTGAAACACCAAAGCAAATATTAAGATGAAAATCAATTACTCCCATACTTACTTCATAAACAAGCACACCATTCAGAGGGATTTGAAAGGTTTACACTATCACTTTTCAGAATCTTGTTTATTATAAATTCTTCAATTTCACTCTCTCTAGTTTCAAAGACAGGCATTGCAGTCTGCGCAATACACCCCAGAGACTGAAGTACCGCAGGCAGATGTGTTTTCTCTTCGAGCATATCCACAAGTTTCTGCAAATAAGGTGACAAGAATCAAAATGAAGGAAAACCTAATGCACAAGGCTACGACCTAGTCGGAACTGGGAAGGGTAGATATATGCAGCCTTACCCTCCCGCAAGTGGAGAGGCTGTTTCCATAATCTGAACCCGTGACCTCCAGGTCACAAGGCAGCAACATTAACGTTGGGCCAAGCAAGGTAGTTAAAATTGGGATTTTACTTCAAATCGTAAAAGGGAATAAGAATTGTAAATTGTAAAATCGTAAATCAAATCATAAAATTTTACAAAATTCATATATACTAATATACATTCATAAATGCATATAAAATAGCATAAATTAGAATTAAAAAACCTTTAAATCACTAAAAACACTTAAATAAACTTGCATTGATAGATCATAATCCATATTCCATAACAAAGCAATGGTGCTAACAGCTCCAATGCTGCTGGCTCTTCAAGTGTGCCTTCTAATAAGATGAGCAAAACAAAGCTAGATGAGAACAGAAGCAAAGAGCAGAACAGAGCAAGATTGGAACAGAAGAAAATACCAAAAGATCGTGCAGGAGATCACATAGAAGACACGTTCACATTTGGACATGAAGCAGTTGCACCCTACTGACTCAGGTGCAAACCAGGTTGCACACAGTGGGACTGCTTGAGATGGCCAATGTTGACATGGGTTCAAACAAGGAAAAAAAGGAGGCAGCACAACTTGGTTAGGACTTGGGGTTTGAACAATTTAAACTGGGTCAAAATTGGGCCACATCCATCAGGTTAGTATCCAACTGGACCAAGATTCAGATCCCAAAATTGGGATTTCATGAAATCATTTCAAAAACTCGATTTTATAAATTAACTCCCGATTTCACTACGATTTTGCCTGGGAACAATTTGCTGCAATTTGAATTGTTCAGCCCTCCCTAATCGTAAAATCTCACTATTTACAGTTCAACTCCCAATTTTAACTACCATAGCCTAAGGCTTGCCCTCTGACAAGAATCAGAATGATAACAACTAAATCAGTGTGTTTAAAATAAATGAAACCTTGTATAGAACGGAGAGAGACTTGAGGCCATCATCCTTTGTTATTGCAGCCAGTGCATGGACAGCATACTTTGCCTGCCTCCGACTCCCTTCTAAACATAATCTCTCCAATATAAGGTCTACAGAACTGCAAGAAACAAGGAGATACTAAGAAACTATACAAGGAAATGGATTTAAAAGGTTAACAATTGCAACAGTAGCACCTTGATGTGACTGCAAGCTGTTCACGAATAGTACCACCAGCTTTTGCTAAAACATTCAAAACACCCTCTTTAATTGTATCATTATTATCTTTCAGTAAATTCACCAGCTCCTCCTCACTGCCACTAAGAAGCAATGGACTGAAGCGAGCAATCATCTGCAATGCATCCCAAGTTAACCAGAAAGTTAGAAAATGTTATTCTTGCATCTTTATTTTCATGTCCAATACGACTAAACCCATGCCATTGCTTCATAGCAGAATTAAATAACATTAAATCATTGGAGAAGGATACTAAAAAAATGAAACATACAAACTCAATGACACTTAATAAAAACCATCCTTGGGCCTTCTCCCAATAGCATAAACAAGTAGGATTAATTGATTCTATGGCATTGTATCAAAACCTCTCTGATGAAGTGGTCAAGAATTCAATCCTTGTCACCTCCATTTTCAATTAAATTAAATTTCAACCCTCTGTAGCAGTGGGCCCATACTTTGAGAGCTTGAAGGGCGTTCACAATTCCTAGGAATTCTAAAAATTTCAGCTTTGGAATGAGTTGGCACATGACAGACACAATCGCTCAAAGCCCATAAATACCAATTAATCAGCATCATGCAAAGACATAAAAATGTCTTGCTTTGAAATAATTACAAGCAAGGTAGTCAAAATTGAGATCTAACCCATGATTACAAAGGGGAAGAAAAACATGCAAATCTTGTAATCATAACATGGACAGTAAGATCTTACTTACTGTCCATAGAAATTTAAAATATCTAGAGTAAAAAATTATTCTCAAATAAAAAATATAAAACTTAAATTACTGTAATAATTATATAAAATTATTAGGTAATTATATTGGAAAATACAATTTTAGATAACCAAAAAGGAAAATATAAGATTTACGTGAACTTGGCTTGTCCCCTTGTCTTTTCTGGGTTTTGTCCTTTTCTGCTCTATCCTACCAGATATTTCCAGCACTATCAATTCAAAAGATGTATACACTAACACCCTCTCTCCACTTTCTTCAAAACCAACTCCAAGGCTGCCATTGATGCTCTTCTTGGACCTCAAAACCAAGGTTGTGGCTATCTTCTAAGCTGATCCAAAACCTTTGCAGCCTCTCATTTACTTTCCACCTCAGAACCCTGATCGAAAAGCTTGACAAGTACCAGGGAAGAGTCAAAATGAAGGAAATAAGGTTCAAGAGTTTTTTGCAGGTAGGTGTTTCCTTCTTCTTTTTTTTCTTTTAAAATCGTAGTAGCATGGACGGGTCCGATGCCACAATTCTACTCTTAAGATAGTGCAATCCAATCAATCATATCAAAACAAGTTTTTCAGGGAGGTTAGGGTCACTGGGAGGATAAAAATCGTGCACTTACAAGGACGATTGTGAATTTGTGATTTTGACTACCATGACTACAAGCAAAAGCTGTGAACCATTTATTTATAATTCTTAGACAAATGTTAAATAACTAAGTGCAAAAATCAAAGACAGCTACAGTGACATGTCCTTACCACCAATATATTAAGGCAAGATTGTGCATGCTGATCATTTTGTGCAGATTTTTGAGCTACTATTTCTAAAAGAATTGCCTTTACATGCTCCTTGTTGAAAAGCAAATAGGAGCACTTCACAGAGAAGATATTCAGAAATTCAAAAAGACGATGTTTTTCGCCAAGTATTTTAAGCAAATCATCCTGCAAAAAAAAAAAAAAAAAAAAAAAAAGACAAATAAATAGGTAAAATCAGTGTGTAAAAAAATACAAGCTACATTTTCTTTCTTTCCCTACTGGAAAATAAAAAATAACACAATGTTTGTCTGAATCATAACAATGAGACTATAATTTAAATGATTAATGTTGAAACTTGTAATATTGTTCCCTATTATGGACCCCTAAAAGTAAAAATTTGTTTGGAATTATGGTACTAATCTATGCAGTTCATCTGATGACACCAATAAGAAATATTCATAACAGCTTCAGGAAAGAAGATAGAGAGACAGACATATTGACATCAAATTTTGAAGCTCATTACATTAAACTGCTGCTGTTAATTTTAGCTTAGCTAAGTGCTTATGTTGATCATGGCATCATTTAAAGGAGAAGATTATATTAAAATGAAAATATAATGCAGGTTAGAGTTAGATTATTATGTCTACTCAATGGCAGAGTGAATGAATAATTAATCAGATTCATAACCAAAAAAACACATGAAAGGCAGTCTATTGGCAGTACCATCTATGGTAGCCATTAATGATAGTGATGGAAAAGGAATGACATCAGACATATTCATAGGAGATAATAGGCACCCAAATGCATGGAGAGTTAGCAAGTGATACATGTCACAGGAATTGAACATCAAGTTAAAAATTTAATTCTCATATCTTCACTTCAAAAAGTGATGCCCATACAGTTTGTAACCATGACTTCCCAAATAAGTCCGCAATAATATATCTATCAGCTGTGGATTATATTTTACCCGGGAGGCACGAGCTTGATGGAGGCCAGTACTTGGATCTACAAGATTTGTCAAAATCTTCCAGATATTGGCATCTTTTAATTGATCAAGAATCTGGAAACTCTCTTCAGCCTTTATGGGGTCAGCAAATGAACGGGACATTATTCTGAAACAGAAAAGAATCTTTTTCTGGACCTCGGGAATGTCTTTACCCTGCATTTAAATGAGAATCAATTCCTTTTCCTGATCAAATTTCCTTTGAGAAGTTCATCTTTCCAACTTCCAAAGTCAAATACCTGACTCATCTGCCTGAGAGATAGATACCTCTGCATCTCTTGCTGTAACCTGCTACCAAAGAGATACAGTTAAAAGTGAAACTTTTATTCCTCACTGATGTTGAGACACCAGAGTTGTATAAAGCCATCAGCCCATCACAGAAACCAACTAAGCTTACCTTTGTTTCTGCTCCAGTATCTTTTCAAGAGCCTTCACCTCCACTTTATCAAATCCAGAGAAAATCCCAGCCCAATGTTTAACAATAGCACCAATTGAAAAATCTACTGGAAATAGGGACCCACATAGAACAGATTCAATAATATCAGATCTGCAAAAAAGAAATGAACAATAGAAATGCCAATGATCAGAACGCCTTCAACCCTAAAATAAACAGAAAAAGCAACCTAAAAGGACAAGAGACAAACTCTTGACCAAAAAAAATATACTTTTGTTAAAGCAATATTCACCAAAACATCCAACTCCTCTAATTTTGTACTTGAAAAGTATGCAAACTATGCTATTGACAAAAAAAACAAGTCAAAGCAACAAACTACATGATGGAAATCATGTCAACTTTACATAACACTAAAATAGAACAGTTGCACCCTAGTGCAGCAAGAATTTTCAAAACCACAAGATCTTTTTTCAAGGCACCATTTTTTAATGAATTATACCAAAAAACTTCATTATGGAAATCACAATATGAATATACAGAATATATACTAAAGATTTCATTTTAATATATAGAACATAACCTTAGTTGGATTGACAGAATATTCTATTTCTTTTAATAAAAATGATTCATCTCTTTTGGTAATTAGTTAAAATCAGTTTAAACAAGTGTTACCACTTGTAGACTACTAAAATCAGGTTTCAGAAAAAATGGTCAGTTCTACTTTATTGTCAATACAAAAACAATTTAAAAAAAGAAAATTATGATCATGATGCAAATTAGGGCAAACATGATACAGCACGTGTTTCACCTGAAATCTTTGTCATAAAAACATCTAAGGAACTTCCCAGGAATCCAGTTATATTCATTGGGATTGACACTGTCACAGCTCTTCTCACAAACAACTCTATACACTTCAGCCAATCTCTCCATTGTATACTTTTTAACACGTAGCTGCAAATGCAAAGCAAAATGATGAATTGAGACACTAGTTGAAATCATCAAACATTTAATTAAAAAGATATAGAACAAAAATTTATAGTTGTACATACAGATTTATCACGAAGCCGTTCTGCAACAAGTTTCACAGTTTCAAGTGGAACTGCATTTAGCGCATGACGTGCCACATCACAGATAACAGCCACAACTTGCTTTCGAACATTTTCATCGAAATCCAGCAGTCGTTCACAAAGGGCAGCTAAGTTTGACTCAAATAAAATCAGCATATAAAGGACAAAAAAAAAAAACAAATAAAACTTTAGACTGACAGAGTGAATATGTGTTTAAAATACTCACATATCATTTGAGGAGCTTCAGCTCCAAAAGGATTTAACAGCAGGCAGTTCTTTACATGCTCAAGGACAGACATGCGAACCTCAATAACTCTATCAGTCAACCTCTTTAAAAATTCTGAAAATATAGGCTGAAATGCTTCAGGAATAGAAGATCCAGGAAGAGAAATTATATCACCAACCAAGTTCACTGCTTTCAAACGGATTTCCAGCTGGTCAGTCTACAAATGTCCAAATTACAAGTGAGAACCCAGCTGTTAATTTTTGCCAAAATCGTGAACAAGATAAATGAGGAATAAAAATGCCAAAGCGACTTTGATATTGCAACTTCATACAGTCCAAAACTCAGAACCTCCACAGAGCATAACATACAAATTACACCCCAAAGAAAAATCTAACAATAATGTTATTATAATGGAAATACATGATACATCTAAAAAAACATCAGGCATCAATGTCAGTATCCAACCCCCAATTAGGAAAGTCCACAACAGGAGAAATAGGATGAGCGCCACTAGTTTGGCTACTCAATTAAAAGTAGGAATTGTAAACTGCTAGAGTTGTTAATTAGTTAGGATGGTATATATAGAGACAGAGAAGGTAGAGGGAGGCAGTTAGTTGGTTATTGTATCATGGGGACTTGGGAGAGACCAGGCTCTAAAAATCCCTAGAATCTTCTATCATAAGCTTCCTACTCCAGAGAAGGAGGATTCTCATTCTGTTCAATAAAATTATTTTCTTTCTTCTGTTAATTCCAATTCTCTGAACCAATATTTATCAGTCAGGAAAGCCAATAAATAACTAATTACCAGTAGCTCTCCAGTCACATAAGGGAGAACTCCAGATAGGATCTGAGGAGCACAGCAATACAGATCATAGATAACTCCATGATATTCAACTTGACTGTTTACTGGCTTGCAATCTCCAGACATTAACGATAGCAAAAATTGTTTAATGCTGGGTTCAAGTTTTCCTACACATTGCTGTATAACATTCATGGCAAGCCTCCTTGCAGCCATATTAACACCCTGGAATTAAAAGTTCACACTATCATGTTTCTTGGATAATATTAGAGCAGCAAGAGCATCAGCTAATCAGCCTTCAACAGGAAAAAGAATTTATGAAAGAAGTACTTACTTTTTTTTCTCGGCCTAATTTAGACAGTAGAATAGATAAAAGATCCTCACGAACATCCTCACTCTCTTCTAAAAGAACCACCATTATAGTTTGCATGGATGACAGAACACTTTCTGGATGATCATCTCTAGGTATGAAACAAAATGTAAAGGCACCACTCATTAATACAAAGAAAATAAACAAGAAATAATCATAGAAAATTTGACATACAAGAAAGTGAATAACACATAACTTCTTAGTTTTCACTTCAGTGTTAACAGTTTAAAGTTTCGACAACTACAACAACCAACCCTTATCTAACTAGGCGAAGACTGCTTATATAGCAATACAGCACTTCCTTCTTAAGACATCACAGTCTAAAAAGACAAAGATGTATAGTTTATTTAATTATCTTTAATCCTTTCTCATTATTTATACAGAAAATTATTAAGTTTGCAATGTTCGAAGTGAATATAAGAAACTGCCAGGAGGTACCCCATATTTGTTACTCTTAAAATTAGCACAGGCATCACAATTCATTAAAAGATTTTATGATAAACTAACCTGACAACCGCAAAGAAAGTGCTGAACATTTCATTCACCAGATCATCACATTCAAGATCCAACATCACAACACACGATCTATATTTTGCAAGAGTCTCCAATATAACAACTCTTCGGCCAAAGGATGGACCATTGGTATCGCTTAGACCACTAAAAGTTCCCACAATCAACTGAAAAGTATCCTGCAACGAGATCTAACACAAATCAGGACAAACTACAAAGAATACTTGTAAATTATGTTCCCAACTGTTCTTTTGGATGAAACAGAATGAGTAAATAAGATGACAAACTATAACTAGATGGTCTTAGTAAACAAAAGAGACCTTTAGAATTTCATCACTATAAGGAGCTTCAGGTGCAGTAATTCGAGTTATCTCACAAACACATGTTGCAACTAGAAGCTTGACATCCCTATCTTGGTGCTTCAGCAAGTCTGGCTTAACAATTGCATTAAAAAAAGGCTTCATTGACTCCAATGTTGAAGCTGAAGGTGACTGATCCAGCTCAGCAAGGCATGTGGTTGCTTGCTGCATGTGGAAATAATATTTCAAGGTGTGAGGGGGCATAGCAGTTTCCAAAACCAAAAATCAGTAGCTTTATGACAAACTAATTTTTTAAGACCATATCCGCATGAACAATTTTACATTAGTAGTTGAACCCATATCCAATCCCTCGTTCACAAATCAAGTCCCCTATATATCTTCACTCCTCATCTTTCTTCTTTTATAATATATAACTTTCTAGTTTATCTAATAATACAAATCAGGTGAACTATCCTTTAAATCTCAAGTGCATTTGAAAAGGAACCCTAATTCTTACTTTGTATTTCAAATTCTTTCCATCCACTATCAATCACAGACATGAAAGTTGCAATTTTCAGTACCCTCATCTGTTCCCGCTCAGTTTTCTTAGATTTCGAAATATAGACACAAGACGGATTCCTATTAAACTACAGCACAAAATAATTACAACGCCCAGTTTAACAGTTTATCCTGTGTTAGCACACAAAGTTAAAGCACCTTCGAAAAATTAACCTAACTCGAACGATTATTATCAAGCTTGCTCCAAATCAACATAAGCCTCCCTCACCTCAAGCATAGTAAACCTACTAATTGTTCTTACCAACACATGAAGAAGTAAATTTGGGGAAGCAAAGCTCACCAAATTGAAGGCATTTGAGCCAAATTCTAATTTCAAAAAATACAAATCAGATTAAAAGAGGAATTGATCACTTTATTTTGCTTTTATTACCCTTGCACCTCCTTAGCTACCCAACAGCCAAACAGAAAGTAACGGACATAACCAACTAACACAAAAGAAAAAGAAAGTTTTGAATTGGAAAAGACAAAAAAGGCACGAGATTTTTCAAACCAGACGAACATGGAGAATTGGGGAATGGAGCAATGAGGAATTAAAAAATTTGAAAAGAAAAATGCGAACCTTCAAGAGCTTGATGAGAGCGTCTTTGGAGGAGGGAAGGGTATCGAGCTTGGATCCCAGCTCCTTGAGTTGCAGGTGAGGCTTTTGAGCCATAATTCCTCTCTTGATAAGACGGTGTCGTTTCAGACGTCTTTCATGGACTTTAACGAAGACAAAGCAGAGAGTTGAGAGTTGAGAGTTGAGAGTCGAGCGTTGAGAAGAGGAGAAAGAGGGTTTTGTTTTTGTTTCTGCCTACGATGTTCTGTTCTGTCCACTCCACTCGCCTTCTGATTTTCGAACACCGAACCGAAATTTACTCCAAAATCCCCATGTTTGGAGTATTTATTTTTTAAAAATAATCATAAGTAATTTTTTCTGCACTAAATCACAGAAAATTTCCACTTAAACTGAAAATATTTATAATATAATAAAAAAACCAGCTCTTTCAGAAACCAAAAGAAAAAGTGTTTAACAAATAGATAAATGCTAAAATCTTAATTAAAAATTAACAAATTGTTAAAATATATTATTAATGAAAGCAAAAAAATATATATCTTATTATAAATGATTTTTTTAACGTATGTCTTTGACCGCATGATAATATTTTTGTATTAAAAACATAATATATTAAAATATTAATAATATTAAATAATATAATTTTAAAAAAATATTATTTATTATTTTTATATATTCTTATATACAAATTAAAAAATATTTAATACATTTTAACATAGTTTTAATAAAAAGAATGTTTTAAAAATATTAAATAGTATATATTATAAAAAAATCCTATATATATCATTGATCCAACTATATAAGTAATTATATTAAATTAATTAATTTAACACGCATACCGCATACGTGATGTTTTCTTTAAATAAATCCGTATATTAATGTCAGTATTTTTTAAAGATATTTTGGGATCTTTCCTTTTGATAAAACGTTTGCACTTGCAGCCGTCGATTTGGCCAGCTCGCATCGGTTATTTTCATCGGTTGACTATGTTCTTTGGGATGCATTTCACAAGAAATTTAAGCACAAAATTTATTTAATGAAGCTAACTATTATTTAAATTCCATTGCATTAGTGAAACCATTAGAATTAGGTATGCCCTAGATTTCTTACACTTCTTATATTATATTCCTTAAATTGTATCTACTATGTTAGTGTTGAAATTTGATGAGTTATATATATACTGACCAAACTTCTCACGCTAAGCAATTATTCATCTCTGTATATTATATATAAACTGTCAAAATCTTAAACAGTATTATTCTGCTCATCCAATATTCTATTTAATAATATACAGGCATAGTAAAAATTGAATCTAAAATTTCATGTGGAGTATTTTTCATTTTTTAAAATTTTAAATTAGTTTTAATTTATGATTGTTAAATTTTGATATCATATTTTAAATTCAAAATATACAAATCAGTGGCTTTAACTATTAAATGTGTGGTTCATCTTAAATTTTTAAATATCATATTTTAAATGTCAAACTAATCATTTATAATTGAGATATTATTAGTTTATTAAATTTTTATGTGCAGTTTCTCCTATGTAAGTCCACATAAGTTACAAATAGGGCATACAAATGCGATAATTATCCCTGGAAATTTAATAGCCACCTTTGTTCTATATTTGTCTGACTTTTACATAATTAACAGTGCCTTCTGTTAGGGGAAAAAACATTTCCAAATTTTATTTATGAAAAAATAAATTAAGAAATGAACCTATTGTACGTTTTATATTTGTATACAGTAGAATAAAGTTCAAATATTGATAAAAAAATAATTTGTAGTCCCTTCAATAAATTCAATTACAATGAGGGTATAACGATGCACTTGATAATACAAGTGCGTTAAGGGAAGATTTATCAGTAATTTTACTTTACTCAAATATTGTAAAATACAAGATCCTTCCTGCTGTGTGAAAAATGTGGCAATATCTTATTTACACAGTTTTATAGTAAATAGATAATATATTAAAATAGTTATTCTTTGTTGTAATTAAAATAAAACAAGAACGCAGAATTGTATAAAAAGAATACTAGGAAGTATATGGATGTGCAGATGGAAGAAACATTTGCTCTTGAGACAGAGTGGAAGATCAGTAACATTAAATTGCAGGTTGCCTCCCACCACTTACATTAAATATCACTACTTCACAAAAGAAGAGAGTCCAACGAATTTCAAGGACTTCATTTCCTAGTCAACTCACTGGTCAATCTAATCATCCACCTGACACCATACCAATATTGCTAGATTTTCCGTGGGTGAATCACCTGACACATTTTAACTGCTTGCTTTAATGCAAATTTATATACTAAGTATTTTCCTGCTTCTGTTTTTATATATGTATAATGTAACAATTTAAGAGAATTTGTTTATGAATACTTTTTAATATGTTTACTACAAATTTATGATATTTAATTTATTAATATACTCAATTTTGTGATATTTAATGATTGAATTTATACTTTTTTTTTTAAATTAATTTAAAATTATTACCAAATTATTTTATTCTATCACCCTCCAAGTACATAACAAAAAGACATTCTTAGAATAGTTTCGCATGTAGGGGACGCAACAATTGATGTTTTCTCGTGTTGTTTAAAGGACTTCGAACTCAGCTTCCATAGCATAGTGGTAGTGCGTTCGCTTCGTAAGCGAAAGGTCGCGAGTTCGATCCTCGCTGGGAGCTCTACGTCTTTTATCCTCTCGTTTTGATTTTTCTTTGGTTACATTCCCATTCGTTTGTTTTAATGGAATTGCTAAGTGTTAACAGCGTTTCTTTTTAATATTGTTTTAGACTTTAGTGGGGTGAAATTATGGGCGATTTACTGAATGATAATTTTGACGAATAGTTAATTTAGGATTTATGGGGACAAAACATGCAGGTTTCAGTGGAAGATTATTAAATAATTAATAACCAACATTAGATATCATAAAGTGGAGTCCATATCATAATCAAGTTAAAACAAGAACCAAAGTTATTCCATAAGACATAGTTAGGATTAGGATTCTAACTCCCTCCTCCTTAATTCTAAGACCATATATCCTCAACAGTCCAACAATGACTCATAATCAAGGCTAATGATCTTCTTCCCTTCTCTACAAGGGATCATCATTTGTACTGAACATTACTATTGGGTTCAGCATTTGAGAGTGAAGACTGAGACGAGCCAGCATTAGGTGTATCCCTCAAGTAAGTCCCCATGGCAGCACCAAAGTAGCCATTTGGGTGTCCAATGTGAAAGGGAGGAACAAATGCAGTAGCAACACCAAGAGTCCCATATTCCACTGTCCTTTTCCCCAATGGTTCACCCCTCATAGAGGTGCGATCACCCTCAAGCTCACGGTAACGGTGAAGGTATATGGTGAGAGGTTCGATGTAGTCATCGAAGCCAAGCTTGCTCATAGCCCAAAGCACGTCTTCAGCAGTGATTGTCTTGCGTTGCTCCCTCTGGCAACGCTCGTTTGCCTCCCCAGTTATGAAGCTGATGTATTCAGACACGCATTCTTGGATCGTTTCTTTGGCGTCATCGGAAATCTTCGCGTGTGGTGGAAGGATCTTACGCATGATCCTTATCACGTTTGCAATTGGCATGAAACGGTCTTGCTCCCTCACCGTGCATTCGTTCTCCTCTGCTGTTGAGTGGTTGTTCTCGGTAGCTACCTGCCTCATGCTCATCTCCGACACTGATAGCTTCAACCCTGTGATCAGGTTCAACTTTTTTCATTAATTTATGAAGATACAGATATATCAATGTAAATGAATCGGTGATGGATGGATAAAGTTGGAAAATACACGTCAGGTTTAATATATTAAGGTGTGAAACTGATGATGATATGATCGAAGTTAATTGGGAGTAAAAGCTTTAAGAGCTTGGAGTTGTATATGGTTTGTAGAGGAGAGATGAGAGGAATCTGAAGGAAAAGGACAAAAAAACAGCTTTCAAGTCATGCTATTAATTAAAGGGGACAAACGATTCAAAAGGGTCCTCTTTTTCATGGCTTTAATTTGTTTTCATGCATTGGTCAGTCTGAACGCATTTCAAAGAGGGGTTGAACGGTTGTGTGCTTGTGCATGTAACGCCCCAAGATGGTCCACACAAACTCATTTTTGGTTTGAAATTTTGGTATACTCGAGGAGAGAGAACTCATGAAAGAATTTTGGTCCAGACTTGATATAAATTCTGGCCTTAGCTACGGAATTCAGTATTTATTCTTGGTACTGCATTTTAAGGTTGTGGTTGCGAATTCTTGGAAAACCTGTGTGTCCCTCCAACGCACCAGTCTCTTGGCTTGGCTGGGAAGGAAGGGTAGAAGAAGACAGGCGGATGAAAAGGTTTATAGTGGAGACAGATCCTTGTATTCTGATATGATGTTGGAGAATGCATGGATGCCACTTGTAACTATCAAGTCAGTGACTGCATGCATGCATGCGTGCCACTTGTTCCCTTCTAAAATATAAAAGCCACAACCCATTATTGTCATCATCTTCACCACAATATTGCTTTACTGAAACCACGGCCTTTGTGGGTTGGAAGAAGCAAACCAAGAAATAAATCAATTCCGGAAAAAGAGCTTGCTAGCGTTACAAGTTCAAATTACAAGTTCAAAGCAATATAATATCAAACTTTGCGTTATAATAATGCAAATGAAAGAGATCATCAAATTAAATGCTAGAAATTAATGAAAGATGTCACAGCCCAGTGGATTTGACTGTGTGAATGCATGTTTACTAGGCGAAAATGAAAACTCGTGAAGTGATAAACAGGTTGCATGCATGTGGGAGAATCATTGGAAGAGGCATCATGTACTCTGTATATATACGTATATATTAAAATATATATTTCAGAAGTACTAGTATATTACTAATGTATATCCTGCATGAATCAGAATCATGAAGTTAAAATATTACAAGAAAAAATGATGAAGAGATGAAAAGAACCTACAAATTAATGTAAGTGAGAGAGAAAGAGAGAGAATCAGATATATTTGTAGTGTTTATTTAATGGTATTATATAGTTTTACCAGAGGAGGTGTTGGGGAGCTTGCGGTAGCCATGAAAGCCTCCACTATCCATAGCTGTGGCAGTGATTATAAGATGAGAGATGAGAGAGTAGGCTATTGGAGTACTTGGCAAGTGTCGAGATTTATAGTGCTTAAATTTTGGGAACAACGTGTCCAAGGGGGGCGATGTAAACGAGGAACGCGGCAATAGGCAATAGCCGGTCATAGACACACACACATCCCTCCACTCCGATTCGGGGACAGTGAAAAGACCGACAGGCGTAGGTTGCTTCTTTTATCCATCATCAGAAATTTTGGTGAATAATGCTATTCATGTAGTAACTTTAAAAAAATAAAAAAATAAAAAAAAAATAGAAATATTATTATATAAATTATCTAGAAACTTTTAGACAAAAATATCGTGAAAATTAGTTATTTAATTATTTAATTATATAGTGAACAAATTAGAGAAGCTTTTACATAAAAGTGTAAAATAAAATATATTTAGATTGAAAAAGTATATTTTATTATTTTTTAAATTAAACATAAAAACTATTATATTTTTTCTCTTAACCAAATAAATGATAAACATTATTTAATAAATGCTACATTTATTATTTTTTATGTATCAATTTAGTCAAATAATATACAAATTGATAAATATAGTCATATTTGATTTATATTGTAATTATTTTAAACTTTTAATATAACTTCCCCTATTATTTTTACATATTTAATACCCTTCACTATTGAAATTATTTTATAATTATTTTTGCATATTTTCATTCTATTTTTACCACCTTATTGCATAAGTTGTCATATTTTTAATTAATTTAAAAAATATTATTAATTTTAAAACTAAATCTTAAAACAAAAAGTGATAATATTTATTAAAAAAATTCAACATGATTGATGTTTCTTAAACAAAATTTTTAAATTAAAATTTTTAAAGCATTAAAATTCTAGTTTGAAAAAGGCTATAATAATTTGATTATTAAACAAAATTTAATACAATAAATACTCTTTAATAATTACGAGAGCATGACAATAGGTGAATATTGCGACGTCAGTACAAATGATGCACAACCACAGTACGAGGGCAAGGTTGGGTATATGTATACAAACTACAATAATTTCGTGTAAGAAGAATGCTATTAATATATATATATATATATATATATATATATATATATATAAAGAAAAAAATAGAATATGTTTTATTTTAATTATAAAAAATATATAATAAATTTAACATATATTAATTATTAAAAAATTATATTTTTATTAGTGTTATTAAATATATATGTTATTAATTATGTCATTTAATATCATTAATATTTTTAAAATAATATATATTTATAAAAAAAATATAGCTGATTTAATTACTTTTCTTAATTATAGTAATTTAGTTTTTTTGTTTTTTATACAAGGTTTAGAGGGAGTATTTTATATTATTAATTAAAATATAAAAATATAAATTTATAAATGAGAAAGAAAAAAATTCATATAAATTTTATATTTTTTTAATAAATTTTAGTTAATAATAAAATATATACATTACTAACATTTATTTTAAAAATGTATGAACGACATCAATGTAAAAGAAAGATGATAAATAGCTTAAAAGTTTTAGGCCTTTTATAGATACTGTAATTTTGTTAGTTGATATAATTTTTAATTATATTAATAAAATTATTAGATTTTCAAAAGTTTTAATTTGTTATTTTTATTTTTAAAATAATTATGAATTTTCATCTCTCTTTTTTTTATCTTTAACACCATGCCCATATATTTACTATTTATTAATAATTTATTTCTATTTTTTCCTTCCTCACAAAATATTAATACTTTAAAAGATATGAAATTTTTTTAAAAAAAATTATTTATAATTAATTTTTTTACAAAATTCACTGATGGATAGTTTATATAATAATTTATACTTAAATAAATTAATAATATATCTACCCTGAACTAAAATGAATACAAGTCACATAAAAATATTAATATTATTCTAATAATATATACAACAAATATATTTTTATATAGTTTTAGCAACACTTTTGAAAAAATATATATTAAATAAAATAATAAATATATATATGCATATATGATATATATTTAAATTTAATATTTTTAAGTAATTGATATAATTATTTACAACAATATAGTATTTATAAGTTTTTTTTTCATTTTATTCTTATAAATTAGGAATAAAAAAACTTATAATTTATTACTTTACTTACTATTAGATATAAGTTAAATACACACGCATAATAATTTATCTAATGTTTGAAGATTTTAACTAATATATATATATATATATATATATATATATATATATAATTTTATCTAATAGTTGAGAATTTTAAATATAGAGTATTTTTTTCTATTTTCTTAATTTGTATATAACATATTTTTATTTATTTAGAAAGTTAAAAAAATACTAATAATAAACACATAATATTTTATCTAATGTTTGAGAATTTTAACTAATATATATATATATATATATAATATTTTATTTAATGTTTGAGGATTTTGATTATAGAGTGTTTTTTTTCATTTTTTTAATTTGTATATAGCATATTTTTATTTATTTAGAAAGTTAAAAAAATACTAATTTTTATTATTTTAATATTTTAATTTATTTTAAACACTATAAAAAATGTATAAATAAAAAAATTATATTAAAAAGTTAATAAAATTACAATATAAATAAATATTATTGATTAAATTCCTCAATTTCCATGCTATTTTCCAAGTAGACAAATAAAAATGGACGGAGCAGTTAGATAAATTATATGAAATACTTTTATTTATTATTTTTACAAGATAACTATTAAATGAATTAATATTATTTAAATGCTAATAAGTACGGTTGAAGAAGAAAACTAATCTAATAAACATTATATCTGGGATTATACTTGTAATTTTTTTAATTTGAATTACATGTGATTTTAATATTAAATAAATTGTTTAGCCAATTAATTTTTTTCTTATATAAAACTTCAAAAACAGGACATAAAATTACTTTAAAAGTGAAAAATATAATAAAAAATTAACAAAATTTTGAAAAATATTTTTGAAGATTAAAAAATGAAAATAAAATAATAATATTAAAATATCAATAAATGTAATTATTTTAAATACTCAAAAGAACAAAATATATTAGTTAATAAAACTATTTTTAATATGATACAATGAAATATTATTTATTTATTTGAATACATCGTTCACAAAATTTGAAGAATAAAACAGTGAAGAAATATTCATGCATTTATTTATTTATTATCATTATTATTATGATACATGCATTTAAATAATTAAATGTACGCCTCGATAGTTACAATTTATGATTAAAATACTATAATAAATTAATACCAATTCTTAATGAGGGATTTATTTTTTTTCATTAATTTATTGTATATTTTTCATGACACAAGTTATTAGGTCTGAGTACTTTCTAGGATAAATATCGAGGTTTAGAGTTTAAATATATTTTAGTATGAATATTTTATATATTTTGGATAAAAGTTATTTTTAATTAAATATACGAGCGCAATGTACGTAACTCTTTTATGATGCTTAGCATTTAAAAAAATATATAGTCAATACTTTAAAAAGCATTTACTGTTAATATATATAATACATTTATTATAGATATAGTTATAAAAGAGAAAAAAATATATTTTAAATAAAAATTTCTTAAAAAATAGTCATAATAAATACATGGATGTAATTTATATGTTTGGTGTAAGTTAATGTTTTTTAAACTGTTTTTGTTTAATTTTTAATGGAAAAAATTATTAAATCAAAAATATTTCTTATTTAAATTTTACATTTATTTAAAGAAGGAACGTTATCTTTTATATTTTTGTTGCTGCTTTAAATCAAGTTAAACGTTATTTAGCATGGTTGAGATGTATAACGAATGAATTTTGGTATTTTTAATTTTTTAATAATTAAATTGTAAGATAATAAATTACATAATTACATTCTTCTTAATTATTATATAATTATTAAAATACATTATTTATTTCAAATTTAATTTGTTGATTTTACATTTTGTATCAATAGGTATGATCCATAACATATTGCCTAAAAAGTTAAGCTATGAAGTTTTTATTGAAAAGAAATTATAGAAAATGTAGAAGTCATTGAAAAGTTAATTTTTAAATAATAAAAAATTCATAAATTTTTGTATTCTTTATTTAAATAAATATATATATATATAGAAGAGAATAAAATGTAATATAAAAATGTCTATTTTTATTAAATAAAATAAACTATAAAAAAAGAAAAGTAAAAACAAGTTATTTCTACTCATTTATTTTAATCAATTTTTTTATTCTCTCTCTTTTTTTACTAAATAAAACATTGAGACATTAATTAAAAAATATTATATAAAAAAATACTGTAAATATTATTTTAATCAATTTTTTTTACAGTTTTTACTTATTTATTTATTTTAAATAAAAGATACTCGTTTAATATATTACTTTAAATATTTAATGAAGTATATTGAATAAATTCACACAATGTAAAAAAAAAATAGTCATGATTATATTGTTAACTTTATCAATTGATTGATATATAAATAATATTAAAATATAATTTTATGACATAGTTAATTAAACATTAACATTTTATTATTAAAGATAAATTAAAAGTACAAGTTACTTAGAAAAATTATACTTATTTAATAAAATTAAATATTTTATTAGTATTTAACATGTTATTGAAGAAAATATTATTTTATTAAAACTAAATTACAAATACTACAGTAAATTATACAATTATAATTTTTTCTATTTTTTTTATATTAAATTCTACGTATATTCAGTAATATTTCAAGTAAATTTTAGATAAACATAATTTGACATAAAACTATTCAAATATTATGTATCACATTCTCGTAAAGATAATATAATACAAAAAAAATATGACATAATTAATTAATTAATATATATTTTATATTTTTATTTTTATAATAAAGATTTCTAAAGATGTTTTAGTGTTTAATATAAATTTTGTTTATAAAATTCAAGAAACGTTTATTTTTTTTAACATATTTACTTTTTATTATTTAATATGTTTAACTTGCTAACAGTTCATATAATAATAGAAATTAACAGTAAACTTAAAACACTGCAATTAATTTTTAAAATTTATTATATTAACTATTTTTTTCTTAAATCTATATAAATTAGTCAAAAGTTGACGTGAAAAGGATCAAATGAAATATATATTAATAATATTTTTGGTTATACATTTTGTTAATTGGTATTTTAAAGGTATTAATTAAAAAATTAAAATAAAGTTTTTCAAAATAATATTAAAAATACATTGAAATATTTTATTAGAATATATTGACAATGAAAAAAATATATTTACTTTAATATGTGTCATGGTTATTTATTAAGCTAAACACCTATTTTTATAAATAATAGTTTTAACTAAAACATTGCTTTAACATTATACACTATAAGTGTTCAATTTGTTTACAATTATACATATATAATTATAAAAAATAATATTATATAATTGCATAAGTAGAATAATAAAATTTGATGCTTATTAAAAATTATTAAACAGAATAAGTAACTAATAGTAAGTAAATTTTGTTTATTAATAATATTTTTAATTAAAATTTACCTTGAATATGTGAATTGATTGCTTAAGATTGTATATGTGCTATAATGTGCAATTCTTTATTTATTTAATTGTTTGCACACATTTTTTATTCAGTAATATTGAATTTTAAAACCACAAATTAAACTAAAATAAATTAGTGTCCGTTTATTTTACATGTTCGATGATTATTTATGACTTAGTTGATAAGATCAAAATATTTGAAAAAGAAAATAAAATAATAAATAATTGGGTTAAAAACTGACCTGGTGCCTGGATGCCTGGATGCAATTTATGTAAATTAAAGGCTCTTTTACTAGAAAAGTACGTTGCATTTTAAACAATGCCAGTTTCAAAATGTGTAAAAAATATATTTTTTTGCTAATTTTGTGCTTAAATTCCTTAATTAAACCCAATTATAATTTAATTTCCTTAGATAATGATGTCTAATTGTCTATAAATTGGACCACAGAGATTGCACAGAATCATCCAAGACAGAACAACCTTGAACTCTTTCATCTGAAAAAATGAGGACTTGGAACTGTGCTGACAGCAGAAATGTTGCAATTGTGTTGATGGTTGTACTTGTAGCATTCTCCATTGTCATATTCCCTTACTATATGACTCCAAATCCTCCAATTCTTTTACTCCTGTGGTTTTGCTCTATCCCTCTTTTTATTATCCTTTATTCGCTTTACCTTGCATTTTTTGTTTGGTGAAATCGCGGAACAGGAAGACACTCATCATGAGCCTCTGCAACAACTAGCTCCTGATTTTCTAATAAATAAAATCTGAATAATGTATTTGGCTAATAATATAGTCAATATTTTAGTTCTTTCTTTGTTCCGCGCCATCAAAATCACTGTTAAAGAAAATATAATGTAGTCTCGTGACTTTTAAGTCCCCTAAGAAATGGTGGAATCTTTTATGGAGATGACTCTCTATTTAAATCCAAATTTTTAGTTGATCTTATGTTTTAGGGTTATTTCATTCATTTTCTTTGAGATTTACTGTATATATGAGTTTACACAAAGTTAAATAAAGTGAAGTAACTCAAATATCAAAATAAGTATTTTTGTTAACTTCAATTCTCGTTGAGTTTAAGTATTTACAAAAAAAAAATTATAAAAAAAATATATAATTTTTTATTAAAATTATAAAAATATAATAAATATTTTTAATTAAAATTTACTATTATTAACTATTTATTTTTAATTTTAAGCACAAAATTTTAAAAAAATTAATCACATTTTGTTATATTGACCCAATCAAAATTAAGATAAATTTATAAGAGATTTATTATTATTTAATGAAAAATATTTAGTAGAGAGTAACGGTTTAAAACCAAATACTTTGAGAACCGAAAAAAATATGTTTGACCGCTAGAATAATAAACTTATTTCTAAATAATATAAATTTTAATAATTTAATTAAAAAATTTACAAATACAAAAAATTGTTGGAATATGTGTAAATAATTAATGAATCTACCATAATTTTAAACTCATCATAAATATGACTTTGAAATATCATTCAATTGAAATTTTATTTTAGCTTATCAATTCAATTTTTAATTGTAATAAATATAAATATGTTAAATATTTAAAAATAAAATTTTAATTTTTATAATATTTTTATCTTCTCCAAACATAATGGCATCTAATAAAAAAATGGTCTAAAAAATATTTATTTTATTTTATACTTAATATATATTAAAATAATAAAATAATTGCATTATATTATCTTATTTTATCTATTTATATCTCAAACTCTTGTAAAAGCAAAATTTATATGATAATTTTGTGGTATTTTCTTAAATGATAAAAATAGAATAAGATAGGACAAAAGATATTACTTTATTTTATTTTTTATCTTTATACTAAATGAGTTCATAAGAAAGTAGTTATAAAAATATTTTTTTTAATAAAGTAACAATTTATTATTTATTTAATTTAAATATATTATCAGTGTAATACTTTTTTTTAATTATTTATTGCTATAGTAGTAAAAGTTATAAATTTTTTAATAATTAATATAAAATATTATTTATAATATACTCTAATTGATTCATATCATAAAATTTTTTACTTTAAAAGTCGCTAACATTAAATTCACTTATAATTACATATCAAAATAAAATTTTTACATTGTTAAGATATTTTAACTATTTTTTAATTTAATCTTAAAATTTAGTAAAATAAAAAGTTAATTTTAATTGTTTCAATTCTTTTTTTATATCTCATTTACATATAATTTTTATTTTTCATATCACATTTTGCTTTCACATATGCTTCTCCTATATCTTATTTGCATTAATTTGTTCTTTTTTATTACCTTCTTAAATAACTTTTTACACAGTTTTCTTTTTTTTATTATTATCTATTCTTAAATCCATTATTCAGAAAGAAAAAACAGTGTAAATGTGTAATTGAGACAAATTAAAATTCTATTATATTTTGGCATAAATTGGATAGTTAAGTCAAGTAAAGTTTTTTACTTTCGCTTAAACAAAAAAATTTTGCTAAAAATGAAGTATAAAATATATTTACTGGACAATAACAAGAAATAATTCTGATCCAACTAGGACTAGAAATTAGTAACAAACAAATTTATCTTGATGTTTACCCCACCCATTTATTCTCCTCTGTCCTCTTGGTGAATTAAGTGGTGCGTTTTAGTTTCATCTTAATCACATCTCATTACTTAAAAATTCAACATCAGATTCATAATTTGGTTAGGTTCAACTATCAATAATAATGTGACATTGTTTATAGGGATGTAAATAGGTTAAATTAAGCTTTCTATAAATAAATATAATCAGTCTATTAATTTTGAAGTCTAAGCCTAACTATTACTTTTCATAAATTTTTTTATTAAACTTTACATGACTTATTTAAAAATTTGATTTGGTCTATTAACTTTTTAATAACCTATTTCGTATCAAAACATTTAATAGGTTATTAAACTTTTTTATAAATAGATTATTAAACTATCTAAATAAGTATATTTTTTAAAAGTTACAAAACTTATATCTAAATAAACTATTAAAAAATAATATAATATAAATAAGTGCACAAGATTGTAAAAAGATATATTTTTTAATGGCCTACTTCATATCGAAACATTCAATAGGTCATTAAATTTTTTTATAAATAGACTATTAAGTTATCTAAATAGGTATATTTTTTAAAAATTACAAAGCTTATATCTAAATAAACTATTAAAAAATAACATAATATAAACAAGTATACAAAATTGTAAGAATATATATATGAAATGAGATGAATTAATGATAGAAGAAATCGAAACAAAGTAATGTAAATTAGTATTATGTGTATAAAATATACAAAAAATTCTCACAAATGAGACTGTTTTTTGAAGAGTATGTAGTAGAGACATTTTTCAACTCTAACAAAAAAAAAAGGATTAAAATTTTTAATTTAAGATTTTATTATTTTAAATTTTAATTAATTTAATATATTATTATATTATAATTTTTATATAAATTTATTTAATATATTATTATAAATTTTAAATAAATTATTCTAATAAACTTAATAAACTTTTAAAAAATTTAAATTAAATTTATTAATTAAAAAAGTTAGGCTTAACTAGAATTTAAATAGAGTCGCGTCATGATCTATTTCCATCCATAATTGTTGGACATCGTTGTCGACAGGAAGTAAAGAAAATAATAACAATAATAATAAAATTTACAAATAATATATAGTGGGATTCGATTCAGACGCATTATAAGATGGTATTGGTGACTTCCGTGGCAAATCAAGGGAAGGTTAGGCATCGTTTCTCAACTCCAATACCATTCAAAAGGTACTGAATCACTTGATGGTTGATGTTCCATCAACACCCTGTCATGTCAGTGACAACAACAAATGGATATTCTGTGTTTTTCCTTTTATTTTTTTAAGTCTTTTCTTAGATTTAGTTTAACCGAGTGATTCATGCTTCTATGTGAATGCTGATAGTACTAGTACTACTCAAATTTCTTTTCTCTCTCTTTTCCAATCAATCAGCAAAAATGGGCTGTGCTTGTAAAGTGGTGTTTCCCTAGGGAATGGATGCCTAATATTTCTGTTCAGCTTTGTCTTGCATTACTGAACATGAACTAGTGTTTTGTTTTGTATAGAGTCTAATGGACTATTGTTAATTTTGCTCATACTTCCTTGGCAGTTAAGATTAGAGTGACAACCCTTGTTCCTATTCCATCCATGTCAGCCTCAACAAATTCATCCCTTACTGAAGAACATCGAGTGCAACAGATTGAACTACTAACGTCCACTAACGATGAGCATGGCGGTGTTATTGTCGAAATGGATGAGCCTATGGATTCTGCAACCTTTGTTTCCCTTCTTAGAGCTTCAATTTCGCATTGGAAACAGCTGGTACTCTCTCATATTGGTTGTTTATCGTAGTTCATTTCATACCCTTTGATTTTGTTCATTTGAAGGACGCATACTGGTACGTTGTAGACCAGGCACAAGGCTTTTTCCATTTTAAATCATGCATGTATAGATAGGTATTATATGTGCTCCAAATAATGGCTGCAAAAGGTAACAGAACAAGCACAAAAATTGGGTTTCTAGGTGATTGTACTGTATAAATACTGGTTATAATATCTTTCGTTTGCTCATCTTGTGTTGTAGTCAATCTTGTCTCCCTTAATTTATCACTTTGATGGATAACTCTGGTGAAACTTTGGATTTGACTTATGGTAATTGGCATATCCATGTTAAGTTTATTCAATTAGTTAGTTATGGTTTTTGCTGCATGTTATGGCTGTTGGAGACAGAATCAGGAAACTAATCTGATTTGGGCCACTTTCATGTCAGTCTTAATGGCTATCCTTTTTTTCCCACCTTTTCATGGTAACACTGTTCCTTCGTCAATTGTGTATACGCACATAAAAGTAGTATTTAATGACATAGGTTTCTTCTTTGCCATTAACCTGCCATTTATTGTACACACCTTTCTTTTATGTGTTCATTTTGTTTTGCTAAAGATTTGAATTTGTCCCACATTATTTTTGTCGACTAGTTTTGATTTCAAATTTACACCAAGCTTTCTGATTTAACTCTATCTGTAGACAACCAAGTTTCCTTACTTTGTAATTTCCTAAAACCGATTGTGTGATCTACCGGAAAAATTTCATTTTAATTTTACACCAAGCTTCCTCATTTAGCTCTATCTACGAGCAACCAACTTTTGTAAGTTCTAAAACTAATTGTATTTGAGATGGACTTCAATTATTCAAAATAATAAAATATAGTCACAATAGGGATAGTTCACAGTATGGAAGCTATTGATGATTTATTCTTCTGGCATGTTGCTTATCTTCACTACCTTTGTTTATTTGAGTTATTGAATCAACATTTTCTTGTAGGGCAAGAAGGGCGTTTGGATAAAATTGCCTATTCATCTAGTCAGTCTCGTTGAAGCTCTAGTTAAGGTGGCTTTATTTCTAACTGTATTGATTATAACCTCTTCAGAAGTTCGGTTAATGATTGATGAAAAAATGAATTTAGTGTGTATCGTTGTGCGCTAACTTTTTGTATTGATCAATATTTCTGTGGCACACTTCTGTGCAGGAAGGATTTTGGTATCACCATGCAGAACCAAAATATTTGATGCTTGTATATTGGATTCCAGACACCACAAATACTATTCCAGCAAATGCCACGCACCGAGTGGGTGTTGGTGCTCTTATCGTGAATGAAAAACGAGAGGTATTTCCCTAATCACAATGTAGTACAATCACATGATTAGGCTTCCAAGTCAACTGGAAGCACTCCCGTGTTGTTAGAGAGGTGTTACCAATATCTTTATATTTACCATTCCTTTATCATGATAAAGTGATAATGTTTTAAACTTTTGGATGGAATAGAAGATGGAATAGAAGTGACATATTTCACACTTAATTCCGGAGAAGAATTCTGTATGTCCATCACTCAAAAGAGTGAAAAGGAAGAGCACCTAGCGTTTCATTTGTTCATAGAAATAACATTGATGAATGGACTCAATCTTCACAGTTTTCTCTATTTCTATGCTCCTTGTATTGTATGAGAGTGGCTGTAGATCCATCTGTAGCCCTGTGTGAATCATTATCATTATTTTAGTGGAAGATGAGTAATGTGTCTCATTATTGCAAATAATTCTTCAGATTTCAAGTCTATTGACATTTGGTGTTAATGTCTCATTTCCTAGTTATTAAATGATCTTAGGTCCTGGTGGTTCAAGAAAAGAGTGGACATTTCCAAGGATCTGGAGCCTGGAAATTCCCTACTGGAGTTGTTGATCAGGTAATGGTGCTGAATATCTTTTGCACTATAGTTTAAGAAGTTATTTTGTGTGCATATAATCTACTCATTCAACCTATACAGGGAGAAGATATTTGTGTAGCTGCAGTGAGAGAGGTCAAAGAAGAAACAGGTGTAAGTAATCATTCTGTGGTGTGGGATAATCATGAAATTGGATATTTGATCAACCGTATAGGGAGTTTACCATTGTGATTCCAAGCCTAATCGTTTTGCTATCTAACAATTTTCAGGTTGACTCAGAATTTGTGGAAGTATTAGCATTCAGGTAGCATGTTTACATATAAATGTTTTATTGTGTATATGAAAAGAATGTTCCTATGGTTGAATATGGAGACTTTAAATTAGGATTACAAGGTTCAAAACTCATTTACATTGGGGGGAAGGAGTAGGAAACAGGGACTAATGAAAGGAAAATGGCACATCAACATCCTATTGTCCTAAATCCTTCAAGGCAAGAGAGAATCCTTGACCATTTAGACATAGACTTGGGCTCCATTCTTGCTCTTACTAGGTCATGTGAAAGTATTAAACTTGCTAATGTTGCAATATGCATTCATAGTGATATCATGGTGTATGGGCGAAAATATGTGTTGATATATTGCCCATTTTATTGTTAGTTGTTGGAAAAAGTTAGGAACTTATTTTTATTTATTTATTATTTACTATACAATTTAGATAACTTGGAGTTCCTTTCTTCTTTCATCTGAATATCTGATCAACAGACAAAGTCACATGTCATTCTTTGAGAAGTCAGATCTATTCTTTGTGTGCTTGATGCGCCCTCTTTCTTCTGACATACAAATACAGGAACTAGAGATAGAGGCTGCACAGGTACGTAGAATTTTATTGAAACTGACAGTAATTATTGTGTGTTTTCGTTTGTCGTTTAAATATTCAATGCTTATGGATCATTAAAATACCATAATTTTTCTTATGCCTTTCATTACTGCACAATTGGAGCTTTCTTTTTCTGAAATTGTCTTACTTTAATTGATCCGAGTTTGCTATTAAATTGTATTTCTTACGAAAAGACCCTGAGGAAATGCAAATTCATTACAACCAAAGGCACATGTTAATTCTTGATATTATTCTCTGCTGCAGTGGATGCCATTTGATGAATATGCAGCCCAGCCATTTATGGAGAAGTATGAGCTTTTGAAGTGCGTCAATGATATCTACTTGGCAAAGATTGATGGACGATATTCTGGATTTACTCCTGTATCAACAACATCAAAATTCTCTGAGAGAAAGAACTATCTTTACTTGAATGCTGAGAGCCTGAAGAGGCGTAAGTCTTTATAAAGCATAAATAAAGATTTACACAATTAGAAAGGATTCGATTTTAGCAACATAGTGTTATTTAATTCATTATGTAAACAATGCAGATCTCTACATTAGGTAAGTTGACGTAATTTACAATAGTTAAAGCAGTATTTTCATTGAATTTCACGAATTTGACAGGCAACATGAATGCTCGCATAAGAATATTTCTAGTTAGCAAAATATGGGACAATAATATCGGTTGACCTTATGAGCACTACAAATTGGCATAAAAATTTATATCCCTTGTGGCCACTCGTGGAAGTTATTCTTAGACAGTGAAACCAAATGCATAATGTTGATGTACCCTTCCATCTGCTTTGGCAAAGCAGAAAGAAAACACTAGCCAAAAAATATTGGACTATACTGAGGAATCTGATGACGATGAAGGAAAAATTCTCCTCTCCTTCACTTTCATTCTAGCAATGGTCAAAGCTAATCTTTCATTGCTTCGACAAAATTCTACAAATCAATAACCTGCTGAGATGGTGCTGCATGCTCCATCCAAGCTAACCTGAATTTCTGTGTAGAAGCTACGAATTTTTCAAAGTTTTAAGATGTATTTATATTAATTTATTTCTGAAAAAAGGTTCTTGCTAAAGTTTTATTAATAATTTCATCCAACCTTGCACTTTAGCCATGCACAGAAGAAGAAAAAATTAAACTAAGCCACAACGAGAAGAAGGTTTCTAACGTTTTGCTTTATTTTTATCATATTTATTATCGATTCAATCAATAATTTAGCCTGTATGACCCTTGCCCAAAACCCTCTGGAGCCATTCATTCCCTCAACGAAGGACGAGTCACTGATGTGATCTGCAAGACAAGATGGTTCATATTCGAAGTTCAAACTAGAATTTTAATTCATAACGTCGCTGTCTATTCTTCTCTCTCCTCTGTATATCTATACACCTGCACATATACAGATGAAGAATATGCACATACGTGGAAGCAACAGAACATAGTTTAATAATTCAGTTGTCACAAGCAAATACTAAACTCCAGATAACACGAAACTACTTATCCCGTCTCTTCTTTCTGTCTGTAGTTTGGCAACAAAGCATCATCCTATCCAATTTAAGTGACTCTAGATGGTACACGTATGTAACATTAATATGTAAAATATTTATAATAGCGTGCAATATGAGCTTATCAAATCCAATTTGCTTTTTTCAATAACTTTTGATAACAATAAACTGTTCAGCTTAAGTTATTGACTTATTGTTAATTATTCTAAAGTTTGCCAAGACATCTTGCGAAATGCTTCAACGGCGGGCCATATATATAAATCATAAAGTTATATTGTCCATATCATATTTTTCTATAACATTATTTTTAAAATGTTTGTATGAATATGTTCTATAACTAGCATTTCTTGTAAATTATTAAGAATGATTGAGTCATAGCCAAAGTCTTCCAACGTTTTTTGACTACCTAGCCAAAGTTGTGACTTCCTTATGGCAAAACGGATTATAAAAAGTGTTAAAATAATAGCATTATTTGTGATAATGAAAATTGATTCAAATGGTGGGATCGAACAATAATATGACGACGAAGTCTTAAATCATTAGTTCGAATGCTGCAACCCGACGACAACTGAAGTGGGCGATCTTTATCTATCTAAATAGTTTTGTCCAAAGAATTGCTGTTTGTGCAAACTTCAATTCCAATTTTATTTTTCAGTAAACAATCAAATTATTAAAGACATAACGTCAATTATATTAAATCTATAAATGACAAATTACACTTAAGGTACCTGAATGTACATTCTTTTTGTCAAATTAGTCTTCACATCACAAATTTTACGAATTAATTTGATCGATAAAAAACTTGTCAAGGAATAACTTGACAACTAAATGCATATTCAGAAATTACAAATGTAATTTTCATAATTTGTGAATTGATATAACTTGAATTGTACATTTCAGGGATTAATTTAATTATTTAATCTTTCTTCTTTATTTTGGTTGATTTTTTTGTTCCTTTGCATCTCGAACCAAACAATTATGATAGGTCCGTAATTTCTATTTAATTAATTTGTTAAATCAGCTGAAAAAGATAGCTCATCCATAAATTAATCTCCTCCACTGCTGATCAGTTATCTTCATCTTGGAGCCGAGGTTGATATGGAGAGAGAGCGTTTCAAGTGCTCTTCAATCTCTCCGTTTATTAAGAACGATGAACTTCATGGATTGGCATATCTTGTTGTTTGTTATTATTAATAAGCACTTCTATCGGTATTATTGCAAAGACTAAAAACCCTTCAGACATTGATACGACTAAAAGCCCTCCCAATAATTACCTTAATTAATCTTAAGGAAAACTTTGATCCCCTCACTCCAAATTTAGTCTACCTCCATATTGATAAAGATTGACATGCATAAAAATAGTAGGATACCATGTCTATTTGTTAAAGAATATAAAAGTTTCTTTCTTTTTTGGCGTGGGTGGGGGGAGGATAAACTTTAATGCAAAATTTTTGCATCTTTTAAGGTTGTAATTGTTTGAAGACCATTTTTTCCCCTTGTGCGAACAAAAGCTCCACAACTACGATATCTTGGGAATAAGAGTGCCCATAAAACCAATGCCCAACACCCTCTAGCTGCATGCAATTGCTTTTTCGAAGCAAAAGCTCACCACAGTAAACGAAGACAAGCAAAATTTATTTGGGTTATCTTATGGTCTATATATATATATGCAACAATTACCAGTTACAACGAAGACAAGCTAGCTTCAAACTAACTAAATAAGATGAAAAATTGTAATAACAACAAAAAATAGAAACAACAAAACAACTGGTGTATTATAAAATCAACTATATATGCATATATGACCCATGAAAACCATTCATGATGCCTTCAGGACATTACCAAATCCATACACTTGTCCTTTTATGTGATGATCATCATAGAAGATGGGTAGCAGCATGAGCACAGTGCTGCCTCCCAATGATGGTAGTATTTTCCCTGTACTTGTGAAGGTAAGCCTCGAGGGTCTCCGCGTACCCTTCGAAGCCCAGTGAGGTGATGGCCCAAAGAAGATCATCACCGTTGATTGTCTTCCTCTTCTCTTTCTGACACTTATCAGACGCCTCTCCTGTTATGATACTGATGAACTCTGATACACACTCTTGCATCGTCTCTTTTGCTTCCTTTGAAATCTTGGCGTTCGCTGGTAACACCTTCTTCATGATCCTGCTCACGTTCGCTATGGGAAGGAGCCTCTCTTGTTCTCTGCACTCTGTGAGTGAGAACCTTCGTTTACCTCCTGACTCGTTGTCATATTCACCCATAATGTCCTCACTATGCACCCCAACAAACACTAACTTATTATATATATATTTTCATATATAGACATCATGCGTGTATTTATATCTTTGCTACGTACTATCAAATATTGACTCTAGTTAACTAACTAGTAACTAGGGACCAGAAAAGTGGTAGGGTATTTGTATAATCGTAGTATGTGTAATAGAATGATTAATATTAGGTGGTGAGTTTCAAAAAGTTTACTTTTTTTAGAGGCAATTAAGTTTATTAGGGAGTGACATTAATTAATGATGAAGTTAAAGGGAGAAAAATTAATAAGGTTGGTTGGTGCGGACTTATATACAATACTATATCACTATATATGTTGGATAAGAGTATTGGGTTAAATAAGAAGGCATGCTTCTTGGGGTTTCATTTTTGTTGTGACCTATACTCTGCTTGCGTGACATGTGAAAGGTTTAAGTTCTTGACCCATAAGCCTAAGATAATATTTAGTACACATAACGTTATCGAAAATAATAGTTGTGTGCTCAACAAAAAAAAAAAAGGTTTTGTTTTTCATACTATATATATATAATCTTCATTATTTGAGCTAAATAACATCTAACTAATTGAATTTGAGATTATAGCTTTCATGTGGGTATAACCACAATGCCTAATTAAGGTCTTCAAAATGATGCCATTAAAAATAAAATGATTTGACGATATTTGCTTGGGGTTGGGGTTGGGGACTGACTTTGGAATTGTTGCTACGATGAAGAGATGGTTGGGACAGGCTTGAAAAAAAGGATAAAGTAAAGAGAAATGCATATAAAAGAGAAAGAATTGAATACGTAGGCTATAAGATTAAGGGTAGGCTACCAACTTAATACCTTAACTTCCAACTTCTTTCTTCCGTTACTTGCATTCTTTTTTTCCACTGCCCACTTTGCCCTCCCCTTCCCATCTTTATACCCATTTTGCCCTTTAATTTCAAGCATTAATGAATTTCATTAGCTATTACTTTGGTGCAGAGCACCCAACATTACTCAAAATGCTATGTGTTATTTTCTCTTGTTTTTAAAATTTTAAAAAACTTTTAATTTATTGCTTTATTTATATTTACTAGCGTTTCATTTATTTCATCCTTATCTTCCTTAACTTTTTTGTAATCCAAACTTTTTAGTTTTTCTCTTATTATTAGATATTTTTTATAATTTAATATTTCTTTTTTGAAGTAAGTTAATACTCTTTATTAAATATATGCTTAGCATGCATAAATAAATAAAAAATTAAATACTATTAATAATATAATACAACCGATTAATAGTGTAAATGATTAAAAAAACTTTACTAGAATTGTCACGTGATATTTCTCTTATTTTTTTAGAATTATTTTAATATATTAATTTTATTTTTATTATTATTTTAGTTATTTCATCTATATATTTCTTATTATTAAATATTTTAATAATGTAATATAACGAATTAATAATATAAAAATAAAAATATTAAGTATATTATAAATCCATACATCGTAAGGATATAAAAATCTTGTTATAATTAATAACTAGTGTTGTTGAAAAGTTTGGGTTTTATTGATTATAAAAAAGCCTAGACTAGCACATCTGGCGGGCAAATTTGTTATTTCATCCCTGGATATAAACTTGATTAAGCAATAGGATAGATTAATTAAACACCAATGTCAAACCCATTAAGGACAAAACGGTAGTTTATGAAATTTGAGAGGGCAATGGAAGGATGGATTGGCTTATATAAATGGGAAGGAGGTAGCACCTCATTATTTGATATCTATTATATGGTGTTTCAATATATCTTACGTAAAGCCAAAGTTGATAAACAAACACAAACACAAAGAAAGTGCAAAGATGATGAGCTACTTTCGTGGCTACCACGCCCTTGTTTTTCTGCTTCTTGTCTTTGTTCTAATTGCATCTCCTGCAGAAGGAGAAGACAACCCTTTGTTGGAGTTATCAAGCAGAGATGAAGTGGTGAAAATTGCTGGCTATGGAGAGGAAAAACTATCCACAGTTCTTATTACAGGATCAGTTAATTGTGAGGCCCGAGATCAACCTCATTCATGGCCTATACAAGGTATCTCGAATTCTAGACTAATAATTTTTAATCTAAAGTTTAGTAATGCAACATATATATAACTTCAAATAATTGTATAAGGTTGCACTAGGACATAGAGAGCATATATACATTACCCAAATCTCCATATATTTATTTCATTAAGTAGCAAGCTAATTGCTACTTATGAACTTGCCTGTTGCATTGAGTAAATCAAATTAAGAAGATGCGTACAGAATTCAATTGGCTATATTATGGTTCTTCCAGCCAAAACAATAAAAAAAGTTGTTTGCTGAAAAATACATGCCAATAATGTTGCACAACTGAAGATCTGCTGCAGTTGGTGTTGCATTGTTTGGTGGGAACTAAGAACTTGCTTTCGAGTTTTGGTAAAATATCTACTTCGAAAACAATAAAATGTTTTGTTTCAAATTTACTAAATTCCATTGGATATTGTAGATCAGCTGTCTGTGATTGATTGTAACATAAATGAAACAACAAATTAAGATGGTATAGAGATAAAATGTAATGACAATGATTCCCAACCCTCCTGCCAAATGGAAAGGGAAGGGAAAATTCTTTTGCATCTCACGTTATGTAATAATAGTAATGATACAACAAGAGAAAATAAAAACTTGTGATTTGTATGGGAACTAAAATATATATGATGATTATAATTGCAATTATTTATTTTCTAATTTTATTAGAATATATATAGTGTAATGGTGCGTGCGACAGAATTTGCATTGAACTCTCGTGGTTTTGCATAAACCTTTTTTTTTTTCAATGATTTTTTATTTAGTGATCTGGAGATTTTTATTTTTATTTTGTCAACGTGGAGAATCTTTAGTCAGAAGTTAAAAGCAGAAGATTTGGATCTCTAAATAAACAAGCGAGTTCTTTTTTTAAAGACTGTCTCATATCTTAAAAAGGGCTTCCTGAGCGATATGTTAAAAACAATATACATTTAACCCAAAAATATATACACAAAACCAGTACATATTTCCAAGAAAGCCAACACACTAAAAAAAATTTCATTTTATTAAAAAATTAGGATTGTGTTAGCCTCCATCAGTATTATAACATTTGTTCAACTAAAATTAAATTTTTAATATAAATATTACTAAAAAACAATTTTATTAGTATATAATATTATATACACTATTAATATATCAAATCAAATGTTAGTATAATATATTATACCATTAGTGTAAACCCTTAAAATCTTTATTATCTATTTAATTTTCTTTAGATAAAGGCTATATTAATTAACATAATCCTGACATTTAACAAATTTTATCTTTTAATAAATGTCATTTTTTAAGGGTCACGTTGCAACATTTTATTCTTGTTAATATCATGGACGTTATCACATAGCTAATAACATATATACATTATCATGCCTAAGAAAAGGGATTTCAAAATCAAGTTATTGCAAGACGGTATGGCATTTAAGATGACACTTGACAACAATGCCAAGTGCCCTACAAGTTTTCTATACACTACGAACCACCATATGCGTGTGGTTCACTAATCCTGTACAGAATTATTTCTCTTTCTTTCGCATCATATTACACTGCCATCAGTGCCATGTAAATAGAAAATTAGATAATTCAAATCCATCTGTATTTTCAGTTCCTAAATACTTTTTTTTTGTTATCAGTATATGCGTTGAATGTTTTCATTTTCCAAAAGAAAATACGAAATTTCATTTGCCTGCAAGTTTGGTTAATTTATAATTTCATGCAGGAGCTTCGGTTGCTGTTTACTGCCACAGCTATGGCAGCAAGTGGAAGGGAAAGTCAATAGTAGCACGAGGTGTAACTGACGAATTTGGAGATTTTATGGTCGATCTCCCTTCGTACCTTCACGCTATTCCTAACTTGGAAAAAATATGTACAGTGAAAGTTCATCGGATTCCCCAGGAATCACTTTGTCGGCCAACTCATGTCAAGAAACGCAAGGGGCTTATGCTCTCTTCCTTTGGGAATGGCATCCGAACCTACAATGCCGGAGACATAAGGATCCAGCATGCAACGCATGAGCCACTGCACGCAGCACGCAGAGATGGGAGAAATGAATACAAGAAGTGATTCGAAACCAAGTACATAAAGTTGATTTGGGCATCGACAACTGTTAGTGAGAGCACCATGGCTCACTTGGATGGCGCTTTAGTCACAGTATTGGGTTGCATGGGTTTTAGACATCTCTCACAGTACATACTTCATTTTCTGTATACCCAACATTCATCAGTTTGTAAAATATACGTGGCTGAAATATTTGAGAGTTGCGTGAGATGGTTAGATATGAGTTGTGTGAGGACCACTAGTATTTGGTCATTCAAAAAAATTGATATAAGAATGATCCTAAAATGTTCAGATATCATACAAATGAATATCCTATATAGATTTTGGTATTGACCAATTGGTTACGTTCTTCAAACCGATCATTTCTACGTACAATATCCACCAGGGAGACCTAGGGAGCTTTTGTCTATTCTACCAATAATTACCTCAATGTAGCTCAACTAACATTCATATTTGCAAACAATCTGAGTTAGCAGAGACGCACATAGCTCAACCACAATAAATCTTGTATGCCACAAACTAACAATTGCATAAATTATTGAGAAGTTAGGGCTTGCCCATAATTTTCTGGTCGGTAGAGGCTATGTACTTTGCAACATCAGCACAGCAAGTAAGCTTATCTGCTTTCTCATCAGGGACTTCGATGGAAAATTCTTCTTCAAGAGCCATAATAAGCTCCACTCTGTCCAAGCTGTCCAGGCTCAAGTCTTTCTGAAAATCAGCTGTTTCAGTAACCTACAAAAAAAAAGTCAAGATTCCCATAATGTGTCCTTCGGTATAAAATATACTATAGCAATATTTAGTCTTTGGATTTGGCTATTCTAATGTGAGTTCTCAAAAGGAAAAAATCCTCATATTAGAGCAGTCAAATCCTTAGCCTTCATGTTTGAAGAGTAAAAACAACGATTTCGACAGTGCAGCAGTAAAAGTTGGCCATATAAAATTGTAAAATTGCGTTTTGACCATTACTTAAATACCTTTGCAGAGTCAATTTTATCATACTTCTTCACCAATCTAATTACTCGGTCCAGTATCAGATCAGAGCTGGCACCTGTCGAAGAGCACCAACATCTTAAATGCACAAGTGCATTATCATCCCTGGAAAAGAAGCATCTTTCAGTTGAGCTTCTCAAATTCACACGACTCAATATAGATTTCTTTATGCTTTGCATATTCGAGAAGTCTGCAAGAAAAATCCAAGCATTATTTCACAGTGGTGCCAGCCGGTTAGTTTGAAGCGATACTAGGCATGATCAAAGAGCAAAAGTGAGAATAACACAGTATCTTTCCTGTTTTCCCTCTTTCAAAACAGTGCGTAGATACTTTTAAAATAATTGAAACCAAGGAAACAGTATATGCGTATAAGCTTTGCGTAGAAAAAAAAAAAAAAACTTTAGTGCCCTTCAAAATCATTAAGTGCACATTTAACTATAAATTAATTTTAGGAAATGTTTTCTTTTCAAAAGTTTTCTTAAAAAATACCAAAAAAAAAATAGAGGTTATTTCCTTAAAATAGTTAATCCAAACACGCACTCAAAATGAAAATACAAGGGAAAATAAAAATTGTAGGAACAGAACTTTACTTTTAAAATTATACATACAAGCTATAGTCTCGGTCATGAACAGTAAAGATTCCAGCTCAAAACATGACCGGACAAAATTGAGACTAGAAAGGTCTCAAATGCCTCCACTACTTTATCTCTTGTCAAACAACTATCACTATTAATAACCTATATTGTAATTTTGTCTTCTAGTAATTTAGTCAAATCATGGAGCTTGATCCTTGGCATCAGGAATTGTGTTACATTCGATTGGGGAAAATAGGAATAGGACTCTTGCAACAAAATCCTTAATCATTACAAAGGTAACTGCAAAGCAAGCAGCGCATCAATATCTGACCAGTTTCTATATTGCTTATTCGAGTCCTGCTAAGTATACAACTCCAAACGCACCACAAATAAGTCAGACCCCTCTCTATAGTATTAGATCTGCACCGTATTTAAATATTCAAATAGTGTCAGAAAACAAGTTTCTATACAAAACCACACACAATTCAAAAGATGTAATCTCTGGTTATGGTTTTTCTGTACTGTATACCTATGAGTTGTTTATTCTGCAACTGCAACAATTTTTTTCCATTTATCTCCCAAAAGTAGAAACAAATTTCATCAATGCCTATGTCTCTAAAAAACTATAGATAAACAGCTCTTAGGTTAGGTAAATCAAAAAGCAAAAAGGCTCTGCACCACACAACCAACATGTTCCAAAGTGAATGAATTCACCGATTAAAATGAATGAATGGTAGACATTAACGTAGAATGCGATGTTAAATACTGGGAAAACCAGGAATCGAAAACTAACGTGGCAGAAGTCAGAACCAATTGGCAAGTAAAATGGTATTGGGAAAAAGCACAAGAGAGAGTGAAAGCACGAAATAGTAATAGTAGAAAACATAAAGGAGGAGGCAAAGAAAGAAATGGGCACTCACGAAGTGACCGAGATTTATTGAGATATGCCGACAAGTGGGTTTGGTCGGCTACGTGTTCGATGTTTTGCCTCACAGAGTCGAATGCTTCTTCCACGTTGCAAGTTGAAACACCCTTCTCTCTGTCCCTTAGTTCTCAAATTATCATTCTCCTTCGTCCTATGTTGAAAAGGACGGTTATGCTTATGCATATAGCCCAATATAGCACCAATCATCGTGCTAGGATCCAGTGGGCTGGGCCCATTGATCGTGGATCCAGCATGGCCCTTCTATTGGTATGTACCCATCAATCTTGTCTTGGCTAACAGGTCAAAAAGCAATTCTAGTGTTACTGAAAGACTAGATTGATTAATGAGTTTTTCAGACCTTTCTGCTCCCTAGTTTTTGTTTCTTTCTTTTTTATAGCTTAGCTTTTCCAATCCTTATTCGATGGCAATTCATCTAATATCCCTCTGTTGTCTATTTCCAAAATACGTGATTTGTGCTTAGCAACTTTATACATTTCCTTCTCAAGCAAAAAGTAAAACGTGTGGTTTTAGTCTCATAATCATTGATATCATATGCATATAAAATATCTCTAATTAATATTATTTGGTATTAGAGGATTAATTTAACTTTGTGAAGTTCGAGAATCCTTCAATACTATATAAACAAATATGAAACAGCACCGTCGTGTTATATCTAAACATTGTTTTATATTAATCTAAGACTTATTATATTTGCATCATAATTACTTTTCAGAAATTTATTTATTTATTTCTATTGATTTATTATTTATATATGTTAAAATTCTTAGAGTTAAAATAGCAATGGGTATATAAAGCAAGTACCATAGAACATGGAAGACAAATTGTAGAGGGTGTGACCTTATTGGGGGTTCCAGTTGTTTGAGTGCACAAGAGTTTCATATTGCAAGCATTGAAAGCTAAGCCCATGAATTTTCAATTTAAAAAGTTTTAATCATACATACAGACACATAAACAGTCCTTACATAAAAAAAAATTACGAAACCACCATTAGCATTCGCTGAAGTTATAAAGATGTTAGGTTAAATAAAAAAATTGATGCTTATACCTTCACTTTGCTTTTTGTTTGATCTTGGCAACAATAGGAATGATAATCAATATGTTTTATAGAACATTACAGCATTTTTCTTTGGCTGTTTTTGATGCAGCTCCATACTCTTTGTTGCCCCACTTAAAAAGTGGACTCTTTTGGGATTAGTTGTGTTAGGTTTTTGGCTAATCTTTGTTTTCTTGGAATTTTAAGCCATATTAAGTAGTAATAATAAAAATAACGTATATATGGAATGAGTTAGGTAATATGATATTCATGTTTCTCTTATATATATATATAGCCAATATCAATCGAGTCAAAGTTTAATCATTATATCAATACATAAACTGAAAATTTATATTTTATTTTATTCCTTACATAACAAAATAAGTTAACAAAAATTAATATCATTATAATTTAAATAAACAACAAGAATTATTTGGTATTTTTTTTTATATAAAGATTGAAATATAACAGTTTTTTAGTATGAGGATTAATAAAAAATGCATGTGTAAGGATAAAATTATTAATGAAAATTTTATAATTTTTGCTCAACCACAAACTATGGTTTGGCAATGGAAAACGAAACATGAACTGAATGGATCTGTGGGAAATTGTATTCGAGTGACATCGGAAATCACTTTGCAGGGAAGACGTTGAAGGTGTTGCTGATTGAGAGATAGTAGGACAGCTGTTGCAGAATGCATGCCACCTCAACAAGTTCGATGTTTGCACATGAATCCAGTCAAATAATTATCATTTTTAAAACAAATTATGCTAATTTTATTTTTATCTTAAGGATATTCTAAAATAATGATATCATTAATATTTTATTTTGTAATTTAATATCGTAAAGAAGGGAACAGGAAGCAGTTAGGTGTGCAGAAGAAAAGAGGTAGTGGTGATGGGCATTTGGGCATGCCATGCTCATCCCTCCTCCAAACTCGTCGGAGAAAAGCAATAATAATAATAATAAAGTTGCAGTTTTTCCCCTTTGATTGTGAGTTTTGTTATTGGGGATGGGGAATGTGAATGACACTCCTTCAGAAGAAGAAGGTTCAGGGACAGTGCCTCCAAATGAGGATGAAGATGGGAACGCAGCGATGCCTCATTCTCCCCCCACCAGTCCCACGGCTACGCGTTCCCCATTCATCTTCGCTCCTCAAGTAACTTCCTTTTTCAATCTCTTCCAATTTCACTCAATTCAGTTACCTACGCACACTACCTGTTTGATGCATATCCCCAACCTGAATTATCAATCTTGCTTATTTTCTTTGTGTGTGTGTTCTTTTTTTTTTTTTTTTTTTTTCTTTTATTTCCCCATCCATGCTTTCACCATTTGATTTTGGTAATTGGATCATTAAAACGACAGAGTGGATGCATGGCATGCTGACCAGCATGATCATATGCTGTGACCTGTGAGTGGGAACCAAGTTGCTTATGGAATTGCATTAAAAGAAATACCTTCACAGCTTTCTACTTTCTAGTTACTTGTTCAAATCAAGATTCAAGAATCAACTATCATGCCCCTTCCTTCCCTAGTTGATTTTGGACAGTACTGAATTGGACTTTGGACATTTGACTGTCTAATTTAGATGTGTTATTTCACAATTTGATATCCACTGTGCTAGGTTATTGATTCTGGTTTTTTAATTATGAATCATTGGACGGGTCCTTTTGGTAGCTGTTTCATATACTGCTCTTGTGCGGACTCTCTGTTTGCATCCATTGTCAATCATTCCCTTTCCTTTCTATAGGTCCCAGTGGTTCCGCTACAAAGACCTGATGAGATGCATGTTCCGAGTCATTCCTGGATGCATACTACTTCAGGGTATGAAGATATGTACACTGAACAAGGAATTCCAACAATGATTACGTGGAGTTATGGCGGAAAAGAAGTATGTGTGGAGGGATCGTGGGATAATTGGAAAATAAGGTTTGGAAACTTTAGAATCTTCTTTACTTGTCTTCAATGGCTGTTTTATCTGATTTTTAGATTCTAATATTCCTTGTTCATTAGAATGCCATTACAGAGGTCAGGGAAAGACTTCACAATAATGAAGGTACTGCCGTCTGGTGTTTACCAGTACAGATTTATTGTGGATGGACGACGGAGGTACACACCAGAATCACCTTGGGCCTTAGATGATGCTGGAAATGCTTATAACATCTTGGACTTACAGGTACTATTCTATATATATTGACATATTTAAAATGCAAAGAAAATTGATATGGGATGGTCATTATTTATATGCATACATGATGAATTCTGTTTCATGTTTGAGAAAAGAATGATGTTTTTGATATCAAACTTATGTTAAGAATAATTAATTTAGCAACATGATAAGGAGCTTGTGCCAAAAAAAAAAAAAAGAACTTTGTGTATTTAAATTCTAAGGGCAAGCCTTGTTATTTTTCAGTAACTTGGGTTTGAATGCACTTTTATCTCCTTTGGAAGTATGAAATATTTGTTCATTTTTACCTTTTTATGGTAGCTGGTGCTCTTTTTTATCATCTAAAATACCCCTATAGTTGAATTATCTCCCCTGGATGTCTTCTTATCTTTTGCCTTTTCACACTGTTTGACTGAATATCCTTTATCTTGGAAGAATTTCGATTCAGATGCATATGATTACACACTTATTTTGGGGACATACTTTTTCAATGTGTCCTGAGACATACAACCAATGCCTTGCAATAACTGTAGTCACATTAAAATTTTTCATTTGTTTTGCATTGTGAAGGGAAGTTTCAGCTGGGCTGGTGAGATGATAACTTGTGTTCTGTTATTTCTTCTGAATGCTAACACTGCTTGATGATGCTTCTCCATACTATTAGATCAAATTCTTGTTACTTTATGTCTTTTATGTGTCTGTTCTTGTGTAAATGGCACAAAGCTTTGATTTCCTTTTCTAGCAAACACAGGTAGACTACTGGAGTCATTATTGTTCAAATATTTTGGAAAGAAGTGCTAAACTGAAATTGCAAGCTTTATATTCAGTATGCTTGTTTATTTTTTCATTCATGCATAACAATCACTAGATTGACGTTGAATCCATCTCAAACTGGACTTCTTATCTTTCTTGGTTCAAGTGCTGTAGAGTGTGACTTGGTCATAGTTTTCTGGGTGATAACAAAATTCAACTTTGAAAGGGGTGGGGGTGGGGGGTAAAGGAAGATAAAAGGTAAATGCTGAACTTTTGAGTTATTCTCTAGCTAGGATAAAAGTAGAATTAGTTAATTGTCCAATAAGTATGCTTGGATCCATCGGTGTGAGTTATGGTGATGCAAACCAAAAAACAGAATATAATATATGTACTGAATGAAACAGGGAACCTTGATTGAATTGAGAAAGATAACAAAAACAAAGAAAAACAGATGGGAATGGGTACCCAATCTGCCCAGAGCCAAGCTCCTTAGAGTCACCTCACAAGAAAGGTCTCCTTTACCAAAATGATAAAAAAAAAACAGAATGATCCTCCTTTCTCTCTCCAATCTGATACTAAATAGCCGTAAAAATAAAAAAGACAAAATATCTCACTCCACACCCCAAAATTTCCCTTAACTAACAATCATGACCCAATCACCCTTCTAATGCCTTTTCCTCACGTAAACACGACCCCATCTTCCATGGTTGCCTTCATGCACTAAAGGCTCACTTGATTCACCTCCAATGGCTGTATCATATGGTAATTCAAAGGCAAAAGGCACCAGGGATTTTTAACAATTTGAAGCAACAGGGACCAAAAAACACACTCCGTTGTGAAGGAAGGCATTCATATTAGAAGAAGAAATAATCAACTATTTGACCATTTTGCATTTATTTTCCACATAAATTAACCACTCAAATAATGACATTTGTAGTAAAGACTAAAGATAGAAGATTGGGATTTTCAATTTACAAAGTCCTGTGTGTCTGTTGTAAGTGTCCCCAAGTGACAACTAGTTAGATGGGTGGTATTACTGATCCCTTCTACTTCTAGTGTCTTCTTGGTACTTTTGCTTCACTTTGTAGCTACTAGCTGTGAAAATCTCCTTTGGTTGTATAGCTAGTAGGATAAGGCTTAGTTGTTGTTGTTGTTATATATATTATTTAAATATTCTCATGGCACTCTAGTAACTTAGTAACTCAAATCATGGACAATAATTAATCCTATTGTACATCCTCTATGATTAGAATCACCTGTCCACAGTCTTTTATTGTTAGAAGACATTGACCTCTAAATTGAGAGTAATGATTTTGTTGAATATGTATGCAGGATTATGTTCCTGAAGATATTGAAAGCATTTCTAGTTTTGAGGCTCCTCAATCACCAGACTCTAGTTATAATAACTTACAACTTAGTTCTGAAGATTATGCAAAGGAGCCACCGTTAGTCCCTCCACACTTGCAAATGACACTGCTAAATGTGCGTGCAACAAATATGGAAATACAACCTCCAATGTCAAGACCTCAACATGGAGTGCTCAATCATCTTTACATGCAGAAAGGAAAGGGTAGTCCTTCAGTGGTTGCCCTCGGTACAACTCATCGGTTTCTGGCCAAATATGTCACTGTGGTGCTGTACAAGTCGTTGCAAAGGTAAACTAAAAACATAAATGACTTGGACCACAGTCTTGACGCCTTCTATTAGTTTATAAACTTTCGCGTAGTATAGTTATAAGAGAGAAATGGGAAGCTACGTAAGGATCACAACATGAAAGTCAAGAGTGTATCACATATAATGCTATTGCTTGATGGCCAATCACATGACACTTCAGTTCCAATTCTTACATATTTGGTGATACTTTCTCTAGGAATTTTGGTTGAATGATTCAAAGGATAAAAATAATTTATATAAAATGTTCTTATCACATATAGTTGGAAAAGTAATTTGTTGGTTTAGGATATCCGCCACACACATCTTCTGTTTTAGCGTCTCTCTTAGATTGCTTTTGTTTTTCCGTTCCCTAAATTTATTTATTTTCTAATTTTCTTGCGTGCCCCCTGGTGGTTGGGCTTGGTGCTCTGTTCCGTCACTTCCGTGTTTAAGCATGTATTAAGAGATACTTGCGATTCGTTTCCTTTGAATTGACCTTTGGTGGTATAAGGGAGCTATTTTATCTCGCTGGAAGAAATTTTTTTAAAAATATATTGGCTCCGTAGTTTTACATGTGCATTCATGTTCGTCTGTATTGTATTAACTGGTGTTTAATATGGATAAAACTTGATGTATAGTTAAAACTTTATATAGAGATAGATGCACGAATTGTTCCGAGATTCAAAAATCCAGTGAAGCTCAATTCTTGTGTCTCTGTACAGACCTCCTCAGGTATTAAGAATCCTCATTTGTAGTTTCCACCATGTCTACTTTCTGCAGTATTTCATGCAAGTTATTAAACTTTTTCCTTTCGACCTTTATATTTGGGTTTTGAGATATTATTAAGGACTGGCAAAGTTAATGATGGTCAACGAGATCTTGATTAGAATTAATTTAGCACTTTCAAGTCTTGCCTTTGGTGGGAGTGCTAAGGAATTTTCCACTGATAAAAAAAAAATGGAAAAACTAAGGTCTTTTCACCTGCGTATGGTGTAATTAAGCTTCATAATCCTTAGCATTGAATAATTTATTTTCTAAAATGATGCAAGTTTGGAGAAGCCAAGGATTTGCCTACTAAATAAAAAAGTTTTATAAAAAAATAAGTTGAGGTACATTGAAAATTACAGTAAACATTATCAACACATTTTAATAATAACTTAATATATTTTTTCTTCAGTGTCTATTGATTAGTAGTTGCCTTTCAAAGGTTACCTATAATATTTTTACTTTGTTAATATTTTTTTTAAACATAAATATTTTAGTAAAAACAAATTTAGAGTATAAGAAGTATTTTAATCTGTAACATTTAAAGGGTCTACTTTGTTAATATTTATGTCACGCAGTGAGAAACTTAGTCAAATAACCCCCCCTAAGTAGTATTTTTTTGTTCTAAAAGAACCCTTAGTAAGACTCCTCGATTTTGGAGTGGGGCCTGAGGGATCCCCTCTCGTAAAATCTGCGGTGTTGCACCGCCGGCACGCCATCTTATTCGAGATTCCAAGCATCCTGTGTTCCTTTTTGGCATTAGATTCCACGCCACTACTTTGCATGGCTCCCTCTCTACAAAGCCCATAAAATTGCTCTAGTTCAATATTAATTATTATTTTTAGTTAATATTGACGTTTCATTAAGTTGACTTTTAATGTCATCCTTTATCACACTAGTTACTAAGATGAATCATCGATTTTAATTAAAAAAATACTTAAAGTATTACATTAATGTCTTGTCCTATTTTTAAAGAAAATCATTATAAAATAAATTTTTAATATATTCTTAAGCCTAGTTATATCCTAAAATAAAAAGTTTATTGCAAGTAAATAGATTAGCCTTATATTTTATATTTGAAAAATAATCAGACTAATCCCATTTTAAAATTTAGTGTAACCTAACCTATTTTCATTCTTAATCTTGAGTGGTGAAAAAAGAAGAGTGCAGCTAAATTTTGAAGTCGTGAAATATATCACAACTCATGTTTCGGCTCATTTAGAGTGAGAAGTATACTTTAAAAGATTAAAGTATTCTAATAACCGTTGATTTGGTTGTGATTTTAATTAACTTTAGAATTTGTTATACACATAGTTTATCAAGTTACTCAACTATTAATTTTTCAGTCAACGATTATCAATATACCTGGGTCTTTTAACATTCACTCCCTTACTTTAATAGGGTGAAATCCAGTCATGTCATATTTTGCTCCATTACACCATTGAACTGCATATCAGTTATAAGGCGCATGAGTAAGTCAAAAAAAGGAAAACCCTCCATCATAACAAGCAAGCATGTACAGAATTGCAAAGCAAAGCAATTTGTTATTCCATTCACCTTATACCCAAAGCCTAACCCGGTCCCCACCCCAGAAAGAAAAAAAAAGCTAAACCCGCTATGCTTTGATCTTCTACTTGAATACCGGACAGCCATCAACCTGAATTCCCGGTGCAGTTGGGCAAGTAGCCAACGGGCAATGGTCCAATTGAGTCCCCCACCATTTGAGATTATGGCCCGCATTTTGAAGGGCAAAGAAAATTAGTACACCCATAAAAGCTGTTCCCGCATCCAGTGCTGCGGACAGAACATAATTGTACTTCTGCCACCAACGTTTGTTGTAACGAAACACAAAGTAATTGAAGATCATTCCAGTCACTAGCCAGCTTGCAATATTGGCAGGAGTGGCAGGTGGCATTCCAGCAAAGCCATAAGATATAACTGGTATGTTTATCAAAGGTATCCATTTCTTGTCTGGGAACATTTTGCTCATTACCCAAACAGGAACTGGCAACACAGCTCCAATCAGGAATAACCAAACAAGGTTCCTGTACAGCCCACCAGGCCCAAATAGCCTCTTTGGTCCAATCAGACCCCATATCACAGATGCATCAAATGTCACTCTGTATTTGGGGCAAGTCCAAGGACTGTCATGGTGAAGGTTATCATCCATGCATATGTCCTTAATGCTATCCAACATCCACCAAGCCACTGCAAGGTTCACTACTCCAGCAACTAGAGTTCCCACCAGCTATTTGAACATTAATAAAATAAAATAAGGAAAAAGAAACAACTAAACAAGTGACTATTACTTTAAATTAAGAGATTTGAAGATGTTATAGACCTGAGCGGTATACATGCATCGTGGAGGAATTTTCATGTAGTGACCAAGTTTGAGATCTGACAAGAAAGAGAGAGCATGAATAGTGCTGATTCTCCCATAAATTTTGAAGAGCAAGTTTGCAATTGGTTTTCCTGGAAGGATATACCCAATCATGAACTGTGCTATAATGTCATATCCAGGTTGCTGCAAGGTACAAGGACAAAAACGTGGGTTATAATCCAGGTCAACGATAGACTAGAGACCATAGGAATACTGTTGTCAGTACCTGATTGGTAGTTGCTTGGATGACACCAATCGGGAGGGTTACAATAAAAGCTAAACCAAAAGCAAAGAGCATACCCCACCATGGCAGTTGAACATCCGTTTTCCACACAAAAGCCATTACTAGGGATAGTGCCATGCTCCCAAACAATAAAACGAGGAACCACCATTCAGGTACTTGCTTATAAGCATTCATGAGTCTACCATGGACATCCAATTTCGCATTATTCATTGCTAACCTGCTCTGTCTCAATATGTCTCTGGTAAAAGCAAACTATTTCAGTCCCATCACATTGTAGAGCAATTTATTTACAGGAAACTGTATCAAGCACATGCAGTGAATTTTTCTTTTCTTTTTCTGCATCTATGTAACTTCTAGGTGAGATATATGGATGAAAAAGCTTAGTACTATAGTCGAAATCTTCTTATACATACATATATAAGTGATTTCATACAACGTATAAGGTTGGTCAAGATAATTACTGATCACATAAAAAAGTTATATGCATTTCTTTTTATCCTACCTGCCGTGAAACAGTGCTACATGAGTGAGGGTTGCCGTAAACCTTGCAAAACCTGATCCAATAGATAATGCAAACAAAGGACTAAGGTAAAGCTTGCCGTATTTGTTGTATGCATCAATATTAAGATCATACTCTGGGGTTAAAATCTTGGTGGTGTCGTATTTATGTCCACTTGACGTGAACAATTGGTTAGAAAATATAGGAAACTTCCGGGCATCAAAAGTGTTAAACTTCCAGTAACACACAGGTACAATTATGTAGATGAACATGATAAATCCAATTCCCACATTAACAATGGAAGACCATGGTGCAACAAGGGGACTCCCATGATAAGCTGAAATCCCTGCCCAATCAATTGTGAAGGCACCAATCCCAAGTCCATGATAACCTGATCCAATTTGCTGTGCTGTGATACTATGTGGCCATGCCCAGCAGACCCATGAAAAGAATGTTAAGATGGTGAACAAATAGCCAGGGAGTGCATAGTACAAGAAGCTTAGACCCATGGCAATGAGGAAAAACTGCATCCTCGTTAATCCTTTTGATTTGGGCTCCTTTTCATGGAGTGCCCTGTAGCACAAGGTGAGTGATGTAATCAAAATAACATTACAGATATAATAAACAAGCAAATAGAAGAACCTTTAATAAAAAATTGGTTTTTGCTGTTGCGTAAGCTCTTTTGAACAAGATACTAAATCTTTGCCTGTATGTCAATTCTACAGTAGCCAATGAAACATTGACAGAATAGTATTCATACATCTTCCACTTGACCTTTTCCCTTTCATTGCCAAGAGAATATTACAAAAATCGGACAAGACCACTCATGATATGATTCTTTCAGCGGTATAAAAAGGTAAAGTGGCATGCTTGCACCATATTTACGACTGTCAAATTGGGTATATTGGTTGTGCTTATTGATGTTAAGAAGAGAAAAAAAAGGTGGTCTTGTGTTACCAAATACAGGCCAGGAATTACTAGTCAATGACAAACTTGATTCGCTTTATCTTTATTGATTTAACTTCGTATAAATTCTTCGGCAGTAACACCCTTATGATTATAGAATATGTATAGAAGTAAAGTTCTGCAACTATTATGCCTTTATTTACTTGAAGTGAACTTTAGTCAGAAAATATACGTACGTGTACAATAGTTCATGGGAAAGTTCTAATTGTTTGGTTAGCAAATGGCAGAAAGAAATATCAGTACATCACTTACATGAAGATGTCAAACTAAAAAGATTATCTTAGTTGTTTTCAAATCATTTCCTTTTAATGTACAATTGTTGTAGAGTTTTTCCTTGATTTTGCAAATAGGTGAGTGCGTATTGGTTAAAAACAGCAGTAACTACCCAAGGGCTTATGCATGATTCGGTTCCAGTTTAATAAAACAAGAAATTGAAGAAAGGAGCAAGAATGAACCTAAAGAGAGACACTTGAGCCAGGTTTGATGGCCACCACATTTCAACGGGATCAACCAGATACCTCCTAAGAAGCCCAGCCCATCCATATCCCAATATCTGCAAATCAATTTAGAATAATAAATTTTTAAAGTTAAATTGAACACACAACTATAGTGCAGATTGATCAGAATATTTGCTCCAAAGACACAAAGGAAGGAAAAGGAAAACATATTGCAAATTCCACTAATATTCCAAGCCTTTTTGTCGTTAAGAAAAAATATATATTTAAATAACAGATAGCAAAACAAAACAGACGAAACAGATTTTAATATTGAATAGAAAATACTGCAAGGAAGAACCTTCAAACTTTCACAGATCTCAAAGAGAGACTTCATTTTAATAATATATCTGCAAAATTATTTCCTAGCAATTCCTTCCCCCAAAAATCTCTGTCCAAACACAAATTAACCGTTTGGCAAACGCTTTTCTTTTTCCTAAGGCAAAAATATTTTTTGAAAAGTTCTGTCGAGAAATAAATAAATAAAAAATTACACTTTCCAAAAGCTTCTCTCCTTTTATTTTCAAGTAATAATTATAAAAGTTAAAAATGAATAAAGTGTAACGAAAATAGATAAAATGCGGAGCAAGACCCAAAATTTAAAGACGCAAAATTTCGAGGACGGTAACCGAAACCTGTGTAGTTAAGACGATGAAAAGGGCGCAGAGAAAGCTAAGGCTCTGTTTATAATAAGCTTTCATAACAGTAATGGCACCAATGGAGTAAGCATCACCCCCTCCGAAGGAAACGCCACAGTTAGCGAAGATGGTGATGATGACATGCTCCTTCATGTTGAAAGGCCCAGGATTCAAGCTGAAGCGCCATCCAAGAAGAGTGTACTCCTTGGTGGGAAGAGTTGCAGCCATGAACCTTCCAATGGGAAGAACAGCAATTTGCATGAGAATGGCGGAGATGGTGAGTGGCTGAGTCCTGTAGGTGAAGAAGGTGTTGAGAAAGATGAGGAGCACGCAAGAGATTATTCCCAGAAACCATGCTCGGAAAGTCATCACCGGCAGTGATGGGTCGTCGGTTTCCGGCACCACCAGAGCAACCTCCTCCACCGGACACCGATCCTCGTGAACTTCTCCGTTCGACGCCTTTTCGGCGTCTGTGGTGCTGTTCTTGGCCGCCATTGGAGAATCTTGGTCGAAGGAGTGAAGCTGAAGTGAAGGGTGTGGAAAAAGATAAGCAGAGAGAAACAGAGTACCCTGTTTTTCTCTGAGAGTGAGAGTTGCTCTGTTTTTGTCCTACTAAGCGACTATCACATTGAAGACATGTCCTCTCTCGGCGGTGCTTATAAAAAGAATATGAGATTTTAACTGTGATCCCCAAAATGTCCCCGCATATTAATGATTTTTATCGGAATTTAATTAATGTATTTTAATGCAAACGCATGGGCCAATGAAATATTAACATAAAACATCACTATATTACATATTTTAATTTTTAATAAATAATTTTTAACACATTAAACAAACTTGATTTAAGACACTAAAATTTAAATTTATTCAGGAGAATCTCTATAAATGCACTCTGTATTTTCGTTTTCTCTCTCTGTTTGACTTGTGAGCGCTGCAGGCTTTCTCGCCAGACAATAGAATGACATTTTTGTCCTCTCGTTAAGAAATGAAGATCACTGCTAAGTGCTAACTGGCAAGAGATGAGTATTGTTTATTTATTTATAAAAAATTGATCAAATGTAACAAATGTAAAAACTAAAATAATGAAATATATTAATTTCAATGATAAAGATGTTTAAATAGTACTTTTCTTAACTTGTAGTAAAAATCTCAAGCTATTATGTATTTTGTTGTTTAGGAATCGTAATCAATATCCAAAAATTACTATGAAAAGTGAGATACATAAACAATATGTAAAGTATGAGAAAAACATGAATATTAAAGACGACATTGATGCTATTAAATGTAGTACGGTGCTCAATTCCTTCTTTCTCTTCGTTGTACTTTCTTATTAGATGGTGATAAGTGACGGTTAAAAATATTAAATGTCTTGTTAAACATTTTAAGTAATATACAAGTAGTTAATTCAAGAGACTCGTGTCTAATTTGCATTGAGATCTCATGTTAAAGTTTTGTATAAAAATAAACCTTAGTCTTAATGCATATATTCTTAACCCAAACAAATTTTTCTTTAAAGATTAAATATCTCGTTTAATTATATTTTTACTTGAGATTTTAATTATATTATATGTAATTTTCCTAGCTGATTAAGGTTTCTGTATTAATAACTAATTAAATTTGTTCTGCACTTTAATTTTCTTCTACTTAAAATTTTTAATTTCTCATTTTGCAATTCAATTTATAACAAATATTCAAAATTTTTAGATTAAAAACTAATAACTTGATGTTTGATTAAAAGAAAACAAAAAAATGTTCATTTATGAAATAAAAAATTGTTATTAATAAATATTCATTTATTTTTATCATTAAGTACATTTATTCATTTTATCTATAACTTATTACTTTGACTATGCAACATTATAAATTTATTATGATACACGTTATATATTTATGATATAAATTTTTTAATTAATTTTAATAATTCATTTTAATAAGATTTAAAAAATCAAAGTATTTTAAAGTGAAATCTTAATTATATTAAATATTATAATTTTACAATATTTTGATTTTTTAATAAAAATATTCTTATAAAAATAAAAATTATTTCAATACATTAAATACTTGCTTCTAGTACTTGATTAAATATTAGTTTGCAAAACGTTTCTACTTAAATTGGAGGGGTGAAAAAAATGCACTAATTAAGCCTCAGTTTCATCGTCCTAGCCTGTTCCAGCGTGTGAAGGACACGTGCAGAGAAGAGTATTACACGCTTCCCTTCGGATCTCCGTCCTAAGGAAAAATACCACGTGAGGCGAATGGGGCCCACACGACCACGTTGGCGCCAGATAAGGCAACAGTTGCACGCCACGTCAACACAATAGCGCGAAGCTCGTTCCGAACTCGTGCTCTCCGCATGAAAGACCACGTTCAACGTTAGTGGAGTCCACGTTATATGAAACACAGTACTCTATTTTTGATGAGTCCACGTGTTGTTATGTAATCCCCTGCATTCAACTTTAATGGATATGATTTTGGTTTGCGACTTAAATTATGTAGTTTTATTTATCGTCACTTTCTTTCTTTTCTTTTTTACTGAAAATCAAAACTCAAAATACATGTTATATTAGTCCAATTAATGATAAGGACTTTGGAACAAAGCAATAACTTTTGCTAGTTCCTCGTTTCTAATAATTAGTATTAGATCATTGGAGGAAGCTTTCAAATCGGTGTTTCGATTCGCCTGAGCTAGCTCGTGACGATTTGGTGATGAAACATAAAGTTGATCACAATAATTCGTTATATATGTGCGCTACACTCAAATGTCTTAATTTAGTAAACACAGGGTTTGAATTTATTCATATCACTAGATTTAATTAAGTCAATTTTATTTATTCGTATCAATCTTTTTTTAATCATTAATAATAAAAAATGATTCTCTCACATTTTGGTGGAATATGAAATGTACGTAAAAAAAATTAAAAAATTAAAAAAATATCACAAAAAGTAAAATGAAAATCCACAAGGAATAAATATAAAATATAAAATAAAAATTTTAAAAATGTTTTAAATTGTAATTTCATCACCTATGGCCATTTTAGTTTCCAACGGCACTGGTCTTAATTAGCATGTCACAGGCAAGGGAAATTCAGAAAGTGGGGAAGGTAAATATGTTGACTGGTAAATTGTTTATGTATTATATACGAATATCTTTGATTATAAAAAAATATAAATTATTATGCATAATGATGAAATTGCATGTCTTAAAAATAAAAAAAATACAACAGAAAATAATCTCATCATTAATAACTAAAAAAAATAATATATTAAAATATATTTTTTCAAATCGTGATAAAATATATTGAAAACAGTTTTCTACAAAATTAAGACAATTATTGGCATTCTGTTAATAAATTTCTATAATCAAATCATACCAGTCAAATAATTATAATTGATTTGAAATATTTTTCATCTAGGACTAGGTGAAATCAACTCGTCTACGATGTAGCCATTGTTGCCAAAAGCTATTGTCAAGAAAAATAAATCATTGTTCCTGCTTCCAATAAGGGATATAAAATGGTGTGTGCTGTGTGCATCATACCAGGCATAATAAAAAAGGTAAATTGCAAACTTATTTTTAGAACATTGATTAAAGAAAAATATTTAATAAAACTAACATATTTATTATTTGAAAATATGAAAAATATGTTTTTATAAAATTACCATATATTAATATTCTGTATGTACTTATTAATGAGATTTTAAATGAAAGTTGGTCAAAAAAGTAATTTGGACGACCACCCAAAGCGTGTGAGTCTCACGTGCTTTAAAGCGTATGACACGCTAGGGAGAAAAGCTGGGGTGGTTTGGTAATACACGTCGGAAGAGGAATTCCCACTAGACTAACGGAGCACTAACGCCGTGTGGCCTTGTATGATTTATTTGCTTATTATATTTGATCAGATTTTATTTTTAACTATTGAAATATATATAATTGTGTTTAAATAAAATACACGTGTTACTAACGAATTTAATCTAAGTTGTGAATGGTTTGTACACGTCATTGCCACGTAGGTTAAAAGCTGGTGTGATGCGCGCAGATCTACAGAAAAGTGGATAGTTGATGGTGGAGTGATAATAAAATAGCAGTAATGTGGCGAGAGCGATAAAAGAGGAAAGGGAAGGAGCATTTAGACGAGGAAAGTGAAGGGGACTAGGGGCTGTGGTAGAACCGAACGTGAAGTGGAGGGTCCAAATTGATAATAGATGGATAGAGATAGAGATAGAGATGCAGAACAAGTTATCTCTATACATACATATATTTGCTACCCTCTCCAATCTCCACCATTTGATTCCCCTTCCACGTTTAAATTAAAGGTTTGAACAACATAAATACGGTCCCAATTCCAACAGTGATTATGAGATTGCGTTGACATATTCCCTGTATCTAGGCTCTACCTACGCCATCCAATGTGGGTACTGAACTGGGTAAGGTTGGTCGCGGTTCACCTTGTCCCTCCGTGTAAAGCAAAGCAAAGCAAAAAGCCTGCCCTGCTCTTTAACAATATTTGACAAAACGCGATTATACAAATCTGAATGTGATTTTAATATAAACCCTATATTTTTTTAGTTAATTTTGAACTCTTGTAACTTTGAAAGTGACTCTGGTCCAATAATTTTATATTATAGCCGTGTATAATAAATATAGGCGTTTTTCTTAAAGAGTTGACAAATATTGAAATCATACGTTCTTTAAATTGTTGCTTATAAGAAATAAAGTACAAAATTAAAGTCATTAATTACAAATTTAACAATTAAATTTATATAATTGCATAATTCGTTATACATAATAATTTTTTTTAATTTGTTAAAAATAGTTACTTTTTTAAAAAACATTATTAATAAATAAATTAAATGATTATGAAGGGAAAAAAAAGGGAGAACGCTATAAAGCTAGGTTGGGATGACCGTACGGAAGTAGAATCTTCTTGGCATGGTATTGCTCTTTTCAACTCAGATAATTATTGCTTAACGAGCAACGTTCACTAATCTATCAACAAAATAAACTACCTTAGAGCGCAACTGTACGAGTTAGTATTTTAGGAATCTGAATTATGACCCTTTGATGATTGTTTTGATACTCACTTTCTGGAATTTTCCCTAAACCATCAAAGAAATATAGTTCAAATATTTTCTATAAACCGGTTAATCGGTTCCAATTTAAATAAATTAATTAGTCAAATCAAGTAATTCAAAGAGATACAAGAAATGTATCTTATTATCAATAGTTTAAGAATATTCTTCATCTGTATAATATTATACGTGATAAGAAATTAAGAAATATATGCATATATATATATATATATATATATATTTATTTAAAGTTTAGTGACTCTAGTTGTCTAGGATTAATTTGAGTGATTTGGGTTATTCAATTGTTTTCAAGATTGACCCAGCTTATGACAAACCAACTCAATCGTAGTCAATATAATTTAGAAAATTTACTTTCTACGTGGGAAAAATAAAGGTCATGTTTGATTATTCGCTATACTCTTTTGTCACAATCAAAGTAAATCCTTATCAACATAATTAATAGCAAAGTGGGGTTAAAGAAAAACTTGTATTTTCTTTTATACACGTCAAAGATATGAGAAGTTTCAACCTGGGGGACCAATTGCTGTTGGACACCT